ACATCACTTTTACCTTGCACGTTTGCTAAATGCTAATGAGCTTGATATACTTTAAATATCTTTAATTAAATTCAATAAAAATCATAAAAATACACAAGTATATTTTTATCATATACTACACATAACCCAAAATCAATTAGTTAACAGTTTTTAATGTTACATATTAGTCAAAGTCAAAGTTAATACGAAAAAGTAATGTAAAAGTCTTACTTCCTCCATTTCTTTTTTATATTCTCATTTTGACTATGCATGGTCCTTAAGATGATCCTTTACCATAAATAATTTTAATTACATATTACCAAAAATTATTAAGTCTTGATATTATAAAACTACATATTGAAACAAATATAACACTTTAACACATGACTATATAATAAGACTATAAAAAGAAACGAGAGAAGTATAATGAAATTATGAAGTGAGGAATGGAGAAAGTAATAAACAGTGGAAAAAGTTAAACCATTTTCCTTTAACAAGGAAAAAAAAAAGTTAAGTCTATGTATTAGTGTATTACGGAGTACACCAAATGAGATAAAGAAAGTACAATCATGTGATTCATGTCCAACAATAACCAATTATCTTGCGTCAAAAAAAAAAAAAAAAAAAAAAAAAAAAAAAAATTAAAACCAATTATCTTATAGCTTTAGACTTTAATAAAGTAAAATGTTTAGTGGTTGGTGGCCCTGACTTGTGCTCAAAGTCCACAAATCCACGTTGAAAAGAAATCAATTCTATCGGAATTTTTTGATGTCCGAGATTTACTACTCCGTACTATTTAGCCACGTAGGTAGCTATCATCAAGTATAAACATGGAGATAGAACGCAATTAAAGATGATATATACCTTTAAAAGGACTTGTATGTTTCGTGGAAACACTTGTTTTCACACTTGACAAGTAACAAGTAATACTAAACCAAAAATGCAAACAATGTAAGAGATACTGATCCAAAAGACAATGATATGATTTAATAAATCTTTCTTCTTTGTATACTTGCATTTCTACCAATGATCATATTATTGACATTTGGGAGTGGGTTAACATCCACAACGTGTTCTACTAATGACATTTGACATTTAGAATAGTGTTGCAAGAATATGAGTAGAATGCAAACCTTCTCAGAGGTTATTATATTATACAGTAGAAATTTCTAGCACTGTAAAATAGGTGACTATATGAGATGAATGTAAAGTGGCCAGTGGAGCGAAGCGGGTTTAGGTGGGCCAGGCCGTGGGTTTGTGACCTAGGATTGGGCTGGATAAGAAATTGGGCTGGACTAGTTAACATTGCCTTTCAAGGGCCAGTTTGGAGCTTCATGCAAACTTAGCGTTTTTGTCAATGTCTCGATTTACGTGTTCACATTTTAATAAGCAAAACGAGGCATTTACGTTACTTTTTTGTGAAATCTAAGCTCAATTTGGCCCCTTAAGCCCTAAAATAGCCCCCAAAACCTTTAACGGAAGGTTTTCCAACACGCAAATCGATAAAAAAAATATTAATAAATAGAGAGTGGGTCCCATTAACGGAATTTTTTAACGGCGGAATAATGGCAAGGTTACCGTATGGAAACAAAATGTATATTGGGTTTACAGTGTAGAAAGTGATATAAGTTGGGGCACAACGTAGAAAAGTGAAATTAATAGGGTTACTATATAGAAAAACCTAATTATTTTTAATGAACTTAAACTAATTTTGCTGAACTTAAATTATTTTTACTGCACTAAAATTAATTTTACTAGACTGAATTATTTTTATTGGACTGAAATTATTTTTACTGATTTTTTGTTATATTTATTCTTTGAAATTATTGATTTTTACTGAACTGAAATTATTTTTACTGAATTGAAATTACTTTTGCTGAACTGAACTTTTTGTACTAAATATTTTTTTTAAGATGAAGTGAACAGACTAGACTAATTTTTGCTGAACTAAAATTATTTTTACTGTACTGAAATTATTTTTACTAAACTGTAATTATTTTTACTAAACTGAAACTATTTTTAATGAATATTATTTTGTTGTAAGATGAATTGAACATTGACTTAAAGCTCAATGATGAAAATGTTAGGAAAACTTGTAAATGCTGAAACCTCAGTAAAAGTATTTTATAAGTATAATTAACTAATTCTGTGATTTAAATAATGCTAGATTTAGCAGAAAATGTGTTGTTTATGCTGCCATCTTAATTCCAAAATCCAACCCAGTAACAGCTCTAGAATCATCAATCAGGTGCACATACACAAGCATTGCTATGATACTTTTGGTCCACAATAAAGTAATAACCAAGTACACAAATTAAATTACACAAGAAAGAATTTTTCTGCATGAGCATTCAGACATAGATGAGTCTACGGAAAAACAATGCCTTGTATTATTCCAAAACTATATACAAAAGTGAGTCAAAATCTGAACAGATTTATAATTAACAAGATATCACATGACTTTTTCTTATAAATTAAGGAGAATGTACTGTCAAAATTTCTGAAATTTGGCCATTACAATTTTGTTTATCATCAATTAGTGAGTCGATTTTTTGTTATTATGAAGATTTACTGGGGCTCCCTCTTGAGTAAGCTAGTACTTTAATTTAAGCCTTCTCATTGATGAATTTTCTATCATCTTTTCTTTTTGGAGGTGGGGTGAACGGTGAACCAGGGGAATTGGGTAGGTAGTTGGGTTCATTAGATTCACATATGCTACGAAGGTTGTTGATAATGGGATGTCCAAATTCCAAACCATTTATTAGACTCCTAAGACATCAGTTGTCAGTTGACATGATGGAAAGAAGTTTAGGATTTAGTTCATGATTAATATACAACCTTTTAAATGTTCTCAATGTTCCAGCAGAACACTGGCTGATTAAGTTGCTTTGTCACTCATGTATCTATGTATCTAACTTAGTATACTTAGTACTATGTTGTGTACTAGATTAAAGCACTTATTAGTATACTTAGCTCACTGCTCAGCCTGGTGGCATTGGACTCTACCTGATGAATCAAACACTTGACAGAGATGTTTTGGCTGCATTTTGAAGACTTGTTGCATATACATAGTTAAGTGAAGACTTCAGACAAGAATCAAGCAGTTGTATATGTAGTATAATAAGTTTCTTTTTTGAAAGTCGCTGTTGCATATACAATTTAAAGTACTTGAAACTAAAGAAAATATAGTCGAATTCTAACCTGAACGTTGGGGGCACTCAGGATCTAGCTTTATGCAAAATGAAACAGTCAATCCCTGTAGATTATTAGTTACTTGTATTAACAACGGATAAGTTTTGAAGAGAAGATAAGCAGCTTATCCATTCAGGTAGGGGGGCTTTGACATTCCCACAATTATAAATGGAGAGAATTTGAAGGGAGGTCAAGTATTGAAATCCCTTGGGCAGATTGTTCATGTTTTGGAGGCTGAAAAATTTCAGGGAACGGAGATTCTGATGAAGGGATTTCCAAGGCATGCCATCGTCATCAGCCATGTCTTCAGCAAAGCTCAATTGGTCATTGAAGGAGAATTGTAATTCCTCCAAGGCAGTGAGAAGCTCCAATCCCTCTTCTCCTCCTGAGAGTCTTTATATTTGAGCAATTATTGATTTTAAGGCTTCGTAAAGAAGAAGTGCAGCTCTGGAATATCGCTCCAAACTCTGATAAACTCTCCATGTTCTTATCGGATACTATGCTGAGGGAAGCAAGGAATGGTAAGTGTATTGACTTCAGATATCCAGCGTCGTCTATTTCTACCTTCAAACTGATGTCACTTTGTGCATTCCCAGCGTTATCAACCTTCTTCTTATTCCTTCTGTTAACTACTACTCATAACTTTTTGTTGTTCTCACATAATTTCAAATATTCAAGGCTTGAACAGGAAGGAAATGACACCAGGTTACAACAATAGGTGATTTCCAAATTCGAAAGCCGGGGAAATGTGAGCCTACTCCTCAAGGTATGATCATCCTCATCCGCAATCAACTCCTCCCCTCTCCACCATCCTTTCAAATTTGGCAGGCTTTGAACTATAAGAGATTCAAGAAAGGGGAAGAATGTTGTCAAATCTTCTCCAACACCACTGCCAGTGTTGCTGCCTTTATTATCATATACTCCAGCTTTGATAATTTACAGAGCACCAATGATTTCAGGTAACGCAGTGTACTCAGAGACAGTAACTGCTCCAATTTCTTACAACTTACAAGCTTGATATGAACAAGATTTGGGAGAGAGATAGCCCAATTATCCTCTTCTCTTCCCCATCTTGGAATGATCGTACCCCTACAATAATTCAAGATGAACCTCGATATTTGAATGTGGCTCTAGCTTTTCCATCATAACTGTTAGAATGACTGATGATGATGAGGAAATAAAAGAGCATGTGTGAAGCTGAGTTGGATTACACACGCAAGAAGCATGAGTATTAGATTGCTGACATCAGCTAAGGAAATAAGTTTGTTACAAGTTAGTTACAAACTCCTGTAATATATATTTAGCTGTCCAAGAGCTAAATAGATTTTTTTCACACTTTTTCTATTTTTCTGTAATCTTCTTCCCAGAAAACTCTCTGTAAATTCTCTTCTCTCTAAAGATCAATGAAGCCGTCCTTCTAGTTTACCTTCTTGCTGCCAACTTTGACATGGTATCAGAGCGAGTTTACGATCTGGTGATGATGAAGTTCTTGATCATTTCTCGCTGAAATTGTTCATTTGAGGTATCTTTTTTCGATCGAATTCTCGAAGTTTTCTGATGTTCAAATTCAAACAAATTTCTTGATTTTTTGTTCAAATTCTGCAAAACAGTACTACGATCAATTGAAGTTCAGTATATTTTTTTGTTCATTCTTCTGAAATTAATTGCTCAATCAGAGATTCTTGTTGCATTTGAGGAGTAATTGTTTGGTGAATATTTCTTTTTGGATTCGGTTATTGGACTAGATCAAATTGTTTGTGATACAATTGTTTACTGAGATTGAGATTGAAATAGATTCTTGAATTTGTGGTTGTAATTGAAGTATAGACATGGCAATGGATCCTTCACAGAATCCTACTTCACCATTTTATTTGCTTCCGTCTGATAATCCTTGTCAGAAACTAGTGAATTTTAAGTTTGATGGAAATAGTACTGGAGATTGGAAACCTTCAATGTTGATTAGCTTATCAGCCAAAAATAAGCTTGGATTTGTTGATGGAAGTTTGATTAAACCTGCTGTAACTAGTGATCTTTACCTTGCTTGGGAAAGGTGCAACAATATGATCATCTCATGGTTGTTAGGTGTCTTAGAACAAGACATAGCAAGGAGTGTCTTATATTTTAGCACAACTAGGGAGATATGGCTGAATTTGGAGGAAAGATATGGTCAATCCTCTTGTGCTTTACTATACTCTTTGCAACAAGCCTTACATGAGATTAAGCAAGATCAGGACAATATCTTAGGGTTTTACACCAAGATAAAGATGATTTGAGATCAGTTAGATGCAATTGATCCAATTCCTATGTGTTCTTGCATCAACTGCAACTAAATGATGGTTTCGAGGTGGTCAGAGGAAGTATAGTGATGTTGAACCCTTTGCCTAACATTTCACATGCTTACAGACTCCTTGTACAAGAAGAAAAGCACAAACAATTATATCAGACACATGGTAATTCCAATGAACCTATGGCTTTTGCTGTGAACAACAGGAAATACTTTGAACAGGATAAAAACAGACAGAGCTATCACAATCACAAAAACAATGATCAGAGAAGAGTCAACTATTATTGTGATCATTGTAAGATCCCAGGGCACAGTATTCAGAGATGCTATAAGCTTAAAGGATATTCTAAGAATAACTATTCTGGTAAGGGTAAAAGAGTGGCTGCAAATGCAGAGTTCATTGGTCATGAAGAGAAAGAGAATCAGGGGAATGAGATTACACTTTCTGGAGAGCAGTATGAAAAAGTTCTTGAGGTATCCGTTGACTCAACAGAAAGCAGAACTGCAGCCACCAAGTTCAGGAGAGACTGCCTTAAACAATAGATCTGCTCATGTGGCTGGTAAATTCTGTTTCTCCTCTCTAGTTCATGCTAAATGGATATTGGACAATGGAGCTACAGATCATGTGTTATGATAGTTCCTTATTTGATTCTTTACATCAGTATAGTGGTATAGAAAATTCAATCACTATACCTAATGGGAAACAAGTGACAATCACACACTTAGGTACCATAACACTAAACAGTCATATAGTATTGAATGATGTGCTATATGTTCCTGATTTTAGGTATAATCTGATTTCTATACCTAAGTTGTGCAAGGATTTAGGTTGTCATGCTATTTTCACTGACAATGAGTGTCATATTCAGGGCTCCTCACAGAAGCCAACTCTTCTTGGTAAACTCAAAAATGGACTATACTGTTTGGATGAGTCAGTCTTAGAAAATAGAGGTCACACACAGTCTCTTGCTGCTGCTATTGTACATAGTAATGATCCTAATAAAGTCAAGCTATGGCATCTTAGGTTGGGACATCTTCCTGTCAATAGATTACATCATGTTGTTTCTGATGTTTGTAATAAAGCGTGTACTTTGGATAGTTTTTGTCAAATCTGTCCTGCTGCTAGACAGACTAGAAAATCTTTTCCTGTTAGTAGTATTAAGTCCAAGGCACCATTTGAACTTTTACACATTGATGTATGGGGTCCTAATCCAGATCCCACCTACAATGGTTGTAAAATTTTCTTTGACAATTGTTGATGATTTTTAAGAATTTTGTTATGTATGTTGAGAATCAGTTTGTAAAAACTGTTAAGATGGTGAGGAGTGACAATGCTCCCGAGCTTTGTGAGGGAGAGTTGAAGGTTTTCTTTCTTGAAAAAGGTATTTCCCAACAAAGAAGCTGTGTGGATACACCACAGCAGAATGGGGTTGTTCAGAGGAAACACAAACATCTTCTTGAAACCTCCACAACTTTATTCTTCCAAGCTAACCTCCCTATACAATTTTGGGGTGAGTGTGTCATGTGTGCTGTCCATTTGATAAATAAAATGCCCTTACATGTTCTTGGCAATTGTTCACCATATGAAAAGGTGTTTGGCTTGGCACCTTCTTTAGACCATTTGAGGGTTTTTGGTTGTCTGTGTTTTGTTTCAACATCAAAACAGCACAGAACAAAGTTTGAACCCAGGAAGAACCTCATGTTTTTATAGGATACTCCTCCTACCAGAAAGGCTATAAGGTGCTTCATCCACGAACAACATTTTCCCTATCATTTTTCAGCCAAGACACAGCATAAATTCTTCCTTCCCATATCCACTGATTTCTCCTCTTTTTCTTATGACTCACTTCCTATAATCATTAGGGAAGATGATGATAGTCCTGTTATCACTGAACCTACTTCTTCTTCTAGTTCTTCTTTAGACATGTCACTAGACACATCTCTTTCCTTCCCATAGTGAGAAAGAGTTCAAGACCAACAAAATTTCCTTCCCATTTTGACAACTTCATATGTAACCTTAGTGATTCATGAGTTCTCAGTTCCACTGGTGTGGTCTTGTTCAATTCAGCCATATTTCACCATCAATACATGCTTTAGCCTCAGTTGCAGAAGCTATGCATAAAGAACTTACTGTTTTACAGAAGAACAATACTTGGATTATGGTTTCTCTACCTCCTAACAAAAAGGCCATTAGTTGCAAATGGGTTTACAAGATCAACTCAAACTCAAAGCTGATGGTTCTATTGAAAGGTTCAAGGCAAGATTGGTGGCTAAAGGTTATAATCAGAAGTGGGGGATTGACTTTGATGAAGTTTTTTCTCTAGTTGTGAAGATGGGAACTGTTAGGTGCATTTTAGCTTTGGCTGCTTTTAAGGGATGGCATTTGCATCAATTGGATGTCAATAATGCCTTTTTGCATGGTGACTTGACTGAGGAGGTGTATATGACAACCCCTGAAGGTTTTCATAACCCAGAAAACAAGGCGTGCAAACTTGTCAAATCATTGTATGGGCTTAAACAAGCTTCTAGACAATGGTTTGCCAAGTTAGTGGGGGAGTTAGAGGTCCATGGGTTATGAACAGTCTAAGAATGACTATTCTCTTTTTATTAAACAAAAACAGAATAGCATCATCATAGCAGCAGTATATGTAGATGACATTATTGTCACAATAAGTGAAGAATTGGAAATTTGCAGATTGAAAAGTCATCTTGATGCTATTTTCAGTATCAAAGATTTGGGAAAGCTTAGCTATTTTCTTGGGATGGAAATTGGTTACATGGATGCTGGTATAAGTATGTCACAAAAGAAGTTCACAAAGGAATTGTTGAAAGAAGCTGATATACGGGAAGATAGAATAGCTGTAACTCCTCTGCCTGTAAACATTAAACTGCAAGCAACAGAAGGAGAACTTTATGGTGATCCTAGTACAGGTGTCTTGTTGGGATAATGAATTTCCTGACCCATACCACTATACCAGGCCAGACTTATCCTATACTGTACAACATCTCAGTCAATTTCTTCAAGAACCTAGAATGCCTCATTTCAGGGCATTACAACAACATACTTTGAGATATGAAAATGGGACAATAGGGCAAGGTATCTTACTGAAAGGTGCAGAAAAGTTAATCTTACAAGCTTTTTCAGATTCAGACTGGGGAGCTTGCCTAGATAGCAGAAGATCAATCTCAGGCTACATTTTGATGTTAGGAAAATCCCCTATAACCTGGAAGTCAAAGAAGCAAGGTGTTGTGTCAAAAAGTTCCTCAGAAGCAGAGTACAGGACTACAGGGCAATGTCAGCAGCAGCAGGAGAAGTGGCATGGATTGTAAGATTACTAGAGGAATTGGGAGTTCAGCATTTGAAGCCTGTAACTCTGCACTGTGATAATCAGAGTGCTATTCACATAGCTAAAAATCCAGTGCATCATGAAAGGACAAAGCATATTAAGATTGATGTCCATTTTACAAGAGACAAGGTGTTACAAGGAAAAAAAAAATTACATACTTGCCTACAACTTCACAGATTGCAGATTTGTTCACAAAAGTAGTTCAATGAGTTACTATCCAAACTAGGCATGGTTAACACAATGCATAGTTTGAGTGGGGGTGTTAGAATGACCGATGATGATGAGGAAATAAAAGAGCATGTGTGAAGCTGAGTTGGATTACACACGCAAGAAGCATGAGTATTAGATTGCTGACATCAGCTAAGGAAATAAGTTTGTTACAAGTTAGTTACAAACTCCCGTAATATATATTTAGCTGTCAAAGAGCTAAATAGATTTTTTTCACACTTTTTCTATTTCTTCTTGCTGCCAACTTTGACAATAACTTCCAAAGTCAGGATCTTTATAAGCATCAATGTCAAAATCAAAACCAATGTTTACTTCCACGATATGCTTCATGCTCTTCAAGTATTCATCTTCTCCATTATTCAGGCCTTCTATGTAATATTTACCAATTTTAATATGTATGCCACCAATTAAGTTGGCCAATGCTTTAAGGTCTTTGAGTTCTGCACTGTATTGTTCCTCACTTGAAACTCTCTGACCCTTACCCACCACAAAGAAGGGTAGCACCCTAAGATGAGTCAACTTATCCATGCCCAAAGTCATGCAAGTTAACTTATAACACTCTTCTAAACCCAAGTGCCTAAGACTAGTCAATTTACCTATGCCCGAAGGCATCACAGTTAACTCCCTACAGCGACTTAGATCCAAGTGCCTAAGTTTTACTAATTTGCTAAAACCTTTTGGCAACTCCCTCAAATTATTACAATCACTTAAAAGTAAAGTTTGTAGATTATGAAGTTCAATGATAGAATCAGGGAGTGCCGCTAGTATGTGATTCCTAGACAAATTAAGATACCTTAAATGGAGAAGTTTACCTATTGAATCAGGATAGGTTTTAATATTTGCAGACTTTAAGCTCAATACCCTTAGGCATACCCAGCGGTCCATTTGTATACTCTCCGCCAGAGTTCTATGACGAGGACGACTCAAAATAAATGAACGTATCTTACTCTTCTTGAGCAAGGAGCTTTGTGGACAGTTATCACTAACATTATATACATGACGAATTTTATTTCCCAATTCGGATGTATTAGAACTCACCACACTAAGTTCCTTTCTCCCCACTTCTTGAGCAACATCGTGCATCAAATCATGGATTTTGACTGGCAGAATAGCACCATATTCGTCCTTCTTTACATCTTGAAAGAAACATCTGCGTAGCAAAATCAAAAAATGATCCTCTGCTGCATCTTCTATGCTTTGACCCCCCGTCAAGTGACTCAATATATCCTTGCGCCATCCAAAGGCTAATCAACTCCTGCCTCTCTATTTCAAAATCCTTGGGAAATGCTGCACAATAACTAAAGCAATTCTTCAAAGAGGGTCTAAGATTGTGGTAACTCAGCTTCAATATAGACATAATTTTATTTTCGCCATTTTTTATTTCAGACAAACCACTCCTCTTGAATGAATGCCACTTATTCATGTGTTGACCAAAAAGAAGACTTCCTACCACCTTAAGGGCAAGAGGAATGTTACAACATTTTTTAACAATCTTCTTCCCAATCTCAACTAATTCAAGATGATTTTCGTGTTCTTGACCTTTATTAAATGCTACAGTCTCAAACAAGTGCCAAGAATTCTCCTGGGACAAACCTTCCAACTTATAGATATTCTTGTCTCCGGTAATTTCTCCAGTCTCTACTGAACGAGTGGTTACCACAATCCTGCTACCCCCTTCACCGATCATCAAGAAGCTTTGCAGGTTAAGCCATTTATCACGATCTTCATTCCAAACATCATCAAGTATGAGCAGGTACTTCTTTCCTCCTAATATCTCTTGAATCCTCTTTCGCACCCATTCTAATGAGGCAGTATCACTAAGCTTCTGAACTACTTCTACAATCTTACAAAGGATTGCCTTGACATCAAATTGCTCCCCATCTTGATCAGAGACACAAACCCACAACCTCAAATTGGGATCCGGAAACTCTTCTTCAACCCTTTTATCGTTATATACAAGTTGAGCAAGTGCGGTTTTTCCCAACCCTCCGACCCCCACTATAGTCACGACACGAAAATGTTCATGAACATCATTCGGACCTAGTGACATATCTACGACAACTTTCTTATCATCGTCCCTCCCAATAATATCCTCTGCAACCACATAAGAATAAGTTTCCTCCTTTCTCCTAACAATAGGATTATTGTCGACCTTAAACTTAAATTTTCTATGGTTATCGACAGTTTCATCCAGCTGCTTCTTAATTTCCGTAACCCGACTAGACATTCTATAAGCTAGACCAGGCTGGTTATCAGAAGAAAAAAAATAGCGTACCTTTTTGATGAGCTTACTACCCTTGTTTAGGGGGTCGAAGTTGTTTCAATTCAGCAAGGGTGAGCAACTCATTGAACAAATCATCAGCATCATAAACAACAAATTTGAGCTCCTCAATGTAGCCGCGCTCTTCGTTGGTGAGCTCCCGCTTGGTGTCGGCATCAAGGAACGTTTTCTCGATGGTGGACACAGTTTTGGTGAGGTCTTCAAGTTGAGACTTGTAGCCCCACATGTCACAAATCTCTTTGACGACTGCGGAACCAATAACTTCAATGAGCCTCCTGCAATGGCGATTCCGAGTTGGACCATTGTGTTTTCAGTAAGATGATAATAAAGCAGGTGAAGTAATGGAAAATTAAGCAAAGATTACAAGGAGAAAGCTAAAGTTTGGTAATGTAGTGACTTATATCCTCAACACTTACTATAATATACAATGTCCTGCACCATCCACTATTAGATACTGTGTTCATTTATTAATTTATTTTTGTCTTCTTGTATCAGCTTCCACGAAAATGCACACAGTATGCCCATTTGTAGTTAGTCAACCTCTTAAGTCGATCGTAACAAATTAAATGCACAAATAATTAAAGGAAGCTAAATTCAGTCTGGTTAACTAATAATATGTGAATTACATGTTACAAACCATAACTAATGGCCTATTGGATCCCTCCAAGCGACAAGTAGATTCAAACATATTCAACATTATCCTATTTAGTAATAGTTGTAGTAATGTTCCCACCGTAACTTGTAATTATATATTTGGAAATGATCTCATCTTGCAAGTTAGATGGAGGGAAAGTGTAATATTTTATCCATTGTATATTAAAATGGCAACACTATTGCATTTCAATACTACTTTGAGAAAAGTGATCAAAATTTTGTTTGTTTTTAATCCAATCACATTGTTTTCTCTTGCATAGGCACGACTAAAACTTCTAAAAGAGTATGATTAGGAAAGGGGATTTTGATCAATACATATAGGGTAAACCGTAGGGGAGTGGTTAATTGCTTATTTTAAAGGAAGACAGCATAATAAATGCCGATTAGCATGGAAACTAACATGGTGTTTTTTTTTTTTTTTTGTTATTTTTGAAAAGGTAAACTAGTTTTAGGCTGGGCGTTGTCCGGGTCAATGAGATCATGATCTTATAATCTTGAGGTCATGAGATCATATCTAGGAAAAACCATGTTTTAATATTTTTAATTGAATGTAGATGATATGGATTAAAACTCCCAAATGGAGAGTGACATGTGAAATCTAAACTTATTAAGAAACCCTTATTAGTTATTACTCTCTAATATATTAGAATAGCTTACTATATATGACAACTTGACAAGTGATGAGAAGATGATTAAGGGGACATGAATCAACTATGAAAGCACATAAGTATTGCAACTTACTTGTGGTTTTTTTATTCTTGAATTTATCCACTCCGTCTCTAACATAGTAAGGAGTACTTTTGTTTCAAATTTATTTTTGAATTTATCCACTCCGTCTCTTAGAGCATGTGCAATGGAGGGGATTCACCCTCCTCCTAGCCTTCTCTCTCCTCTTAAGAGGAATCCCCTTCATTGTAGAGGTGAAATGGGGAGTCCTCTTAGGAAGAGGAATATGGTAAATCCTCTTTGGGGAAGGGGATTGGAAAAGGTGGGGAAGGGGACAAGCAAGAGCGACGTGGCAGCTTCCTGCTGGCTGGCCGGGTTGGCAGGGGCTCACGTGTTGCTTGCTTTTGCTAACATTTGTTGATTTGTAATTGGTTGACATTTACAACGGTTAAAAATATTCAAACGGTAATAAAAAAAAAAAAAAAAACGGTAACTTATTTTTTTAAAAAAAAAAACACTAAAGGTTATATTTTTTTTTTTCTCTATAAAATGACCTAAATTTGCCATATTTCAAAATCTTTTTACATAATGTATTGCAATGTTCCTTTCTAACTATTTATTATATGTGTGACGATCGTTCTATTTACTAATTATGCATTATAAATTATCATTAATTGTACATTTTTGTAATATATTAAAATTGTCATTAATCTAATTATAATAATTTGTCATATTAAATTTGCAAATATCTAATTTAATAGAAAATGGTGGGCATAAAAATAGAAAGGAAGGGATTCATGAATCCCCTTTGTTGTGGGAAAAAATAAAGAAAGAGGAAGAGGAAGAGGATGGAGATAGTGAAAAATGACGTGGAAGAAAGAGAAATGATGTGTCAAAAGGAGAGAATGAGAGAGAAGAATTAAGGAGATTCATGAATCACCACCATTGTACATGCTCTAACATAGTAAGGAGTACTTTTGTTTCAAAAAAAAAAAAAAAAAACACCATATTAAAATGAATAATCAAGTACTATCTGAAAAACATTAACCAGTACCTGGAAATCATAAAATTATAGGAGGATACATAGGCCCAATTATTAGGCAAACAAGCAAAATGAAAATAAGATTGTACACCATTCTTTCAAAAATTAAATCTTCCTTATTCTCAAAAGCAAGAATATAAACAACCCCTTTAACAAACAATTAAATCTTCCTTATTCTCAAAATCAAGAGTATAAATCATTTTTAAAATGGCATTAATGAAAATTTTTGTTATAAAATATGTTATGTTTTATAACATATGTTTAATCTAACTTTAACTAAGTTAACATATTAACTCTACTTTCATCCCCATCTCTCTCCTCAAAACTTAAAATTTTTAGATGATTTTTAAAAGTAATGACTGATTATTATATTTTTAGATGATAAATTTCAAACTTTAATTTTTAATTTCTAAATTATATTGTACAGTGCAATATTTCATAGTATATGAAAACTATGACACCAAATTAATTTGCACTTTTTTTCCATGTTTCAGAAAATCAATATCTCATTACTCAGCAAGAATACAAATCATTCATACTAATATTACTGTGAGATTTTGATTTTACTTGGCAATCGTATCAGGAAATTATTCAGAGTTTCAGTATATGCTGTCATAACTTTTACTTTAATTTTATTTTTATTTTTTAAAAAAAACAAGTTTTCATCCAAAAACAAAAGCAATAATAGTCAAAAATTGGACAAAAACCTGAAGCATGAGCCCCGTAGGCAATGAAATGCAACCCATTGAATTAACAGGAATTACAGCCGCTTCTCAAAGCTCACCTGAAAGCATTACCTAAAATACGAGTAAAAATTAAACAAATAGTAATTAATTAAGATGGCAATATTTCATTTTGAAATTATTAAATTAGGATGGAATGAGAAATACAGGCATTCATAGTAGTAAGAAAAATTGGGACTTGGAAAATTTAAAAGGTCTTATACCCAGATTAAGTAGACTGAGAGAAATTTACTGAAGAATGTGCATGACATACTCAGTTTGTATAAAGTTGAAATTCACAACGCAGAACAAACTTTGAATGTACCTTTTTGGGCTGTTTAATCCCACTATTTCAACCTCCTGACTTCAATTAGCTAGCCATATACTACTCCGTTTTTGGAGTATGCTTCCAAATACTCCAACATGGAGTACTTTGGGCATATTACCTACAATGGGAGTATTCTCCCAATTTGAAGAAAAATGGGGTGGAGTACTCCCATTGCAAATGCTCAAAAGAAGGGTTAATTGTTGGGACTACTCTAGGTCACGTGGGTAGCACATGACCTAATAGGGGTGGCATTAAGGGATGGGAATTGGAAGATGGATAAATTAACTATTGCCATTAATAAAAAGGTGGGTGATGTGAAGAAATGTTAATAAGGGTATTTTGTTAAATTTGTTATTTATTATCTATCCGATTTCATTTTACTACAGTACCAAACAAGGTAATTGACATATTTTCACCAATTCTCAATCTCATTCCCATTCCCACTCTTTATTTTCACAACTCTCATTCTCACATACTAAACACCCCATAATTGGAATAACACAAATTCTTACTCGTGTATGAAGTAGTTGGCTACATCGACTGCCTACACGGACACACTGTATGCCCATTGGGTAATTTCGTTAGGGGACGTTTGGTTCGTAGATTGGTATGAGTTTGAAATCAGAAATGAGGTGAAGGTGATATTGGGTTGGAACTTGATACTTAATACTATGTGTTTGACTCAATTATGGAATGGAATCTCTCACTATTCACTCCTTTTATTTGATATTAAGGAATGAAATGAGCCAAAGGCACCTCCCCCAAGATTTCTAAACCCAATACCTGGATTTGATGTATGAATTTAAAATTCATACTTTTGACAATTATACGTATGATATGGGTTTTAAGCCCTGTTCACGTTACCTTAATTTTGCTGAACTGAAATTATTTTTGTTGAACTTAAATTAATTTTACTGAACTGAAATTATTTTTGCTAAATTTAAATTGTTTTTACTGATTCTCTATTATATTTCTTCTTTATATTAACTGATTTTTACTGAACTGAAATTATTTTTACTGAACTTAACTTATTTTTATTAAACTAAAATTATTTTTGCTGAACTTAAATTATTTTTACTGAATATTATTTTTTTAAAGTGAAGTAAACAGGCCTTAATCATTCTAATTTCATACATTATACCTCATACCTCATATCTATATTCCACAACCCAAATACCCCCTTAATATGTTGGTCTGTGATTACTCGGACAATATTGTTACTCTATCATTCTGTCACTATTATACGCTTTCTTTATTACCTTATTTTTCCAATCAAAGTACAAATTTACAACCGTGTTCCTCAAATGAGAAATTCACAATAATTATGTTGGCACTGGAAACAAACTTCATGCAAATGAAATTGCCAAAAGTAATAAGCTTCAAATTCATCTTCATTCTTTATTTTCTCTCCCTTCAATTCATCACTATCAAAACTACCCAAGACCCATCATCTGCAATTATCTCCAGATTCCAAGAATACCTTCGAATTAACACTGCTCAACCTAACCCCAATTACTATGAAGCTGCTGATTTCATCCTTTCTCAAGCTAATTCTTTATCCCTTGAATCTCAGACTATTGTATTTGTCAAAAATAAACCCTTAATTTTGCTCAAATGGCCTGGCAAAAACCCCAATTTGCCCTCAGTTCTCCTCAATTCACACACCGACGTCGTTCCAGTGGAATTCCAGAAGTGGGTTCATGACCCTTTTGGTGCTCACATTGATTCTGATGGAAATATTCATGCCAGAGGTACTCAGGCAAGTATTTTCATCAATATTTATTATTTTTTATTTATTTATTTTTGGTAAGTTGTGTTGAATGCAAATTGATTAAAGGGTATCATTGCAGTTTATGATTATCAAAGTAGCAATTTGAAAGCTTATACCTTTCTGTTTTTTGGTAGTTTGAAGAACTGGGTCATATCAGGGTTTATATGTTTTAATTGTAAAGTCTGATTTATAATATGGTTGAAAAATGTATTTTCTGAAGAAAAAAAAAAGAAGTCTATTTTAAGGTGTTATGATATTGTGGAAATATTCCAATTTGAAAGTGATTTATAAGATGCATCCTGTTGTTTATGTACATCATTTCTACTTATAAATTTATGTGATTATGAAATTATGATGGATGTTGATCAATGTGCAAGCAGGATATGAAAAGTGTAGGAATGCAGTACTTCGAAGCTATTAGGAAGTTGAAGAATTCTGGTTTCGAGCCAATTCGTACTATTTATCTATCGTATGTGCCGGATGAAGAGATTGGGGGACGGGATGGGGCTGAGAAGCTGGCCGAGTCTGACGTGTTTGAGAAAATGAATGTGGCCTTTGTGCTGGATGAGGGAATACCTTCACCAGATGAGAAGTATTTGGCATATAATGGGGAGAGATCACCAATGTGGCTGGTTATCAAGGCTACTGGGCATGGGGCAAAGCTGTATGACAATACTGCAATGGAGAACTTGATGAAGAGTGTTGAGAGTATCAGGGGTTTTCGTGCGTCGCAGTTTGATATGATAAAAGCTGGCTTGAAAACTGATGGAGAGGTGATTTCGGTAAACTTGGTATATTTGAGAGCTGGCACACAAACACCTACTGTAAGTCTGTGTCTTACTGTCTTTATTGTGTCAAAGGGTCTCATGCTAATGATGAGAATCATTAGATAACAGTTGCCTAAGATACAATTGTTCTTGAGTGATTTTGGTATTGTCTGTCAGGGATTTGTCATGAATTTACAACCTTCTGAAGCTGAAGCAGGTATTGACATTCGGGTTCCACCTACAGCTGATCAGAAATCACTTGAAAGGCGTATTGCTGAGGAGTGGGCTCCTGCTTCACGCAACATGACATTTGAGGTAGCAGTTGCTTGATTTACAAGATTATTTTCTTGCTGATTCATACAATGAAATAATAACCATTGTTGCCTTGCATTGTGATTCACATTTAATATGCATGCTTATGCTATTATTTGATCCGATGGTATATGCTGTACTAATGTAGCTGTTTCAATTGTGGTGGTTCTCTATGGCTCTACTTGTTTAGAACTTGCCTCGGAAAGGGATTCAAGTGTATAGACTGCATCAGGAATGTTAAAAGCTTAATCACAAATTGCAATTGATAAGAATCAATGAACAAGAAATGCCAGCAAGAGCATTATTCTTCTCTCTTATCATCTGAATCTGTTATGTAAATTCCTGTTCATATGGCCACATGTTGAATTTTTTCTTCTATGGTTGAAGCCTTGTAACGTTGTAAGTTTTTTACATGTGCTATAAGGCTTGAAAACTTGTAAGAAATGTGCTTTATGGGCTTCAGTCAAATAGTTTTTATTTTATTTTTTTAACTTATAATTTTCAATTTTGTAATTATAATAAAATTATAATCAATTGATCACCGAGGTTTTCATGGACTGTTTAAGCATGAGCTCTAATCTGCAGAGAATTTGAACTTGAACTGAAAGTACATGAATCCAACCTTTAGATATCAAATCCCAAGTTTAGGTGCACATACTAACAAGTGTATATTTTATAGTGCAGACTGTATCATGAATTTTTGGGAAGACGCATGTGTGTACATGTGATAGTTACACCCCTACACTAGTACTTTGTTGATATCCCCTTTGCTGTTTGACTGATATGGTTTTGGCATGTGCAGTTCAAGCAGAAGGTTCCTGTGGTTGACAAATTTGGCAAGCCTGCTCTCACAGCTGCTGATGATTCAAATCCCTGGTGGATTCTTTTAGAAAAAGCTGTCCGTGATTCTGGTGGAATAGTTCGAAAGCCGGAGGTAAGCTTTGGAACAACGGATGCTCGTTACTTTAGGCAACAAGGTCTGCCAGCTATTGGATTCTCTCCTATTGCAAATACTCCGCTCCTTCTACATGACCACAATGAGGTACATAATAGCTTCTGCCTTATTTGTTTTATCTTTCAGGTGGAAACAATTTCAAATTTGATGTGCTCTCTTTCTGATTGTAAGTATTGATATAGAAATTTATTTGTGGAATCAAGCACATATTTACATTGCATGTTACCAAGGTTGCCTTTTTATGAGAATATGAGATAGATTATGTATCCAGCCTGTTACTAGTGTGGAGTTGTTAACTTCATAAGTGCTAGTTTTGGTTAAAATTTCTTTCTACTTGTAACTAGTAATTCTGTACTTGTTAGGAGTGTTTTATGTACTTGATACTTTTGGAGTCTTCTTTATACTTTGCTGATTAAATTTTGAACTTAACTTCTATTCTTGTGCACTATATAGGATGTACTAGAAACTTTATCCAGTTGTATCAGATTTAAATTCAGGTCCTCAACTGAAATACAACCCTCTGAATGTTGTTCGGTGTGCTGTGGGAGCCAGCAATTGTTGCTCTTCTACTCTGCATTCTTACAAACTACTTGTATCATTTACATTAGGTTTATACTTACTTTCTAACAATTGCATTTTTACTTGCTGCAGCACCTAAATCAACGGGAATATCTTAAAGGAGTTGACATATATGCTTCTATAATCAAAGCTTATGCTTCTTTTGCAGAGGAGACAGAAGCTAATGCTTCCAAAGCTGAGTTGTAAAAGAACGATTAGTATCTTTGCCCATTGTTAGAAAACTGTACTTTTCATCCTCATCACCCATGCAACCAAACTGAACTTCTCTCTAACACCATTGTTTATAACTTGGTGCAACCTGACAGATCTCAAAGGAGCAGATAAATAAGCTTCTATCATCCCGGCTTATGCAACATATGCTGACCGGTTATGGAAATAAGCTGAGACTTTCTAGGATGAATTGTTGTTAGTGATTGGCCCCACCTTTCACTTGACTATTCTGCCAGGAGCTGATTGAATTGGGGCGGAAACATTTGTCGTTTCTAGGTGAAGATTTCAAGTGATTTCGGTCACTATTGCAGCTACAAAAATAAAGTACAGTTAAACTTCTTGGAACTTCACTTGTATCTATTGTTAAGGCTCAAATAATTTATCAATTAGGAACTTTTTTCAGGTTTGTACTTTGAGTAATTCTGGGTGTTATGCATGTTCAATGTTTATCTTTGAATCTTTGATCTTAATAATTGTTTTTCTGGCACTTTGTACCAAACAACAGCAAAAGGAAAGAGGGAACTTGATTCCTTTTCTGAACAATTGAATATGACCAAACACACTGGATAATTTTGGGTATTCTTTTACTTTCTCCCATCCCCCTTTCCCTTCGCCTTTCATCACTTTGAACTAAACTGACTTTAAGCTGTATGCCTGTATGTATCAAATATCATACCAACAAAGTTTTTTTTTTTTTTTTTTTATATGTTTTTTTAAGGTAAGATGAAAGATCTTATTGAACCAACACCTCTTATAAGCCACCTAGCTCTACAGGTCAACTATCATACCAACAAAGTTAATTGACATTCATACAAACTTATATGCTTCTAAATTCTAATTCACATTATTGCCGATTTCAATGCTTGTACTAATAAGTATTTAGGTAATCCAACATTTATTACAAGTGTATTTATCCTAATTGGAGTACAACCGATTCGAATCCAAATTAGTTGGAGGTTAATAGTACATGCTTTGTCATAGAAAGTCAAATAAACTTGAAAGAAGCAAATTAAGTAAAGGCTTAAGCGAAAAACCTATTTCTCTAAAGAAACTATGCAAACGATTAACTGTAAGATCAAATACTTCTTCCATCTCTACTTTCTCTCTCTTCTATTCATCACTTGCAAAGCGACCCAAAACTCATCTTCATCAATTATCTCTAGATTTCAAGAATATCTTCAAATTAACACTGCTTATCCAAATCCCAAATACTATGAAGCTGTTGATTTCATCCTTTCTCAAGCTAAATCTTTAGCCCTTGAATCCCAGACTATTGAATTTGTCAAAGATAAGCCTTTAGTTTTGCTCAAATGGCCTGGAAAAAACCCCAAATTGCCCTCAGTTCTCCTCAACTCTCACACCGACGTCGTTCCGGCTGAACCCCACAAATGGGCGCACCACCCTTTTAGTGCTCACATTGATTCTGATGGCAATATTTATGCTAGAGGTTCTCAGGTAAGCACTCCAATCAATATTTTAATTTTTTTATTTAAATTTATATTCTTTTTGTATCTTTTGATCAAGTTCTATTGATATGTCCATTAATTGTCACATTTGTAATTAAAATTATAATATGCATTCATTAGAAGACACCTAAAGTAATTAAGGGTATATTGAGAAATTAAATACTTGTTAACATTCGATTTAAATGGTTAGCATTCAAGGAAAAGTTAATAAAAAACAGTACTTTCTCCGTCCCATAATACTTGAGACGTTAGTATGGACACATATAGGGGTAGTGAGGAGAGAGAAAATACAGGATTTAATTGGGTTTTGGGGTTTGTGGTCCGAAAGAGAGTATAGGAAAATTCTTTTTTATTAGTGGTTCCATTCCATAATTAGTAAAGTGTTAAGTATTTTGGGACGGATGAAAATAAGTGTGTCAATTATTATGGGATGGAGGGAGTATCCGTTTTCTAGATAGTGGGGTTATTAGTTTGCTACTTCATTCCCAGGACAGTTGAGTATTGAATTCTGTGTCTAAAGGGCAATGGTTTTACAGCGAATATAGATTGGCGTTGTATGTTGAATCTTGAGAATTGAGATAGTGGGTTTTGGACTCTAATAAGGGTGAAAAATGAAATTGTAATATGTAAAAAGTTCTGTATTTCATTGAACTAATGGCTGTTATCCATTTATCTGTAAGTTACTATGATGTTTTCTAAACTTGAGGATAGTAATGTTTTCTTATAAGATAATTGTATACCCTGTATCACTCCCGGGTCTGAAGAAATTCTTATACCGATGCTAGCACACTATCATCTTATGGGTATCTTGCGTGTTCTGTTATTAATGCATTGATTTGTCTGTGTGTATGTGGATATGATAGTTGATGTAATAACCATGTACCCTAGCCATGCAGGATATGAAATGTGTGGGTACTCAGTACTTAGAAGCTATTCGGAAGCTAAAGAATTCTGGTTTTGAGCCTACTCGTACTATTTATTTGTCATATGTGCCAGATGAAGAGAGTGGAGGACTTGATGGGGCTGAGAAGTTGGCTGAGTCAGAATTGTTTGAGAAAATGAATGTGGCCTTTTTGCTTGATGAGGGAATGCCTTCACCAAATGAAAAGTATCTGGCTTATTATGCGGAGAGGTCACTAATGTGGCTGGTAATTAAAGCTACTGGGGCACCAGGGCATGGGGCAAAGTTGTATGACAATACTGCAATGGAGAATTTGTTGAAGAGTATTGAGAGTATACGGAGATTTCGAGCATCACAATTTGATATGGTAAAGGCTGGCTTAAAAGATGAGGGAGAGGTGACTTCAGTAAATATGGTGTTTTTGAAAGCTGGCACACAAACTCCTACAGTAAGTTTGTGGCTTCAATTTCATTAATCCATAAAATTGACTATGTAAAGTTAAAACTGTGAGTCATTGGTCGTTTGGTGGATTTTGTTTACAAACAAATGTCTGAGTATAAAGGTCTTAACTTTATGCAGAGCTTTAGAAAGGTTTCTAGATTCTAAGAAGCTAATGTTGTGTTCTTGGAACTGGTTGCTTACCTTTTTTTCGGGCAAAGCTTTAGCAGGCATAAAAGTGAGCTTTTTTATCCAGTTTAATTCATCATTTCTCATTCTGAAACTGATACACGTGGGGTCCCTGTTACCCGGATTGAAAATACATAATCTTTATGATTGCTTAATCTAGCTTTATAACATATCAATTAATTATTGTCTCAGCTCCATTAATATGGGACTTCTTAATGTTTGTCAGGGTTTTGTCATGAACCTGCAACCTTCTGAAGCTGAAGCAGGTTTTGACATTCGGGTTCCACCAACAGCTGACCTAAAATCCCTTGAAAAACGTATTGCTGAGGAGTGGGTCCCTGCTTCACGCTGACATTTGAGGTAGGAGTTGTTTGTCTCAAGGATCAATTTTTTTTTAATTCCATGGTAATCAATTGACCTCCTAAATGTCCCGCCTTTATTTTGATGACCAGCCATATGCTTCAGTAGTAATCTTTTCCTCCTCTGTTGTGTTTTAGATTTTGAACTTGATAACAAAGACTGAGTCAGGTACTCAGGTATATGATTTACCCTCCAGAGTCCTAGGATATATATTTTTCAGTGTATCTTAAATTACATGTATAAACTGTCAAAAGAACCAAAAAACTACTTGGTCCATATAATTAATTTGCTCATTTTGTAAATTCTCAGCTGACGAAGTAAACAGTTTGGGATTTTCTTGTATTGGCCTGAAAGAAAATGTGATGCAGCAAGAGTAGAGGGAGGGGAGGGTTCAGTAAAAGGAAATAAAACTGGCAGCAAGATCTGGAGTGAATAAGTGCTGGTTCCTAGTGCAGCCTACTTAATGCATGTAAACTTGCTGTTTGTCTTTCTAATGCTATGTATCTGATACTTTCTCACATAGATGGGTGCTTGATAACTTTTATCTGTAACTCTGTATGTATCCATAAGCAATTCTAAGTATAACTTTTATTCTGCCCTTGTGTGTGTAATTGAGGTTTTCTATTCCTAATTTGTGTTTGCTTTGACTGTGTTGATTGTTGCTTGCCAGTTTATTCAGAAGGATCCTTTGCTTGACAAGTTTGGTAGGCCAATCCTCACAGTTGCGGACAGTTCAAATCCATGGTGGTTCCTCTTTAAAGAAGCCATTCAGAATGCAGGTGGAAAACTTGAGAAGCCGGAGATTCTCCTTGGCGCAACAGATGCTAGTTTTTTTAGGCAAAGAGGTCTGCCAGCTATAGGATTCTCTGCCATAGCAAATACTGCAGACCGAGTTCATGATCACAATGAGGTACATGATAATTTTCTTTTTAATTATTAATTGACCACTCCGAGCTAATACATGTCCATAAGTAAACATTTATCTTCCTTTGCTGCAGTATATTTAAAATTTAGAGAAGTGGGTATGAGTTGTAGTGGTAGTTGCAATGTCTTGAATCAACAATTCCGTGTTATAATTGGAAACTAGTGAGTAGCCTTGGCATTTCCCCAGGTTGCTACTGTTGTAGACGTGCAATCGATAATTTTTTTAAAGGCTTAATTTTCAAAACTGAAATTGTCATTGTCAAAACAAAACTGAATTATTCTTTGAGTATCTTATATATTTTTTTAATTGAACCTTAGCTTGTGGTGTGCACTTTATAAATTATTTTACGTAGTAATAACATAGTTGATAAGGGGCTTAGATGGTTAAATAGCCATCTTTCTTATAAGAGATTGATGGTTCGAATCTCCTTATCTTTATGTTTTTATATGGAGTAATATTGGTTACTTGGGTGATAAGGCGTGTTATACAATAATATTGGTTTATTGGGTGACGTGACGTAATAATTAAGATTGTTTGAGTGATGATGTGGCGGCATGAGATATTGGGAAGGTGACGTGGCGCAATACAAAAGTGACTACGTGGCACATCGACGTTCTTAGAAATGCCTTTTAATATATTAGTATAGATGATACATACTTAGATCCTGCATGTTTAGGATAAAATCTAATATTAGTACTTCTTTCAATCTTAGCATTTCCTTGGTGTTTTTCCTCTGAAGTATCCTGAACCTAGTCTGTTGCAATCACAGATTTGTGTTTCTAAGTGCTCATACTGCTTCTTTTATTTTCTTATTAAGCCTTTAAACTTTTAAACTATAGGTTTGCCTCTGTTTTTTCATATATGGTGGATGTTTTACCAAGGTGCAAACTTAGAAATACAGTACACTCTCTAATGTTCTCTGTTTTTGATATAATAAACAGTTTAGGAATACAGATAAGAATGCCTGAAAGTGGCTGAAACTTAACCCTCTCGCCTCTTTTGCTATAGCATTACTTGCAAATTTAAGTTCAAAAACATGAAACAGAAGTTTATTTGTTAATAACATGCAAGGCTGCAAGCAGTGACAACTGGTGTTTGATGGTCGCTCTCTCTGCATTTGTCAGCACTAAAAGCTTATGTCCTAGCATAATTTAACTTAAATTTGTAATTTCTTCTAACAGCCACATGTTTGCTTGCTGCAGTTCCTAAATCAAGAGGAATATCTGAAAGGAGTTGACATATACGTGTCAATTATCAAAGCTTATGCATCATATGCTGAGCATACTGAAGCTAAAGCTTCTAATTATGAGCTGTATAAGAACAGCAAGCAAGCTTAGCTGAGATATCTGGATTTTCCCACTTTTCTGTCTTGTTGTAGTCATCCTGCAGCACCTCCGTTCTATAAAATTATGGATCAGAAACCAGTTTTCAGAGGAACAATTCAGTGCTTTTGTCAATTTTGGCAAATGTTATGGGTGTGTATGTAAAAACCCTGTATAATACTTCAAGTCTTCAATAGTCATTTTTAACAATAATATATTTCAGCAACTGCTCCAATTGTGATACATAATAACCCACCCCTCCCCCCCCCCCACCCCCAAATTCCTATATGATGTACCAAGAAGCTGCATGTACCTCATGCGCCACTGATGCATAAAAAAACATGCAGCTATGTGCACCCGGGTGCGTAAAATATTATAAACTTCCCGAAAAATAAAGGTACATAAGTTTGATGTGTTCAGGATGTGATGCTGCTTGTGAATGTTGAACGTGGGACCCAGCATTCGAACCCGAAACATAGAACTTTATAGCCTTTGTTCTCTTCTTTCAGTTGAGGCTTCATATCCTTTACCACCATCAGGAGAACTTCAAGTGAAGTAAAACCCCTCTCTGAATTCACAGGTCACACCCATGAAAATAGTCAACTGCAACAACTTTTTCCATTTGTACTTTCTTTCTCTCCTATTCATCACTTGCCAAGCAGCCCGAAACCCATCATCATCATCTCCAATCATCTCCAGATTCCAAAAATATCTTCAAATCAACACAGCTCATCCTAATCTCAAATACTATGAAGCTGCTGATTTCATCCTATCTCAAGCTGAATCTTTGTCTCTTGAATCCCAGACTATTGAATTTGTCAACAACCTGTAATCTTGCTCAAATGGCCTGGCAAAAACCCCAAATTTCAATCATGCTCAACTCTCACACTGATGTCATTCCGGTAGAATCCCAGAAGTGGACTCATCACCCTTTTGGAGCTCACATTGATTTTGATAGTAATATATATGCCAGAGGCTCTCAGGCAAGCACTTCTATCAAGTTAACATTTCTTGTATGGTTAGTTTTTCTGAAATGATGTTAATTGTTTTTGTTTTGATTGACAAACTCGATGAATATTATAATTGTATGTAAAAATTCAGTACTTTATCATAACTAAGGGCTTTTCATGAGAATTATAGTATATAGTAGCTTTGATAAAATTAGGTAGCAAATTGTGTTCCCGTACCCAATCTAATACAGCGAATTATCAGAGGCTTATAATCTAGTGGCTTTGAATAGTGTGTTGTGTAGTAGATTTAGGGAAAATTGTGGGTCTTGACTATGATTTTCTTAAAACAAATTGAAGAACAAGTTGTATAGATAGGTTTGTATTATGCTTATGGTCTATGAACAACCAACAGCAGCTTATGCTAACTAGAACAGAATGTATATACGTAGTCAAATTTTTCAGCCATTTATTCATAAGCTCCTATGAGGCTGTTAAAAACCTTTAATGAAACTAATTATGGCACGAATAAGGTTATATGACGAATTATTGTTTTACGTATGTATATGCAGGACGTGAAATGTCTAGGTATGCAGTACTTAGAAGCTATTCGGAAACTAAAGGATTCTGGTTTTGAGCCCAGTCGTACCATTTATTTGTCTCATGTCCCTGATGAGGAGATTGGGGGACGGGATGGGGCTGAGAAGTAAGCAGAGTCTGATGTGTTCAAAAAAATGAATGTGGCTTTTGTACTCGATGAAGGAGTGCCTTCACCAGATAAGAAGTATCAGGCATATTATGCAGACAAGTCACCGATGTGGCTGGTGATTAAGGCTACAGGAGCACCTGGGCATGGGGCAAAGTTGTATGACAATACTGCAATTGAGAACTTGATGAAGAGTATTGAAAGTATTTGGAGATTTCGAGCATCAGAATTTGACATGTTAAAGGTTGGCTTGAAATCCACAGGAGAGGTGATTTCAGCAAATTTCGTGTTTCTGAAAGCTGGCACCCAATCTCCAACTGTAAGTCTGCATTTGTTCAGCATTCATATCATTAATCCACATATACACATAAATAACACATTTTCACCAAAAAAAAAAAAAAAAAAAAAAAAAAAACATAACACATTACTTACATAAGGTGTATGAAATTAGTAAGGGGGCTTATTTTGTAGTGAGGGTCGACAATTTAGACATTTCTTAGTTCCTCTTCTTAGATGGAGATTTATTCTTGTCAATCAGGGTTTTTTCATGATTATGCAACCTTCTGAAGCTGAAGCAGGTATTGACCTTCGGGTTCCTCCAACAGTTGATCAAGCTGTACTTAAAAGACAAATGCTGAGGAATGGGCCCCTGCTTCGCGCAACATGAAATTGAGGTAGGACCGTAAGATTTGCTATCTATAGGAATACTTTTATCGGCTAATGTGATTATTAAATAAAATTCCTACTGTGATGACACTCAATCCTTCCTTCATGTTGTATTCTGATTTGATCTTCAGATGAAAAACTAAGTCATTATTTGACAATGACATAATTGCTTTCATGCTTTCATTTAAGCTTTAGTTGATTGACATGTTTGTTTCTTTCTCCATTTTCTTTCCACTTATATCCAATATCCCTGCAAATAGTTTTTTTCTGCTCTTTTTTCTTTCATTTGACTGCTAAGTATCATGTGGACAGTTGAAGAAGTTTTCTACACTTGACATATTTGGTAAGCCAGCTGTCACATCTGCTGATAGTTCGAATCCATGGTGGATCCTCTTAGAAGAAGCTGTTCAGAATGCTGGTGGGAAACTTAAAAAGCTGGATATTTTCCGCGGTGCAACAGATGCTAGGTTCTTTAGAGAACAAGGATTACCAGCAATCGGTTTCTCTCCCATTGCAAATACTCCAAGCCTAGCACATGACCATAATGAGGTAGATAGTACTTTTTTTTATGTATTTGTGAATGTCAATCAGAAACTTTGAGTCTGAATTTAGCGAGGCAATTGCCTTGCATTTCTTGAAAACCATTCTCTTTCATGCTGTCATGAAACAGATTTCTCAAAAACATGTATTCATAGTTGGTGTTTGATCTATCTGCTGCAAGTTTCGGTTTATCCTCTACTGTTCTTTCTTTTTTTAAATGCATTGTTCTTTTGATTCAGATTGTCTGTTTCTTTTGATTCAGATAGCGTCAGACTGGTAAACATCTGTTTTCCATAGCTGAACCTTTAAGCAATGTAATTTAATCAACAGTTTCTAGTGTTTGCTAATGGCAATGCAAACTGGCGTTTACATGGGAAACCATACAGTTTTCTAGTATGCTTGGAGAAAATCTAATGTTACAGTCTTTAAGTCCAAGCATACTTTTAGCTTAGAATTTGGCATTTCTTCTAACAAAAACATGTTTCTTTCTGCAGTTTTAAAACCAAGAGGAATATCTGAAAGGAGTTGACATATACCCATCAATCATCAAAGCTTATGCATCATAATATCATATGCTTGGCCTGCTGAAGCTAAAGCTTTTAAATATGAGCTGTAAAAGAACAGCAAGCAAGCCTAACTGAGATATCTGGATTTCGCCACTCTTCTGTCACATTGTACTCATCCTATAGCACCTCCATTTAATCAAATTGTGGTTCAGACTTCAGAAACTAGTTTTCAGAAGAACAATTCAGTCAATGCTTTGTAACTTTGGCACATGTTATGAACTCGAAGTGTGTAAAAAGCCTGTGTTACAACTTACAAGTACTTCAATACTCATTTAACAATAATTTTGTGATGCGTGTATATAAATAAATAAAACAACTATTGCATTAGTTTAGCAACTACTCCACTTTATGATAGATGTAAAGAGTTGCGTGTACCTCATGCGCCAATAAATGCAAACAAATTATACAGCTACGTGCCCCGGGTGCGTGAAGTATCATACCCCTACCTAAAAAAAGGTGGGGATTACCATGGTGCTTGTGAACATAACTTAGCACCCGGCATTCGAACCCGGAGCATAGAACTTTTATAGCCTCCGTTCTCCTTTCAGTTGTGCCTTTATACCGAGAACTTCAAGTAAAACCCCATCTCTGATTCATAGAATCACAGGTGACACCAATGAAAATAGTCAACTGCAACAATTTTTTCCATCTCTACTTTCTCTCTCTACTATTCATCACTTGCGAAACAACCCCAAATGGCCCAAACCCATCATCTTCAATTATCTCCAGATTCCAAGAATATCTGCAGATTAACACTGCTCATCCAAACCCCAAATACTTTGAAGCTGCTGATTTCATCCTATCTCAAGCAGAATCATTGTCTCTTGAATCTCAGACTATTGAATTTGTCAAAAACAAACCCTTAATCTTGCTCAAATGGCCTGGCAAAAACCCCAATTTGCCCTCAGTTCTCCTCAACTCTCACACCGACGTCGTTCCGGTGGAATCCCAGAAGTGGACTTATCACCCTTTTGGAGCTCACATTGATTCTGTTGGTAATATTTATGCCAGAGGTTCTCAGGCAAGCACTTCTATCAAGTTCACAATTTTTTTATGGTTAATTTTGTTTTAGTGATGTTATTTTGTATTTGTAATTGACAAACTTGATGAATATTAACACCCAAGTAAAATTCAATACTTTAGGATGTCATGTCCCTCGTAATTAAGGGCTTTTCCACGAGACATATTTGGAAAAAGCGATTGACAAAATTAGGTAGGGAATTATGTTCCCTACCCAATTTCATACAGTAAATGATGTGGGAGTGACTTATACTTATACTCCCTCCGATTTTAAAAACTTTGTTCCATTTTTTCATGTAAGCAATTTTAGGAGAAATTGAAAAAAGTAATAAAATATAGAGATGAGTGGGGTAGGTGAAAGAATAAAAATTTGTAAAGAGTATAAGTTGTCGAGAGAATTGAAGGAGAGAGGGTATGAAATTAATAAAATATGATTTGTATTGGCATTAGATATTGCAAAAGCTTTTCAGATAAGAAAATGAAGTAAGTATTTAAAAAATAAAAATGGCTAGAAATGGAAAGTACAACAAATATTTAAAAACGGAGGGAGTAGTATACGGTAGCTTGAAATAGTGTGTTGATTGTTGAATGAACTATTAGATTAAAGTAAAATTATGGGTCTATAATATGATTTTCTCTTGAAAATTGAAAAATAGGGTGTATAGAAAGATTTGTATCATGCTTATGGCCTGTGAAGAACCAACTGCAGCTAATGCTAGCTAAAACAGATTGTATTTTTTGTCAAAATTTCCAGTCATTTCTCCATAAGTTCCTATGAGGCTGTTTTAAACCTTGAATGAAATTAATTATGGCACTAGTAAGGGTCTACGACGAATTAATGCATTGTTTGTCTATGTATGTGCAGGACATGAAATGTGTAGGTATGCAGTACTTAGAAGCTATTCGGAAGCTAAAGGATTCTGGTTTTGAGCCCATTCGTACCATTTATTTGTCTTACGTCCCTGATGAGGAGATTGGGGGACGTGATGGGGCTGAGAAGTTGGCGGAGTCTGATGTGTTTGAAAAGATGAATGTCGCTTTTGTACTAGATGAAGGAGGACCTTCAGCAGATGAGAAGTATCGGGCATATTATGCAGACAGGTCACCGATGTGGCTGGTGATTAAGGCTGCAGGAGCACCTGGGCATGGGGCAAAGTTGTATGATAATACTGCAATGGAGAACTTGTTGAAGAGTATTGAAAGTATAAGGAGATTTCGAGCATCAGAATTTGACATGCTAAAGGCTGGTTTGAAAACAGCAGGAGAGTTGATTTCAGTAAATTTGGTGTTTCTGAAAGCTGGCACTCGATCTCATACTGTAAGTCTGCATTTGTTCAGATTTTATTTCAATAACTCACATATATGCATAAGTTACATTAGGTGTAACAACTTAGTAAGGGGCCTTAATTTTATAGTGAGGGTAGACCTACCTTAGTTCTTATTCTTAAATGAAGAGGTAATCTTGTTTATCAGGGTTTTGTCATGAATATGCAACCTTCTGAAGCTGAAGCAGGTATTGATATTCGGGTTCCACCAACAGCTGATCAAGCAGCACTGGAAAGACGAATTGCTGAGGAATGGGCCCCTGCTTCCCGTAACATGACATTTGAGGTAGAAGGTGCTGCCTATAGGAATTGTTATAGGTTTGTGATAATCAAATTAAATTCCCACTTGTTATTGTCTAACTGAAGTGATGCTCAATCCTTCCATTATGGTTGTATTTTGATTTGATCTTCAGATAAACAACCAAGTCATTATTTGACAATGACATACTTGCTTTCATTTAAGTTTTCCGGTGGTTGATATACTAGTTTCCTTTTCCATTTACTTTCCACTTCAAGTTCACTCCTATATCCCTGCAAATTTAGTTTTTCTGTTCTTTCTTCTTCCATTTGGCTGATAAGAATCATATGCACAGTTTACAGAGAAGTTTTCTACACTTGACATATTTGGTAAGCCAGCTGTCACGATTGCTGATAGTTCAAATCCATGGTGGGCTCTCTTAGAAGAATCTGTTCAGAATGCTGGAGGGAAACTGGAAAAGCCGGATATATTCCGTGGTGCAACAGATGCTAGTTTCTTTAGACAACGAGGATTGCCAGCAATAGGCTTCTCTCCCATTGCAAATACTCCAAGCCTTGCACATGACCATAATGAGGTAGATAGTAAATTTATCTATTCATGATTACGTCAATCAGAAAATTTAAGGCTGAAAGTAGCCAGGCAATTGCATTGCATATCTTGAAAACCATTCTCTTCCATGCTGTCATGGAATGGTTTTCTCAAAAAACTTTGTATTAACAGTAAGTATTTGATTTACCTGCTGCAAACTTATATTTACTGTTCTTTCTGTTTTCAAATGCTTTGTACTTTTGATTCAGATTGTCTGTTTCACTTCTGCAGTGTTAATTCTAAATTCAAGTTAATCTATTCTTCTGTTTCTAACAGTCATGAATTTACTTTTGGCAGTTCCTAAATCAGCAGGAATATATCAAAGGTATAGACATATATGCTGCTATTATCAACGCTTTTGCGTCTTATGATGAACAGACAGAAGCAAAAGCTTCTAAATACGAGTAGTAAGAAAATTATCAGCACTTCCAGAAAGGTGGATTTGGGATACTGCTCTCACAGGTTGTAATGTAATCATCCTGCAGCAACTCGAATCCTTCAAGAATGTCAATTAAGCAAAAGTTATAGGGGTCTGTAAATGCATCAGTTTTTAGTTGGTTAACTTTAGTTTCTATTTATAGAGAAAGCTTCTGAATTCATCTTTGTACTTCGTCTTTCAACAGTGCTTTGTTATATACAATCAAACATATAAATAAATAAACAAATTTTTCGTGACTTATTATTTCAGATACAAATATCATTATAATTTGGCTGCTCATCCCCGCCTCTCGCACACGCATACAGGAAAAAAAAATGAGGGAGGGAAGAAATGGCGATCAATGAAGCTTTCCATTCCTCAAATTATTCCGATTGGTCTGTTCATAGATTTTCAGCCGAAGTTATTACACATAGTATCACAACAAATAATTCACAACCACGGTGAATCTGTCCTGCTCAAGGAGACAGTTAAAGTACAGAATTTTTCTTCTTGCTGTATTTTTGAACAGTTCTTCACATTCTTTCCCAAAACTGAGAGACAGAGAGAAATGTTAGAATAACTGATGATGATGAGGAATTGAAGGAGCATGTGTAAAGCTGAGTTGGACTACACACGCAAGAAGCATGAGTATTGGATTGCTGACATCAGCTAAGGAAAAGTTTGTTACAAGTTAGTTACAAAATTCTGTTATATATATTTTAGCTGATAAGAAAGCTAATTCATTCATTCACACTTTTTCTATGTTTTTGTAAACTTCTTAGAAAATTCTCTGTAAATTTTCTTCTCTCCAAAATTTCAATGAAGCCGTCCTTCTAGCTTTACCTTCTTGCTGCCAACTTTGACATGGTATCAGAGCAGGTTTACGATCTGGTGATGAAGAAGTTCTTGATCATTTCTTGCTGAAATTGTTTGTTTGAGGTATTCTTCTTTCGATCAAATTCTCGAAGTTTTCTGATGTTCAAGTTCGATCAAATTTCTTGATTCTTTGTTCAAATTCTGCAAGACAGTACTACGATCAATTGAAGTTCAGTATATTTTGTTCATTCTTCTGGAATTAGTTGCTCAATCAGAAGTTCTTATTGCATTTGAGGAGTAATCGTTTGGTGAACATTTGTTTGTGATACAATTGTGTACTGAGTTTGATATTGAATTAGACTCTTGATTTTGTGGTTGTAATTGAAGTATAGAAATGGCAATAGATCCTTCACAAAATCCTACTTCACCATTTTATTTGCATCCATCTAATAATCCTAGTCAGAAACTGGTGAATTTTAAGTTTGATGGAAACAGTTATGGAGATTGGAAGCGTTCAATGTTGATTCACTTATCAGCCAAAAATAAGCTTGGTTTTGTTGATGGAAGTTTGATTAAACCTGCTGTAACTAGTGATCTTTACCTTGCTTGGGAAAGGTGCAACAATATGATCATTTCATGGTTGTTAGGTGTCTTAGAACAAGACATAGCAAGAAGTGTGTTATATTTCAGCTAGGGAAATATGGATGGATTTGAAAGAAGATTTGGGCAATCATCTGGTGCTTTGTTATACTCTCTACAACAAGCCTTACATGAGATTAAACAAGATCAAGACAATATTTCAGGATTTTACACCAAGATAAAGATGATTTGAGATCAGCTAGATGCTATTGATCCAATTCCTATGTGTTCTTGCATCAACTGTAACTTGTAACGGTGATATTACTCAGAGATTGCTCAAGTCACAGCAGGACAGAAGATTGGTTGGTTGAGTTCTTAATGAAGCTCGATGATGGTTTTGAGGTGGTCAGAGGAAGTATACTGATGTTGAATCCTTTGCCTAACATTTCACATGCTTACAGACTGCCTGTACAAGAAGAAAAGCACAAACAATTGTATCAGACGCATGGTAACTCCATTGAACCTATGGCTTTTGTTGTGAACAACAGGAAATATTTTGATCAAGATAAAAACAGACAGAGCTATTACAATCACAAACACAATGATCAGAGAAGAGTCAACTACTACTATGATCATTGCAAGGTTAACTATTCTGGTAAGGGTAAAAGAGTGGCTGCAAATGTAGAGTTTACTGGTCATGAAGAGAAAGAGAATCAGGGGAATGAGATTATATTATCTGGAGAGCAGTATGAAAAATTCTTGAGGTATCAGTTGACTCAACAGAAAGCAGAAATGCAGCCACCAAGTTCAGGAGAGACTAAATCTGCTCATGTGGCAAGTAAATTCTGTTTCACCTCTCCAGTTCATGGAAATTGGATATTGGACAGTGGAGCTACAGATCATATGTGTTATGATAGATCCTTGTTTGATTCTTTAAATGTAACACCCCCAAAATTCGGGTCTTTGTAAACAATAAGAGTAACCCTTTTCTTTTCAAAACCGACATCGAAGCTTGGGAGTGTTACTGTTACACTTATTTTCCGTAGAAAACAAGTGCAAAGCAAAAACAAAATACCATTTTATAACTAAGTGATCTAAGTGGCGACAAGAATTAAATATTCGTTACATCCAAACCGTAAAACATTAAATAAAAGGAAAATAACTAAGTTCAGAATTAACTAAAATGTCTTAGCTACGTGATTATTCTAACGTCTCCTCACACGTAACCGAGTACCCTTTTACCAACCTGCAAAATAAATCGGAAACAAGAAAAGAGAGAAAACTCCCAAAATCAGATAAACCGAGTAATTCCAACTCCATCCTGTAAAATAATAATTTTAGTTCGAAAAATATTTTACACAACCCAATTTTATCGACATTACAATAATAAGTCAAACCAAATTGTCACATAAATTTTATTACTTTAGTTAAGAAAGGGAAAGAGAACACCAGTAAGCCGGGACTAGTCCCTGTCACCACCTACTTTACAGAGGGGTCGCGCGTAACCCCAAATGGCCATAAATTAAACAGAATGTCCTGAGTGTGCACACCCCTCACTAATACCCATTGATTAGGAGGAAGACTAAACAGCAATATACGTCAATTTAAACCAACTAGTAGCAACCATAACCACTAGTGGGCAACCTGTTCTTCACCCTTTCGGGTTTCATTTCCCTTCTTAATTTAATGTACATTTTAATAGATTAAATTGTCCGATCACATTGCACACGAGTATTGCACAAATCAATTTAATCCCAAGTAACAATATTTTAGTTTCTGTACTTTTAAAACAGAGTCATTTTAAAAGGACATACTAGTTACAACTCGTTTCTCAATAGGTCTTGGAGACCATCAACCACATATAATCAATCATCCAATTCCCAAGATTTTAACTATATAAAAACTCATACGATACTAAATAATCAAATTTTCGAAAATATTATACTAGTACACAATTATAGAAAACTAGTATATAATATAATTCCAGAATATCATACGGTAACACATCCATCACATATAATTACGTAAGCACATAGTTGGCACACAATAATTTAAAACAATTTCCTAACGTGATTCTAAAGATGATGGACATTGAAATTTACCTTGAGTTACGCGTAAATCTCAAGGTAGGTAACCTTCGAAACGTTCACCTAGTAGCCTCCGTCTACAAATAAACAGATAATAAAACTAAATTAGTCTGACTCGTATAGCTAATAGTCTAATTACGAAGTTAGTACGTAGTAGCACGAGACGGAAATAACAAAAAAAAAACACTTGTAAGTCTACTGTGTTAGGATTATAAGGTATTGCTTTATTTGATGGCCCACTACAACATTCATCTCCTCTTGAACTACAATTCCCACGCACCAACTCCATAGTTTTCTTCTTCAATGGTGTCCATTCTCCTTTTTTTTTAAGAAAACAACCCCCCTTCCAGTTCGTCAACTACAACAACAGGCGATAGTTTACAGAAATTGAGTGGGTAAGAGATCATTATCAGTGTATCAAAATAAGAAAACCATCGCTTACCGACGAAAGACCGGTCGAGAATAACGACTTGGTAAATTGAGAGGCATGGGTATTGTATCAGCTTTAGGCTTTAGGTATATATATAACTTTAGAAAACTTAGGTTAAATTTCTCTAGAGTATTCCGGAGATAAGTCTCAATTCAAAGTTCTTGAAAAGATAAGCTCAAATTTTTAAATCAGTTTCTGAAAACATCCGAAATCAGTTTTTTTTTTTTAATAAATCCGAAAATAATAATACTTATAAATTTTTCAAAATCAGTTTTTTTTTTTTTTTAATATATCATTTGAAAAATAACTATAAATTTAAAACTCTATACTAGAAAAATCGTTGATTAAATATACTCAAAAATTCGTTGATTAAATATACTCTAAAATTTGGGGTATTCATCTACTTCCCCTAAAACGAAAGTTCGTCCTCGAATACTCAAAAATTTGGGGTATTTCATTAAATCAATATAGTGGTACAGAAAATTCAATCACTATACCTAATGGGAAACAAGTGACAATCACACACTTAGGTACAATAACACTAAACAGTCATATAGTGTTGAATAATGCACTATATGTTCCTGATTTTAGGTATAATCTGATTTCTATACGTAAGTTGTGTAAGGATTTAGGTTGTCATGCTATTTACACTGACAATGAGTGTTATATTCAAGGCTTTTCACAAAAGCCAACTCTTCTTGGTAAACTCAAGAATGGACTATACTGTTTGGATGATTCAGTCCTAGAAAAGAAAGGTCATACAGAGTCTCTTGCTGATGCTATTGTACATAGTAATGATCTTAATAAAGTCAAGTTATGGCATCTTAGGTTAGGGCATCTTCCTGTCAATAGATTGCATCATGCTGTTTCTGATGTTTGTATTAAAGAGTGTACTCTGGATAGTTTTTGTCAAATCTGTCCTGCTGCCAAACAGACTAGAAATTCTTTTCCTGTTAGTAGTATTAAGTCCAAGGCACCATTTGAACTTTTACACATTGATGTATGGGGTCCTAATCCGGATCCCACCCACAATGGTTGTAAAATTTTTCTGACAATTGTTGATGATTTCAGTAGAATGACTTGGATATTTCTAATGCATTACAAATCAGATGCTATTCAAATTTTTTTAAATTTTGTTATGTATGTTGAGAATCAGTTTGTCAAAACTGTTACAATGGTGAGGAGTGACAATGCTCCTGAGCTTTGTGAGGGGGAATTAAAGGTTTTCTTTCTTGCAAAGGGTATTTCCCAACAAAGAAGCTGTGTGGATACACCACAACAGAATGGGGTTATTGAAAGGAAACACAAACATCTTCTTGAAACTTCCAGAGCTTTATTCTTCCAAGCTAACCTTTCTATACAGTTTTGGGGTGAGTGTGTCATGTGTGATGTCCATTTAATAAACAGAATGCCCTAACATGTTCTTGGTAATTGTTCACCATATGAAAAGGTATTTGGCTTAGCACCCTCCTTAGACCATTTGAGGGTTTTTGGTTGTCTATGTTTTGTTTCAACATCAAAACAGCACAGAACAAAATTTGAACACCCAGGCAGAACCTCATGTGTTTATAGGATACTCTTCTTACCAGAAAGGATAAGGTGCTTTACTTAGACTCCTTGAAGATATTTGTATCCAGGGATGTAGTTTTCCATGAACAACACTTTCCTTATCATTTTTCAGCCAAAACACAGCATAAATTCTTCCTTCCCATTTCCACTGATTTCTCCTCTTTCTCTTATGATTCCCTTCCTGTAATCATAAGGGAATATGATACTCCTGTTCCCACTGACCCTACTTCTTCTTCTGATTCTTCCCTTGACATGCAACCAGACACATCTCTTTCTACTGACTTATCTGAAACTGTTACTAGTTGTCCTGCTCCCACAGTGAGAAAGAGTTCCAGACCTACAAAGTTTCCATCCCATTTTGATAACTTCATATGTAACCTTAGTGAATCCAGCAGTTCTCAGTCACACTGGTGTGGTCTTGTTCAATTCAGCCATATTTCACCATCAATACATGCTTTAGTCTCAGCTGCAGAAAGCTTGCAAGAACCTACTTCTTATCTACAGGTTGTGAAGGATGATAGATGGGTTGAAGCTATGCATAAAGAACTCACTGCTTTACAAAAGAACAACACTTGGATTTTGGTTTCTCTCCCTCCTAAAAAAAAGGCCATTGGTTGTAAATGGGTTTACAAGATCAAACTCAAAGCTGATGGTTCTATTGAAAGGTTCAAAGCAAGATTGGTGGCTAAGGGCTATAATCAGAAGTGGGGGATTGACTATGATGAAGTTTTTTTTCCAGTTGTGAAGATGGGAGTTTGAATTTTCTCGCCTTTCTCTCTCTCTAGCTAGTCACTTCTAACTTGTTTTTCTTTCTTTATCTCATTAACAAAAACAGAATAGCATCATCATAGTAGCAGTATATGTAGATGACATTATTGTCACAGGAAGTGATGAGTTGGAAATTTGCAGATTGAAAAGTCATCTTGATGCTGTTTTCAGTATCAAAAATCTGGGAAAGCTTAGCTATTTTCTTGGGATGGAAATTGGGTACATGGATGCTGCTACAAGTATGTCACAAAAGAAGTTCACAAATGAACTGCTGAAAGAAGCTAATATACATGAAGATAGGACAGCTGTAACTCCTCCACCTGTATACATTAAACTACAAGCAACAGAAGGAGATCTTTATGGTGATCCTAGTAGATACATATGTCTTGTTGGGAAATTGAATTTCCTGACTCATACCAGACCAAACTTATCCTATGCTGTACAACATCTCAGTCAGTTTCTTCAAGAACCTAGAATGCCTCATTTCAGGGCATTACAACACACTTTGAGATATGTAAATGGGACAATAGGGCAAGGTATTTTATTGAAAGGTGCAAAAAAGTTGATATTACAAGCCTTTTCTAATTCAGACTGGGGAGCTTGTTTAGATAGCAGAAGATCCATCCAGGTTACATTTTGATCTTAGGAAAATCTCCTATAACTTGGAAGTCAAAGAAGCAAGGTGTTGTGTCAAAAAGTTCCTCAGAGGCAGAGTATAGTACAGGGCAATGTCAGCAGCAACAGGAGAAGTAGCATGGATTGTGAGATTACTAGAAGAATTGGGAGTTCAGAATTTGAAGCCTGTAACTCTACACTGTGATAATCAGAGTGCAATTCACATAGCTAAAAATCCTGTACATCATGAGAGGACAAAGCATATAGAGATTGATGTTCATTTTACAAGAGACAAGGTGTTAGAAGGATTAATACAGATTACATACTTACCTACAACTTCACATATTGCAGACTTGTTCACAAAAGTACTACCCTCAAGACAGTTCAATGAGTTACTATCCAAACTAGGCATGGTTAACACAATGCATAGTTTGAGTGGGGGTGTTAGAATAACTGATGATGATGAGGAATTGAAGGAGCATGTGTAAAGCTGAGTTGGACTACACACGCAAGAAGCATGAGTATTGGATTGCTGACATCAGCTAAGGAAAAGTTTGTTACAAGTTAGTTACAAAATTCTGTTATATATATTTTAGCTGATAAGAAAGCTAATTCATTCATTCACACTTTTTCTATGTTTTTGTAAACTTCTTAGAAAATTCTCTGTAAATTTTCTGCTCTCCAAACTTTCAATGAAGCCGTCCTTCTATCTTTACCTTCTTGCTGCCAACTTTGACAAGAAATCTCCCATTAACGACACGGTTGTTTTCATCTGTTATAGTACTTCACTTGCTACCCTATTTTTCTACCAATAATCTCCACATGAACAAGTACCATCTTGAAAATGATGGTATCTTACTTGGTCTCTAATCACAATGATTCTCTTCTCTGTTTTAGCAACAAGCTTTGCAAAGAGATGGCAATCCCCACAAATTCTAAGATTCTTCTTAATCCTAATAATACTTGCTCTAGGCAAGCTCATTAACCCATATACAATCGCGAGTTTCTCACTGTGGTACTGAAGCGAATCTTCCTTTTGCTCTCCCTCAAGATCTTGCAAGATGAAGTTTGTATCAGGAACATAACCTACCCCTCTCAATTTCAGAACTAACTGATTTAGCTCTCTGATAATGTCATCTATTTGAGGATGTGACATATCTCGGAAGATGAAAGCATGAATTCTCTTATTTACTTCAATCCAGCTGCATCCTGGTTCCTTCTTAAGTCCTCTTTCTCTCATTGTCTTTCTCAAACTCATGGCATCTTCCCATCTCTGAGAGTTCTCATAGATATTTGATAGTAGTATATACGTCCCCACATCATCTGGTTCTAGCTTCAAGATTTGCTTGGCAGCATAAATAGCTATATCTGCATTTTTGTGAATCTTACAAGCGCCAAGGAGAGTTCTCCAAGTCACTGCATCGGGTTCACAGTTCATTTCATGGAGTAATCTAACAGCATCATCAATCTTACCTGCCCTTCCTAAAAGATCAATCATGCATCCATAATGCTCTCTACCAGGATCAACACCGAACAGCTTCTTCATGGACTCAAAGTAATATTGCCCTTCCTCTAATAGACCAGCATGGCTACAAGCAAATAAGACACCAACCATTGTAATATAATTTGGTTTGGTCTCAGTTTGTTTCATCTTCTCAAATAAATCAAGGGCTTCTCTGCTGAATCCATTTTGAGCTAATCCAATAATCATAGTGCTCCAAGAGATAACATCTCTCTCCTTCATCTGGCTAAAAAACAAACGCGCATCATCTAACCCACCACACTTGCAATACATATCTAAAAGGGCATTGTTGAGGATCAAATCTTGATCATACTTCAGCACATGAACATGCACCTGCCTCCCTAATTCTAACAATGATAACCCAGTAACTGCTCTCAGAGTACTTGTCAATGTTGCTTGCTCAGCCGCAAAACCAGCCCTCTTCATTCTCTTGAAGAGATTCAAAGCCTCATCACTGTCACTGTTCTGTGCAAAAGCTCCAATTATGGAATTCCAAACAACCAAATCTCCGGTCACAAACTCCTCGAAAACAGCCAGTGCATTATCCAATTCACCCCACTTAGCATAAACATCAATCAAAGCACTCCTTACAAATACATCGGACTCTAAGCCATACTTAAATAAACCACAATGCACCTGCCTAAGGCTCAACACCCCATCACAAGCTCTCAAAACAGAGGAAAACGTATACATATTCGGACTAACACCCTCTCGAAGCATCAAAATCAAGAACTCCAAAGCCTTATGACTAATCTTAGCATTAGAATACGCTGATATCATTGTAGTCCAAGCCACAACATTTCTCTCAGGCATTTTATCAAACAGCTTCTCTGCTTCACCCAAAAGGTTAAATTTTACATACATATTCACCAACATACTAAGTAAAAAAGATTTGGGTTTGTTCCCATTTGAAACCAAATGCTTATGAACAAGTTTTCCTTCCTCAATTGCTTTTTTAGAAATGCAGCATTTGATGAGTTCAGAGTAAGCAACACAATCCGCCATTAAACCATGATTTTCCAAGCTTTTCATAGAATTTATTGATCTGGGTAAATCTCGTTGATAGCAGAATTTGGTAAATTCTTCGATTAAATTTGGAAAAACTGCTGCATTTTCTGTTAAATTTGCTGGTACTAAGTATGAACGTAAGAAGAACAGAGAGCATTTTTCGATTGATTTTAACTTTGAAAATACTAAATTCATAGTTAACTGGGGTTAGAGATTAGAATTATATTGTTTCAGGGATTCAGATTAAAGTTTAAAATCTATCAACATTTTGATGCATTTGCAAAAAAAAATGGGATGAAAGTGTAGTAAAATCACGAAATGTTAAAAAACACTAATATGTTGGGCAACAGTTGACTAGAATGTGGGCTTAAATGTTGTGCAACTACATTAATATCTCATAAAATTTTGGTTGAGGTCGCGCTAAGCCAGTAGGTTATGCCCAGTAAATGAACATTTACTAGAAAAAAAAAATGAACATTTACTAGAAGAAAAATGAATATTTATTTTTGAATATTGTATTATATAAAAATAAATATTTATAATATAAGAGTAAAATAAAGAGATTATAAAATTGAAAAAAAATATTATATATTTAATATTATATAACTGAACATTTCGGTTGTAAATAAAAATGAATATATGATGTTATTGCTTATTTATCAACAATTTTTTTAAGCTTCAAGTTAAAAACCTTGATTTGTTCAATTCTCTTGATAGATATCTTGCAATTGAGCTATATGATTTAACACCAATTAAATAAATCAACAATATATTTTTTAATAATGAACAAAATGCTAATGTCTAAAATTATAAATTCTAATGCTAATTGAACGTCTTTTTTTATAAAAATGAACATTTTATACAAGTGAACAAATACAAAAATTTGTATTAATTAAAAAATAAAATGAACATTTATTTTTATAAGAATGAACATCATACGGTATGAAATGAACATTTGTTTTATAAGAATGAACATCATACTGCATGAAAATGAACATTTGATTATTGAGAAATACAAAATTATTGTAAAATATGTTTAATTAAAAAATGTTCATTTTTGTTATAGTAAATGTTCAATTTTGGCGACGACCATTGGCTGAGCGTGACCTCGGGCATTAACTACTGATATATATTGTAGAGGTGATCATTGGGCAGGCCGGGCCGGACCGAAGCTAGAAAATTATGTCCAAAACCCGCCCATAATAGAGTCGAGTCGGGTCGGGTCAGGCCAAACTTGATCAGGTCTATTACGTTGGGCCTTTGTTCTTCTTAGACATTCGTGTGATAGCCTACCAAAATTGATGACATATGGTGCATTTATTTTTATTTTTTTTGACAAGACATATGGTGCATTTATTAGGTTTCATTGATTATGTTTTGGATGGTAAGATGTCTAATCTTGTAAGAATGGGTTGATTTGTATAAGCTTCCACCCACCCCCTACTAAGGTAAAGTGAATCATTTACTAATTCAATTGACAGGGTACGTATCAATAAAAAGTCAGTTTTGACAACTGATGATAATAAGGGAAAAATCCTTGCAAGTTTGTAATGAGAATCGAACCTAATTAGCTTGTTAAACGAGTTTAGAAATGACTATTACTTGGATTTTATTTTTATTTTTTATTTTTTTAATCTATGTGAAGCATTTGGTTGGTATTGCTATGGTAGCAATCAAACCTTAATATTAAATATAATAAAGTAAAAAATTGAGATTCCCATTCCTTTAAATATTGTAATTGATCTATTTCTTATTAGATATTATGATATTAAGTATTAATCATCTTATTTGGTAAGGTTTATATTACAAAACTTAAGGTTGGTGAATTGAGCCGACTTTGGGCTTTTTGAGGAGGGAGATTCTCTTTATATTAAATTCTTAGTGGAGTTAACTTGCTAAGTTCGTTGGATCAAGTTAACTCGTGTAGCCATGTCAGGTTTTATCCATCACTTCTTATCATATTAAATGGATTTAACATTTTGAGAAAGAAACGTATATAGAATTAATAGTAATATGGCTAGTAGTGTTAGAAAGGTTTACCAAAGTTACACAAAAGCTATATAGATGATGTAATAACTATAGCTGGATAAACATATGTAAATAAGATCATATGAGGTTGTTAGTGACTTAGGGCCTGTTTGATTAACATAGGAATTAAATTCCTATGGTAATTTTAATTTATGGGAATTTATTTCCTTCATACAATTTTTATGAAATGACCATAAGTTGTTTAGTTCTTATAAAGGAATTTGAAATTCATGGGAATTTTGAGTGACTAAGGAGGAGGTAGGTAATTAAATTTCCCATGTTTTGTGAGAAGTAAAAATTTCCCATGAATTACCAATTCCTCCATTTTCACTTTTTGTTGTTAACCAAACAACTACCTTGTTTGCAAATTCTCATGATTTTTATTTTCCACATATTTGAAGATCAGCCAAACAACACCTTAGTGTAGCCCATGGAAAGATGATAATGTAAGTTAATCAACATGATGCTTGGAATAAGTACAAAATGACTAATTGAAAAAAAAAAGACATCCTAGCAGCATGTGAGGATGGGCCATATTAATTTAAATTTTATGTTTTATCCACAAAGAGTAAAAAATATTACTGTAGAGAAAGCAAATTCTTACCTAAAGCATTACATTTCTCTCAAAAAAAAAAAATTTATAAAATATTTTTAAGAAAATATCTAAAGCATAATATTGGCAACTCCTTCAATCAAAACCCTCATACAATTCAAGTAGAAGACCTATTCTAGTATTCTTCCTTCCAATATAAGGCAATTCTATTCATCTTTTTTTTTTCTTTTTTGTAGAATCATCCTTGAATAAAGAGATTGGCAATCATCTGAGAGATTCTGTTTTGGCCTTTAATTTTCTTTCTCCCATGCATAAAGGTGTACACTAATTGTTATTTTCAAATTTGTAATTTATGATCCCAAAAGTAATGATGCAAGCGGTACAACATCTATGAGCAAGTGCAATTTCCCATCAATTTTGTATTCTTGATTTGGAAATTGTAAATATTATACGGAATATAATTATATTAAAATGTAAACTGAAATTAAACTTAGAAAATCAATGACATCCCAATTAACCCAATATCCCATTAGCTAAATATTTGGACTTTTTTTCAATTCAAAATTAAGTTCTCACTTTTATGATTGCAACACCAAATATAATGCATTATTCAAGATTTAAGTTGGTAAATCCACTCTAATTAGACCAAAAATCAACCAATCTTTCTCTTACTCTAAATATTTACATTCAAATTAAGTGGACTCAAGTCAATTGAATAGGTTGATTATTACGATGACTACAAACCGATGATATAGTACTAAAAGATGTACATGTACCACACTAGCAAATCTACTACAGGAGTCAATACCACTCAAATTAACAACTTTGTGCATCTCATTCCATGACAAATCAACCAAAATTCTTACAATACAACGATAATTCATCTCTCACAAAAAATTAATAACTTCGAAATAAAATAAATTAATAAATAAAATCTCCACAATCTGAGCTCAGTAGCTCACTTATTATTGGGAACAGTTGCACCAGTATCATTACCAGAAACAGAGGCAGATTGATTGACATTATTATTAGCAACAACAATAGTTGAACCCGACGATGTTTCCAATCTTTGCCTATAAAAATGAACCGCAAACAGAAACGCAGCAGCCAATAACAAAACGACACCTGTACCTCCGCAAACTACTGTTGCAATTAACAACGCATTTCTTACTTTATTCTCCTTTTTCTTACCCGGTGGCGTCTCTCTCCACCACGTATCCAACGACGCCGTTTTGTTCGAATTATCTAGAATCTCCGGTGAAGGCGGCTTTTTCTCCGGCGGAGAGGCTTGTTCGCCGAAGAACATCATCATGTCCGGTGACTTCACTGGAAGATTCTGGTACGGTAATCCATGCTCTGATGGCCGAAGCTCCCGTGATTCTCCGATGACAATTGCCAGTAATAATGCCACTGAAGTTGCTAGTAATTTCGCCATTGGAGTCGATACGACAGCGTTTCGTGGATTTCTTGTGATCATATAATAATTTTCTAGAGTTTGGATTAAGGCTTGAAGATAGATAGTTTGAGAAGAAGTGAGCGAGTAGAGGTAGTGAAAGAATGTGGAATGAGAGAGACAAAAAATGGAATTGGAAGATATGTTGTTGGGTTGTTAACGTGTTACTTCATCATTTTTTTTTATATTAAATATACTTATTATACCCTGTAGCATATAACAATATTAAAGGTCAAATTATACATTAGAATCATATACTACTCTCATATTTTACTTTATTAGTGATTTTTTACATGTAAAAAAAATTGTTGTATTAGACTGATAGTTATGGATATTACAGAATATAAATCATACTTTTATATTAACAAATATATCTAATTAAATTCCCATTAGTATATAATTATACGTGACAGTTAAATTAAAGCACTTAAGAACATGAAGGAAGTATATTTTTGGACTTAAGGTTGGTGTATCGCGTGATTATATGTCGGTAAAAAAACATGTTAAGGGCGGGGCCAAATGTAATAAAAAACAGTTAATAAAGAAAGGGGGGTGGAGCCATGGAGGGGTGAGAGGAGAGAAAAAGACATAAGAACGCCGCTGGGTTATTTGTCATATTTAGTCTCCGATGATGACGCTGAAATCTTTGGTAATTGGCGGTAATATAACCAACTCTTCTTTCACTGCCTTTTCACTTTTTGACTTTTGTCCTTAATCTTGTGAGTACTACTTTTTCATTATGTTGTCCAAAATTGTAAGCTTGGAAGGACTTTGAGTAACTTGTGGCCAGATTGCAGTGAGTGTAGGCTTTGGGGCCTTTTTCAAGAGTGTGGTGCATATGGATGTGCCTGGTGGCTATCTTAATACTTGTGGGTGGTCCATGTGGAGTATAGATTCATAGATGTACATTCGTATAACTGAGTATTGTACTAATGTTTAAGATGAAGCTTTTATAACATATGTTTTGGAATTGTAATTTTGTTTTCAACATTGTTATATGTAAGCTTGAGTTGTTTAGTTTTTGACGGGTTTGACCGTTTGAGCTACAATCGGAACATATTGGATGTTCCATAACTTTCATACCATGGTCCAACTGTGTCAATTTCTCATCATCAAATCCAATCTTTCATCAAACTTTGTAGGCTATCCAAAGTTTTTTCTTAGCGTGCATTTTGTTATTAGGTTTATCATATAGCATAGACATCCAACTTCTTTGTTTACACAGTACCTTTTTACACAAGGAAATCTGGCCAATAGATGGCCAAATTGTGTAATCTTTATGATTATAAGTTTTATAACTAGTTCAAAATAGTAAAATAGCTAAATCAATAAAAAAAAATAGGGAATTTGTAATATTAATCCACAACTACATAGTAGAGAATACTAATTTTGAAAGAAGTTCATACATTAAGAAATCCATACATTAAGGGATTCATATAACCATTATCAAATAAAGAAAACTGATGTATCACCCTTTAGAGCTACATGTCGAGTTAGAAATCAAATCATTAAGCATGGTTAACATCAATAAAACCAATTGACGTGTATTTTATCACGCATTCTTATGTAATAAATGTTTATAAAAATCATTAACTTATTTAATTAGGAATCAATACTAATTTTCAATTAACTTGTCTAAAATTTCATATTATTCCCATGACTATGAAATAAATGATTCCTTATCTATCACTCTCATTGAAAAAAGCACCAAAAATGGGCCGAGAACAGGCCAATATTCATTTCGTCCACTTTTTTGCTTCCATTCAATCACTCGTACACTCTTCCTTCTTTCTTCCCCAACTTTCTAAATTAAACCTAGTCCACAACTCAATTTCCCCAAATTAACACTAACAATTTCCAGAAAACCCATTAATTTTCTGTCATCAAATTTCAATCATCAATGGGATTTCATTCAAATCCCTAATTTATACCTGCAATTTCTGGGTAAAATTTGTTTTTGAGGAGTGACAATGTCGTTGAGGATTAAATCAGTGGTTGATAAGTTTGTTCAAGAATTAAAGGAAGCTTTGGAAGCTGATATTCAAGATCGAATTATGAAGGAGAGAGAAATGCAGAGTTACATTGAAGAACGTGAACGTGAAGTCGCTGAACGTGAAGCTGCTTGGAAAGCTGAATTATCTCGTCGAGAGGTATGTTTCAGCTCATTTTTCTTCAAATTCTTGTTGTTTTGATGAAATTGTTCTTAGATTTCTCAATTCAATTGGGTTTTGGTTAAATTGGTGTTTTGGTTGCGAAATTGAGGAATTAATGTGGTATTTATGTATGGTGTTGCTGACCTAATGATTGGTTAATTAGGGGTTATGTTAATTACTGTTTCAAGAAATTGTAGTGCTGATTTTGTTAAATTTTTGCCATTTGTAGATTATTAGGGTAGTTTTGCTGACCCATTTTTGAATTGGTATATAATTGGGTTGGATTGAAGCTGGTTATAGTTTTGAGGAAATATAATGTTGATTTTGTTAAATTTCTTACAACTGCAGTGCTGACTCTGCTAGTTTGAGGTTTGCATAACTTGATGGGTTCGGAAAGACGAAACCATTGGCTAATGAGTTATGGATGGTAAACCCTTGGGGTGTTATTAAGTGGTATCATTAGCTAAGCTGCCATCGCGCATTTTCAAATAATGATAGTTATTGGTAAAGTTGCTTAATGTTAGTAAGGTTACTATGACTTTGTAATAATCTATGACAATGAGACGATCATCTCTCATTCGCTAAGGCAGGCTCAACCAATTTCCGAAGTTCTTTGCTTTTGCTGTCATAATAAGTTAGGAAGTCTTAGTTTAGTGTCACAGGTGCAATTGAAAACGCATCCATGTTTAATGCATAGGTTCCTTGGAAATCCTTGTCTTGTACAGAATACAATGATGTAGTATAGAAATGCTGTTTCAAGTGAGAACTGATGCCTTTTTAGGATCAGGTGAATTTTGATGTCTAAGCAGGTGAATTTTAGGATAGTTCAGAAGTCAGAGTTGATAATAAGAAAGCTTATGAGATAAAAAAAAAAACGGTGTAGTTTCTGCTGTCCATTTTATTTAAGTTAACGTCTCGTGTCTCTTGCACCATCATTATAAGTTGGTGACAATTGTGCAGTACGTGTGTTGCTGATTCTTTTTTCTGCCATATGAGCTAATTTTTCTCTTTCTCATTGATTGGTCTTTTAATTTTTTTTCAGAGGAATTGATCTTGTTCTCTTTGTGCAGGCCGAGATTGCTCGTCAAGAAGCAAGACTAAAGATGGAAAGAGAGAATCTGGAGAAAGAGAAAAGTGTTCTCATGGGAACTGCATCAAATCAAGATAACCAGGATGGAGCACTTGAGATCACTGTCAGTGGGGAGAAATATCGATGCTTGAGGTTCTCAAAGGCTAAGAAATGATTGCTATTGGCTTCAGCTTACTTGCCTCAGTAGCTGCAATCTCGGCGAAACTTTGCTCTGTATGCTGCTTTCAGAGTAACTGTGTATGCATCTATGTGCAGAGCAAGTTTATATTCATTTCAATTAATTGTTTTTGTACATGGTAGCTTATAATTGCAATAGGAACTACATATACGTCTCTGTGGTATATGGTTATTCAGCAATTGAAAGATGACCTGCACTTACCAGAAGCAAAAGATTTTGAATTTTTTTTTTTTTTTCGCCCGTCATTTTTGTGTGGTTACCTGTTGTAGACTCCATGGTTGATTTGCTATCCCTTTCTCTTCCATGTTTCTACAGATGGGATGGACTGAAATTGCGGTCACGTGACGATGTAGTGCTCGGATACGCTATTGCGTTTGCACACTCACACATACTAGTATTCATATGTACACTCACATTTGATACATACTAGTATACTTCACTCTTATTGAACCTACAGTAAGGTTTAAGTGTGGACTTTTCATGTTCAACAGCATTACTGCTTCTTCCCTCGCTTTTAAACACCCCCATTCCCTCCCACCAACAAAGGCAACATAAACACAACACAGCAATTTGGTGCTTCACAGCGCCGAGACTATAGCTGGAGGTTAACAGAGAATACTATTTGAACCAAAAAGTGTCATCTGTTAACATACCACCATCGTCATCCTCATATGATTTAGGGGTTGAATACCAAGCACAAGATTTTATGAAATTCAAAAATTCAATTACTCAACTTTGTAAAGAAAAATAAATGTTACAGCCTAAAAATTAAAAATGTCACTCCTTTGTCAAATGGAGTAACATTATGCAACTTCCCTATCTACTTCTTCCTTTCTTTTTCTCCATCTTCTCCAATAACGAAAATAACCAGCCAAAACTACCCAATTAAAGGAAAAATTATTAGCTAAATGATTTTGCAAAAGAAGATTATTAAAGAAATTATTTTATTTTAAAAAAATTAAATAGTAGCACGTGGTTGGAAGTTGTAACACAGTTCTTGACTTCAAAACTTTTAAGGGTTATTATAGAAATAACCGTCCACTAGCATAAAGTCAGTAGAATTTAACCATGCAACTGCATAGCACTCTCTATAAAAACGGTTCTTCAGTTACTACTAGGAGAACAAAAACAATGAGCAGAATTTCCACAATCAACTACTACTTCTTGATCTATGCAATCTTTGCTAACACATTTTATCTAGGAAACTCTACAACTTTACAACTCGGCAATGGCATTATCATCAATGTCAGGAGTTTTCGGGTTCGAGCTGATGGTAGAAGCGATGATAGTTGGGTAAGGGTAATTCATTTCTGTTAAAAAAAACTGATATTTGGTATGAAAATGGGATTATTGATTAATGTTGGTTTACATGATTTTGGATTAGGCCTTTAATGCAGCTTGGGAGAAAGCATGTAACTCTAAAGGCAATGTTACTCTTTTGATCCCTAATGGAACTTATCTCGTAGGACCTCTTAAGTTAAGAGGTCCTTGTGAGCAAGTAACATCTCTCACAGTATTACTCAAGGTAAAATTGATGAACAAAATGCGGTAGTTTTTAAATGATAGATTTTAATTTGATCTATAAATGTTGTAGAAAGTTTGCTAGATTGAGGAAATTATACTGATCTTTTTTGTACAGGGTATTTTGAAAGCGAAAACAGACTTATCTGATTACGAATTTGGATCCGGGTGGATCGAGTTTGCATGGATCAATGGGCTTACCTTGACAGGAGGTGGAGTTTTTGATGGTCAAGGTGCCAAAGCTTGGCCTTACAACACTTGCCCTACTAGTTCTAATTGTGACCTCCTTCCTACTGTATGTCACAATATTCTCTTACAAATTTTGATATAAGTATAGAACTTTATGTACTAAAATTCAGTTTCAATGTTGCAGTAGTACAGGACAGAAATTGATGAAAATGAAAATGTTGATTATGTAAAGAAATTTGTGGTGAAACTTGTGTTATACTCTATGTGTAATAACTGTTTGTTTTGTTCATTTTGTGGCAGAATTTGAAGTTTGTGGGTATGAACAGAACGACTGTTCATGATATAACTTCACTGAACAGCAAGTTTTTTCATTTAGCTCTTGTAGAATGCAGAGACTTTGAAGGGAGTAAACTTGAGATTTTGGCCCCAGAAGACAGTCCTAACACGGATGGCATTCACCTCGAACGTAGCTCTAATGTTCGTTTTTCTTGGTTGAACATTGGTACAGGGGATGATTGCATCTCTATTGGCCAAGGAAATTCTCAAATTTCCATATCAAATATCACTTGTGGACCAGGTCATGGTATAAGGTATAACCTACATACATTCAATCATAATTCATGTATATATAGGAATAGGACCAATTTGTTTTATAGTCTAGTAGGTTTAATTTTTGATGTTTGTGATTTAGATTAATCTAGTTTGTTGGTTGTTTAGTGTTGGAAGCTTGGGAAAATACCTGCATGAACAAGATGTAAATGGACTTTTTGTAAGAAATTGTACGATTAGTGGGACTACAAATGGGATTAGGATCAAAACATGGGCTAATTCTCCTGGTAGAAGCGCGGCTACTAACATAAAATTCGAGAACATTGTGATGAAGCATGTAAGGAATCCAATTATTATTGATCAGGCATATTGCCCCTTCGACTCGTGTTCATCTGAGGTAATTAATCCCCACATCAATATAATCTTTGTCCACCAAATTTAAGCTAAATGAGATAATTTAACAGACATTATGTAACTACTATGCAATTTTTCCTGCAGGCACCATCAAGGGTAAGATTGAGTAACATATACTTTAAGAACATCAGGGGTACTTCACTGTCTGAAGTAGCAGTGACACTTTCATGTAGTAAGGGAATTCCATGCAGGAACATTTTCCTGCAGAATGTTCACTTGAATTTGACATCAGGGGAACGACATCCGGTTTCGACTTGTGAGAATGTAAAAGCAAGATACATTGGTATCCAGATGCCTCCTCCATGCCCTTAATAAGGGTTGTAGATCTTGCAGTAACAAGTAGGCTGAGATTGATTTGTTGTATCAGTTAGCTGAGGGGTTTAGATGGAACATTTTTGTGCTAATACTAATGTTTTCTAATGGTGTGGATGAGTACTATAATCTTTTGTTTTGAGAGAATGACTTTTTAGTTTTATCTACTTCATTTCTATGCATAATTCAATCATACTATAGTTGGAGACATTGACAACACTATGTTAGGTCCTAAGTAGATAATGACTTACTTTAAATGGTCTAATTGGACCTTAATATTACAGTTGGTCAAATACTTAAATCTGTAAAGAAAAAGTTGAAGGTTCATACGAACTATTAGTGAGTGGCCCATTATCAATCAAGGCTGGTTTGAAGTCGGTTTTTTAGTGCCAATTATAGAGTTTGAAGCATAGATTTAAACATTTGAATGAAGCTTCATGCCATCTTTCAAGTAGTGAACTTCTTTTTATTCCCTAGTCAATTTAGCACTTATCATGCTTTTTTTTTTTTTTTTTTTTTTTTTTTTATCTTTTATTACTCAATCTCTTTTATTGGTAAGGAAAAAAGATTTGGTTTATCAGTAAGCGTACTTAACCACTTGTTCAAGCTTACCTATTACTCTATTAGGTTAGTTGAAGGCAAACATGTCCACTTAATTTATTGCTAGCAAATGGTTTTTGAAAAGCGCCTGTGGTTGACAATTTTCTAGTGGTTTGACAGGATTTGACCCTTTTTGGTCACTGAAATTCATGTCATACAAATAAGTGAAAAAATGGGGAAACATAATTATCGTGGAAAAGAGAAACATTTTATTTACCCAATTTAAGTGGAGAGGCCATAAAAGAACCAAATTGGATTCAACTTCCTTAACCTTAACATGACAAAAAAGGCATTGGTTTAACAGTAGAATATTTTGAAATAGTGTGAAAAATAATCGGACTCGATGGAAGAAATAATTATTTGAAAAAGAAAAAAAATGAAGAATATTTCCTTCATCCCTCTTTACTTGTCTCATTTGTATTTTTTCAAGTGGACATATTTACGCATCAATAAATTACACGACGCATTTTGGTTTTTAGTGTCGAAAGTTGGAAAGGCTTAAATGTTAAAAGCCAAGTAGTAGTAAGGTTTAATTTTTATTTCGTATGTTGTAAACTTTGATTTATCAATATAATTTGCTTTTGTCAAAAAAAAAAAAAAAAAAAAAAAAATTACACGACGCATCATCAAATCTATATCGACAAACATACTTCCTCCGGTTTCGGTTATTTGCAACAATGGTACCGTTTACGGATACCAATGCAAAACTTTTATGAAGTGTTTAGTAGTGGAAAATTGGGTAGTGGGGTAGGTGATTAATAAATTAAAAATGGAGGGAAAGATATTCTAATTTTATGAGGAGAGAGGAAAAAGGGAAACATGTGGTCCCAAAATTTCAAATAATTGGGGGTGTTGTGGCCCCAATTATTTTGGCACCTTTTTTTCCCCTTAAATTTTTTTTCCCTCCTGTTTTTTCAAGTCATTCACCAAACCCCTTAAAAAGCACCGAATTTTTTTTTCCCACCAAATCCAAATTTACAAAACCCATTCAAATTTCCCTCCCCCCTTTAAATTTTTCATTCAAAGAGGGGGTATTTAAAGCTACTAGAATAATAGTTCACAAATATTCTTTACAAAATAGTTGTCCTACATTCCAGACAGAAAAATCAGTCCCAAAATAAATGTTCAGCCTAAATTCCAGACATGAAAATCTACAGTACTAAGTTAGTTGCAGCTTCATCTTCTTCTTCCCTGGTTCAGTAACAGCAACCCATTCAAAAAAAAGCCCCCACACCTCATCACCAGTACCTGACAACTGGAACTTAGTAAAATTAGTAATCTGAACATGTCAGATTATGCAAATGATCCATATTTTGGCATTGATCAGATGCTGAACGATGAAAACAGTATGGGACAAAGTCAAGCAAACCACCAAGAAGGGACTGAACTGAATGACAGCAACAACAATCAGCATGAGGACTCATTTCAGGGACCAACAGCAAGAAAACAACTGACTACTCAGCAAAAAAGGGAGCTGGTAAATGGTTTTCTACTGAAGTTAGAGGGGGGGGGGAGTTGCCCAGAGGGTACTTATCAAAACAAGCAAGAAAATTCAATGTACACAGGTCAACCATCCTGAGATTATTTACAGACATCAAAACACAAATGGCACAGGGCAATGTCATAGATGTGAGAAGCAAGAAACTGGGCAAAACATGACCCAAACCCAGACAGTACACTAATGAGTTCCTACAGTCAGCACCATTGAATAAGAGGACAACAGAGAGAAGCTATGCATGTGCTCTCAAGATCTCACATTCAGCCATCCACAAGCTAAAGAAACAAGGCAGATTGAGAACACATACAGCAACAAATCACCCAGCATTGACGTCCAATCACAAAATAGCAAGAATGAAATGGGTGTTAACTCATTTACTGCCAGCCACTCAGAATGGGGATTGCAAATTTGTGGACATGCAACAAGTTATCCATGTAGATGAAAAATGGTTCTACTTGAACCCAGAAACAAGGAGGTTCTACCTTCTACCAAATGAGGCAAACCCATATATGTGCCAACAGTCCAAGAGGTTCAAAGTTAAAGGTATGTTCATGGCAGCAATTGGCAAACCCATATTTGGTCCTAATGGAGCATTAATACATGATGGAAAGTATGGAATTTTTCCATTTGTCTATGAAAGCATAGCAAAGAAAAAAAGCAAAAACAGGGATGCTGGTGCTGTGGAAATCAAGGCAACACAGAATATCAACAAAGAAGCCATAAGAGCAATGCTAATCAACAATGTCATTCCATCAATCAAAGCTAAATGGCCTGCCCATCTACCCAAGGACATATTTATTCAGTGGGATAATGCCAGTCCTCATCAAATTCCTAGGGATGAGGAATTTCAAACAGCTTGTCACTCTGAGGGATTCAACATTCAATTTATTTACCAACCACTTCAGTCCCCAGATTTAAATGTGTTGGATCTAGGGCTATTCAATGTAATCCAATCAATACAATACCAATCCTTCCCAAAAAACCTAAAGGAACTCATTGAAAGAGTGACAGAGGCTTATCAGATGTTCAACCCAGAGTTGAACAAGCAAATTTGGATAAGTCTACAATGTTTTATGGAAGAATTCTGATAAACCAAGGAGGGAATAACTTTATCCCTCCCCACAAAGGCAAAAAAAGGCTTGAGAGGATGGGGATGCTGCCACGGAGGTGGACAAGAATGTGGTGCAACAGGCTGTTAATTACCTCAACAACATTTTCATACCAGTCCACCAAGGCCAAGGTATTGAAGAAGATGAAGCTACGCAAGTAGATGCTGATTGACCTCAACTCAAACAAATGAAGAAGATCAACAGACTGAGGCTGCCACACATAACCATTGAAAATCAAACAACAAGCATGCAACACAGTATGTGCTGTTTTTTTTATTTTGATTAAGTACACTGTTTCAATCATTGGTTAGGTGTCTTTTGTTTAAATCTTTGCAAACTATTATTGTAAGGCAGTCTTAAGATCCTATTGTTGGGAAATGTACAAGTTTTTGGTAAGTGGTACCACTTCATTGATGGTTCAATTATTTACAAGTGTTTACAAACAAGATGATTTATATGTGCAAATCAGGCTGGAAGCATCATTCCATCAGATGGGGTTTTTTTTTTTCACAAACATTAAATAACTGGTTCCCTCAACAACAACTCTTATATGGAGTTGTTGGAGCAATTCCTAGTTATGAATGTTAAGTGTCAAATGAGTCCCTTCATCACTTGGAATTTGCAGGCACACGCAACACAACACACTGAGGGACTCTATTCACCTAGGGACAGGTATCACATGGGGGGACTCATACAGGGACTCTCATGCAGGCAACCAATTGGTCATCAGTCTGTGCACCAGCCTCAAGACAACAAACACAACATAAACAGGCCAACCACCTTCCCACTATTTTTTAATTTTTGTTAACCATCCCAACCACCAAGCAAACCACACACAAGAATCAATATCATGCAGAGCATGTCAACCAGAAACCAATAGAATTCCTCAAAGGTGAGGATGCACAACAAGCCACCAATACATCCAACAACTACATACAAATTATATGCACTAGCCTCAGGACAACAAGCACAGCCTACACAGCCCAACCAGTTTTCTACAATTCTTAATTTTTTTTTAAACAATTTTAGATAACATACAAATTATGTGCATCAGAGCATGAATAGGTCAACCTATTGCCAACAGATTTCAAAGTGGATTGCTAAACATCGCCCGCAAATCTCCACATAAAGCCCACAAACTTATATTGAAGTTACAATATTGCCCTTGACCTTAAAAAAAAAACACAACCTCAATAAAAATCAAAGTACGGGGATGTCGAGGCTCGTGGCGGCAAGGTGGTTGGCTCGTGGCGGCAAGGTAGTGGTGGCTCGTGGCGGCAAGGTGGTGGTGGCGCCAGGTCCGGCAGCCACGTCCACCGGCCTGGCGTCTGGGCAGGACGCCCAGCCACGGTGAGTGGCGTTTGGGACAGGCGCCAGTCACTATGGCTGGGCGTCCTGCCCAGACGCCAGGCCGGTGTACGTGGCTGCCGGACCTGGCGCCACCACCAGCCACGGGCCGTCCTGGCCAGGAGCCCCAGCTGCCTTAAATTTTTTTTTTTTAATTTTTTTTTTTTTTTTTTTTTGGAAAATCAGAAAATTTTTCTAATTTTTTTTAATGTGTTTGATTTTTTTTTTTAATATTTATTAATTTTATGTGTTATTTTTTATAAGTCTAGTATATATATTTTTTATAAAATCAAATAAAAAACATAAATTTCCACATCCTAAATCAAAACATAAATTTAATAAACATAATTTTAAAAAAAAAAAGGCAAAAAAAAAAAAATTAAAAAGTAAGGGCGGCGTCCAAACCAGACGCCAGTGCACTGGTGGTGGCGCCTGGCCTGGACGCCAGTGCACTGGTTGAGGCGCCTGGGCTAGACGCCAGTGCACTGGTTGTGGCGTCTGGCCTGGACGCTAGTGCACTGGTTGTGGCGCCTTGCCTGGACGTCCTTGCCATGGTTCCGGCGTCCAAACTAGGCGCCACCTCGTTTTCCGTCGAAGACGACGTATCTCCGGCGACCCTCGCCTCTCCGGCCTCCCTGGGCAACCCAGTACGACTCCACATTTGTTAGATCGAGATTTGTTCACTTTGGGTACGATTTTAGAAATGGGCAAAATTGTCAAACCATGTCTAATTTGTGGGCTTTATGTGGAGATTTGCGGGCGATGTTTAACAAATCCCATTTCAAAACAGGTGAAGATGCACAACAAGCAAGCAATACAGCCAACAACATACAAATTATGTGCATCAGCCTCAGGGCAACAACAAGCCTAGGACAACAAGCACAGCCTACACAGCCCAACCTGTTTTCTACAATTCTTCAATTTTTTTTAAACATCCCAACCACCAAGCACACAACTAACCACAAAGAATAGCAGACAGAGCATGAATAGGTCAACCACCACCCAACAGAATTCCAAACAGGTGAAGATGCACAACAAGCAAGCAATACAGCCAACATCATAGAAATTATGTGCATCAGCCTCAGGGCAATACACTCAATAATCCCACAGTTACTAGCAATCAATCTCAATTTGGATACAGAGCAACCAGCATGAAATACCAACAACATAGTTACTAGCAATCAATCTCAATTAGGGCAACCAGCATGAAATACCAACAACACAGTTACTAGCAATCAATCTCAATTAGGGCAACCAGCATGAAATACCAACAACACATATACCACATACTTAATACGGAAATAAGCATGAAAATCAGGCTACTCAACGCAAATTTTTCAAAGAACGCCACATCAAATCAAGAGAAAAATAAAAAACCATGAGATAAAGGACTGAATAAGAAGTAGGTTTAGAAATGCGTTACGCTGCTAGATTAGTTGGTGGTAGTGGTGAAAGGGTTGCAAGACCCTGCACTTTCAACACTGTAAGCCTTAGGGGACTCAGATCTGACGCGCTTTTTCCCACAGAACTCTTGCGTAGTCTTAGATCTGACCACTCCCACCTCCTCCGCAACGGATCTGGCCTGGACAGGGGTTGCAATTGGGGTTTCATCATCATCGCTGTCAAGAACAACAATTTCAGGAGGCTTATTGATGGAAACCTCAACATCTTTGCCCAGATCTGGACCACGCTCCTCATCGGAGACGTAAGGAGTCAGCTTTGCACCCCCCTCCAGTTCGACGTTTCATATCAAGGTACATTGCAGTGCGTGTACCTATCAAATGCATCCTCCCCGTGCGTGGGTGACACTTGTAGGTGGCAATAACCTCAGGATCTTCCTTTTTTTGGTTAGGGGAACTCATTTTTCAGAAAATTTGGAAGAAATAGGTAGTGGAAAACCCTGATGTGCCAATTTTTAGGGTTTCGAAATGGAGAGAGAGTGAGTTAAAGAAGGAAGTTTCTGTGAGAATAGTGAGAGTGAAACAGCAAAAGACGAAACAAGGAATAACTGGTGTAGAAAGGGGGAAGAACGAGGATTTTGAACAGTCGCCATTAATGGTGGTGGGTAGAACTTGCATTGAATATGGTGGTTGGGAAGATGAACACTAGAGGGTAAATGGGATGGGATGGGAACCCTAAATTTTTGGTGGGAATGGTTATATTAATTGGGTGGGTATTAAATTTAGGTAAGTGGACTTAATCTTGTGATTAGATTATAATCAGTTTTTTTTAAGGGCATTACCGATTTGACAATTAAAAAATGTACCAAATATGAAAAAAATTCTATTTGTTGCAAATAATAGCAAACACCCCAATAAGGTAAATGTTGCAAATAATCGAAACCGGAGGAAGTATATAAATTTTAAAAACAATTTCCTAAAACAAAATAAATAGATGATCCCGACTCCCGAGTGCACCTAAAAAAAATTCCATATTCGATAGTCGATACCATTGTAACCAAGGTAGAAAACAAACCAAAAACAGAGAATAAAACAATAAACAAAAGTGGCATCTATAAAGTCCCACTCCCCTGGATCATTCATTACCACTACACACGGTTGCTTCTCCAACGTTTTTTCTCTCTCCTCTTCTTCCAATTTTCTCCATCTTCCTCCTTCTTCACTCTAATTCTCTCTCACACTCCCAAATTCAACAACGCAGCTTTTTACAGAGAGAATATCAATGGAGAGTTCATCGGAAATGGTGGCATTTCCTTTCTTAATTGAATCGAATTATAGAGCTTGTACTATTCCTTACAGATTTCCGAATGATAACCCTAAAAAGCCGACTCCTACTGAAATTTCTTGGATCAATCTCTTCGCTAATTCCATTCCTTCTTTCAAGTAATTTCTTTCTTTCTCCTTTTTAAATCTCATTTCTTGATGTTTCATTTTGTTGCGAATTTTGAATTTTTGTGATTTGCTAATCGGATGTTTGCGTAATGTTGTAGTGTGATTTTTTGATTTTCATCTGGTGTATTATTAATTGGATTCAATTCTTGTTTGCATCAATTTTAGTAGAATTCAAGCATTATGATCATTAAATTTGTCGTTTTTCTGTTTTTTATTTGTTTAATGTTTTTTGAGGAGGAGATGGGGATTGGGATCATTTTGACCTTTAACAGGTTGAGTGGCTCTTTTCTTCCTGAACTTATTAACCCGTATCTGAACTTATTGTGATTTATTTTAAGTCGTGTATCGAACTCATTAGCATTAATGCGAATTAATTAGGCCTTAAATTTTAATTTATTAGAGTGAAATCTGGAAAAGTATGGCCTAATTCATTTTCGTAGAGAAGCATTTTAAATTTTTAATTATATGCGGCTTAATTATAAGTACTAGCTATTTTTTATTAGCTGGGGTTGGGACTCAGATGTTAATAAAGAATTGATGACTAATATAAGTCATTAAACATATTACCTTGAATGTTTAATGGAAATAATAAATAGAAAAAAGTTTAGGCTTTAAGTTTCATTCTTTTCAACTTATTAGCTCCAATCCGAACTTTTTAATATGAACTTACTCGAATGTATTAAAACTTATTTTAGTTGTATAATGAACTAACTTACGCTCATCCATCAGCGGGAAAGAATGATAATTGATAATGTCGTCTCTTATAAGATCAAGTTGCTGTATGGTGCTGTTGTGAAGTTGTTGAATGCCTAACTTTATTTTACTATCTATTTGGATAGTTTCTTTGTCAAATATGCTATACAATGATGTGCAGTGCACCTTGGTGCTCTGAGCTGCTTAGTTTTATATACATATGTTACATGAAGCTTATAAAGAAAGGCTTTTTTGCTTGGTTCTGTTTCAGACAACGGGCAGAGAACGATAACACAGTGCCAGATGCTAAAGTTAGAGCTGAAAAGTTTGCAGAAAGGTAGATTTTACATTCAAGTTTCTATATGTTGCTGAAGTTCTTCTCTGCATGGTTGAACTCCTAAAGTTGATGCAAATATCTTGAGAAGAGTAGTTTATTCAAGTTGCTTGTGAGATTACACAATAATTTTGTTGCTTCTTTCTTTGTTTTTTCATTTATTTGGCATTCCGCGAATCTTCTTCTGATTCATAATGTCTTACATGATTGAAACTTTACGCTAATCTGACCAAAAGCAATTTTTTAGTGCACTAATATGCAACATGTAATTTGTCTTCTATCTTAGTGTTTGCCTATTTGGTCTAAATACATAGTAGCTTAAAGATTTGTGGGGAAATTGGTACCCCTGTGTCTATGGTTGGCGAAGAGTGTTAAATTTGTGCTAGAACCAGTACTTTAGCTTTAAGATTTTGAGTGTTAGTGTAATAATGGAAGTGCATTGTTTTTTGTAAACTTGTAATCCAAATAATACTATTTGACACCATCTGTATTTATGAAGATATGGTGAAATACTTGAAGATTTGAAGAAAGACCCAGAGAGTCATGGTGGCCCTCCTGATTGCATTGTAAGTGATAATTGTAGCCTTATAGAAGTCCTGCTGAAATATTTTTTGTGATTTATATATTTGATCCTAGCAATTTTCTCACTGTAGCTTTTCCTTTTCTTCTGCAATGTAGCTACTTTGCAGGCTTCGGGAGCAAGTGCTTCGGGAATTAGGATTTAGAGATATATTTAAAAAAGTTAAGGTAATAGATTTGGTTATTGATAATTTTTTAGCTCTTCCAATGTTTACGGTCATCACATAAAGTCTGCATTATAATAACTTATATGAGATGAGTTAGATACTTGTGCTGTTGTACAATTGGTCAATATGTCTACTGACTATATCGATTCTATAATATGTAGGATGACGAGAATGCAAAGGCTATATCTTTATTTCGCAATGTGGTGAGTCTTAATGATGCTATTGAGGATCCAGTTAAACGTTTGGAGAATCTGGTCAAAGGAATATTTGCTGGAAACATATTCGACCTTGGCTCTGCAGAGGTACCCCTACATTGTGCTGTATACATTGGTCACTGTCTTCTTAGTAATTGATATGATAACTTTACTTGTTCATCTCAAAAATACAATTAGCCAGAAGTATTGGATTGCAATTGGATCTTTGTAGATATTTTTTGGTTTTTTTTTTTTTTTTTTTTTTTTTTATTAAAGTTATTTTATAAAAATAAGCACAAAAGGTTTGTCTGAATTCTGTTCTTCTGTTGTCAAAATAAAATATTGGCTTGCTGAATTTTTCATGTTCTGTATTCTGTGTAGCTTGCAGAAGTATTTTCAAAGGATGGGATGTCCTTTCTGGCCAGTTGTCAGAACCTGCTCCCTCGACCTTGGGTAGTTGATGATCTTGACACTTTCAAACTGAACTGGAGTAAGAAGTCTTGGACAAAGGCGAGTTCTTAATTGGATTGATAGTACTGCATTCAAATGATTCTTATTTACTCGTAATTCTTGTGCTGACAGTCAGTCTGTTTACTTCGATATGACAGGCTGTGTTTTTTGTTGATAATTCTGGTGCAGATATAATCTTGGGAATTTTACCATTTGCGAGGGAATTACTACGCCGTGGTACACAGGTTTGTTTTTGCAAGATTTGCACACAGTGCCACTTAACACTCTGGTACACACACAATTTGCACTAACACACCGACTTGGAGGATTGCAGTCCTCCAAAATCTGAAGCCTTCCACATCACCTATCAATACAAAATCATATGAAATTGGTCCTCGACCATAGGATTGGCTCACAGCAGCTGTGACGTACTGACCTTATCTATTGAATGCAAAATAATTATTTCTTGTTACAGTTATCTTGCAAATCTGTCTGGTTTGTCTTTGTCAATGAAATATATGTATGGAAAGTTGGGCCTGTTGCAATCTGAGAATGGTGCTTGACAGACTATGATATGGCTTGGTTCACAGTTAGAGAATTATCTCTTTTAATGTGCCATGTTCTTGTAAATCAATCTTGTTTGTATTTAATAGGACAATATATCTTGTCAATCAACAAAGTGAGGTGTAATTATAATGGAGCTGTCTTAAAGAAATTAGTGGTTCATTTTAAAAACGATGAGGATTGGAAATTTGGAAGAGTATAAGAACTTAATACCAGATGTAATTAGAAAAAGGAAAGGAAGTATAAGGGGATACCTTTTTTGACCTTCTGAAGAGTAGGATTTGAAAAAAAGATAAAACCTCAACTGCTGCAATTGGTGATGTGTTTGTGGCCCTTTAATATAGAAGATTGTGCAATGAACTGCTCCCTCGACCTTGGATTGCACTGACTTATAATTGTATAGGGGAACAATTTCTTTCAGCTTTAGGTAATTCCTTTAATTTCTATACACATAACAAAAAAAATATGGAAAACAGAAGGCTAAGAAAGGTGAGCAATACAGTAATACACTTAAAAACTAATAATCTTCGAAAATTGATTAAAAGAATGATGAGAAAAGGTATGGTTATTTATGGAAAAATATACTTTGAAATTAATAAAATAATACTCGAACATGCATTTATTGTCTAGAAGCTTTAATTTTTGGTTAACTGTACCTTTCCAATGATCAGCTTTGAGATTATGTTATATTCTATACACATTGTATGGCAGATGATTCCATTACCTTGATTTCAACATATTGTAATGTTGCAGGTTATTTTGGCAGCCAATGAATTGCCTTCTATCAATGATGTTACATATACAGAATTGTTTGATATTTTATCACAGGTACTTTTGCATCTCACACTATGCCTTTCTTAAAATCTGTCCATTTGTAATGCCTCTCAATTTATGGGCTTGCTGGTATTCCTATTTTCTTTATCAGTTGAAGGATGAAAATGGACAGCTCATGGGTGTCGATACTTCTAAACTCTTGATTGCCAATTCTGGCAATGATTTGCCGGTCAGTGAAAAGTTATAAATTTAGCTTTCAGAATTCAAATGCATTTTCTTCTGGAATCTATTATATGATGTCCTTCATATTAACTTTCTGACAGGTCATTGATCTTAGAAGCGTGTCACAAGAACTTGCATATGTAGCTAGTGATGCTGACCTAGTTATTCTGGAAGGAATGGTATGTTAATTTGCTGTGCTTCTAATGATTTTTGATATGTGTGTATACCACAAAACATGCATCTACCCATCAACAAAATGTGCAGTATGGGTCAGATGGTCTCTTTTTAGCCAACACAAGAATACTGCGTGACTGAATCACAGAACTCTAGTTCACACATTTCTGTAGGGGTTTGATGTTGTCTCCTTCAGTACTCTAATCTAAGCTGGACTGATTGGTTCATCATGAATTCTCGAACTATTTGTCTTACTAGTTACCAGTGTAAATCTCCTTTATATATGGAAAGTACATGTTTTTTCATTTTTGGTAACACCAGGCTTTAGAATTTCTGAACTTAAGAGCAAACAGGCGCTAGTGAAGCTGTAGGACAAACGAAGCCCAGCACTCAGTCTTAAATCCAATTGATGGGTCAATAGACAAGGCCACAACATATGATCTGGCAATCTCAGCAGATTTCTGATTGCTGTCCGGGCCTTTCAGCATTGTTCTCTTTGCTTCTTTTGTAGTTGTTATAGGTGATTGGATTCTGTTAGAGTGCTATGCAGTCATGCAGAGAATTCAATTTTCAGAGTTTGCATAATTATGGTACAGTAGTGTCATAGTGTGTTTATTTGCAAGGCCGTGTTTTTAAGTCATAACAACTAGGATTTGAATTTTCTAACAGAAGACCCTTTAACTGGCCTTTTAAACTTTACTTCTGTATCACGATTAAGATTTACTACCAGTATGTTCATGTACTACGATTCCACACCTCTTTTTTCATATTATCTTTTTCTTAAGAAGACTATAAACTACTCCGTAGTACTCTGTTACTCTGTATTATTCCCTTCTTCCCATATTTTTAGCAGCTCCTCCTTATTGGCCTATCCCATATTACTTGCAATACTACTATTTCTTTCATGGACTCCCTATTACAAATTATTTTAGGGGGCGTTTGGTATGAATAATGGAAATGGAGGGGAAAGGAAACAAATAAGAGGAAGAAAAGGAATCATTTAACTCTTACCTTTTCATTTGTTTGGTTTAACCATGAAAAGGAATCACTTAAACCTATCTCCCTTTATTTTTGTTTGAGGAGAGTAAGGGTAATTGTTACCTTAGGTTTTAGAGAGGTAACAAGTGGGTGGAAACCATTACCCTTAGGTAATGGTAATTGTTACCCAAGCCTTCCAACCAAACACTTGGTAACGGTAATGGTTTAATTGAATCCATTTCCAAACCAAAAAAACACTCTTACCAAACATGCTCTTAATGTTTCTCCCCTCCCTTTGTACCCACATCTATTCCACTTTCCTAATAAAAAACATTAATAAAGTGAACCCATCCAGTAACTATAACCTCAAAAAACCACTATGTTCGTTCTTTTATGTTCTACTTGGTTAATGGAAACTAGTAATTTAAGAAAATTTTGAAAACGGTTAGAGAATAATTTGGACTTCACAATTTGCCAAGACTAACATACCTCAATTAATCTACTTTCATTGTTCCCTCAGGATTTCTTATCCTCAAAACTTCCTGTTGCAATTAGTTAATGCAGCAGTTTTGTTGTTTCTTGGAAGCTTAGGGCTTATTCTGTCATTGTGAGTTTTAGGTTTTTGTTTCATTTAAGCCAGAAAACTAGAGTAGTTATTTGTTTTCAGCTTTCGTTACTTTTAAAAATAATGTGACAAGTGTGAATATGACTAATTTTAAATATTTGGTCTACGCGGTCATACCACAATGGATACTTAGAACTAAAGCTGAAATCTGGAGTTTGTAGAGTTGATTCCTTTTCTTTTCTTTATATTTTTTTTATTGTTTATTTTTATTGTAGCAACTTATATTACCAGTTTTGCTGATATGTAGTAAATCCCTCTCACCTATAGAAAATTGCTATAGAGCTTTGGTATTGAACTGTGTATCTAGCTTTCATATAATACTGATTTGGATTCCTCGTCACTTTTGCAGGGGCGTGGAATAGAGACAAATCTGTATGCTCAATTCAAGTGTGACTCCATCAAGATAGGAATGGTATATATATGGTTTATGCCTCTTTTATCTGTGTTTAGTTCAGGAAAGTTTCACATGCATAGAGAAACTTGCTCATCCTTTGTGCTGGTCACAGGTAAAGCATCCAGAAGTTGCCCAGTTTCTAGGAGGAAGGCTTTACGATTGTGTCTTCAAATACAATGAGGTCTCTGATTGATGTAAATCTTTGATGCCCACAAAAAGAATCACCTTTTACTCTCTTTAAAGTATCACAGATGTGCAATATCAGGACCTGGTGACGTGCTGGTTTTCCTGTACAGCATATTATTGGTATTTCCTTGAGTATTCTGCATTAAACCAGAGGCTAATTCGCTCATGTAGAATGCCATTTTGACAGGCCATTTCATAGTCTTATTTACACATGTATTGGTATGCTAATGCTCTGGCTGTGGAACAGAAATACTTTCCATTCTTTTATTGTACTCGAAAATAGTAATACTAATGTGAGAACCAACAAGATATCGGAATAAATGTTTTGAATTTCCTTATTTCTCATGAGAAATACATAGAATGATGTTTATCATATTCAATGATAAACTTGTATAAACATATACACTTATTATTGTTTGTTGCTTGGATTGCTGCAAAGGCAGGAAGGAGGGTGATTGAGGAAAGAAACTTGTGTCAAAATTTTCATTTGTTCTTAGTTGGATAAGAAGCCATTTTGTTAATACCACAAAGTCCCTCGCGGTGCCTAGTGTTTCTTTTCATTCTTATGTATCCTTGTTCTCCCCATTTTGGTCCCCATGAGTTCTTCACAATGATGTAATCTGATCCCTTTGTTGAACCGTACCCTACAGCTGTTACTCTATGGTCTAACAAAGTTTCACAAGGCCCGTCAAAAACTCCCTGCATATAAGAAACAAAAATGAAGCTACTTAGTACACGGTAAACATCAACGGTCCATTTTCAAAGATGAATCAAGGAAGGGTGAAACCCCCCTTCCTATTTTCTGTTTTACTCAAAAGAATTAGATTTAACTGCCACCACGCACTCTCTACATAGCTCAACCGGGAAGGAAAATGGTCACTATATTTGAACCCTGGCTGTGGCCGGGATGGAATTAATCTTACCAACTTATAATTCTGTTGTTCTCATTGATGGAATATACTTCATTATCTCTTTTCGTTGAAGGTCAGTGTGAGCAGTAAGCCAGTGGGTGGGTTTATAGGGAGTTAATTTTTACCCTCCAAAATTGATTTTTACTCCCTCACACACAATTATGGGAAATCATATCCTACAAGAGGAGTATACAGACATGGGTTCTAGCATATCCACTAGTTTAGGAATAATGAGTTACACCTTATAGTAAAGTGTAAGATGACATATTTCTGGTGCACCCAGTAGATATCAGACACTAGAAAAGCAGTTAAAGTCTTAACATTTCGAAAGTTCTCAATGTGTAAGGCTGCTAGCATAAAAACTCACCAATTCTTGCCTTTGTTTCAATCTGTTGGGTTCTGTTTTGGAATCCAAGGCTGGCTTATCAGTTGCGTTTAGCAATCATGAATCCTACTAACTTCTACGGAGCATGTCTTATGGTCTCCTTTACAAGCAAAAGAAATACTCGATATTTCTGACACATTTTCCTTGTGGCAGTTTTTAAATGAAGCAGAGTATCTAAAAGGAGTCGACATATATGTGTCTATTATCAAAGCTTATGCATCTTATGCTGAGCATGCTGAAGCTAAAGGTTCCGTCTCCAAAGATGAATTATGAGAGGTATTTTCTTTTAGAAGACCCAAGAGTCTGCATCATAATTCTTTGGAGGATTTCACTCTTCCAATTTCAAGTACTTCCTATTACATAGCATGTCAGAATGATCTGTTGCTGAAACAGTCAGGTGTTTTGTTTGCCTGGTGACGACTTCACTTGATTCAGCTTCATCTGTGTAAATTTGGAACTTCCATACTTCATGTTTTAGGTTTCACAAACTTACGGGTTTATTGATGTTATTAGCACGGCCAAAGTGCAGAACTGAACTCACTGACAACTGTGTATAAAGTTTTCTCCTTTCCATATGACTGATATGAGTACTCCATTTCGAAATAACAATTACACTAGCCATTTCAAAATAATGATTACGCTCCCTTTAGCCGTTCTGTAATATATGACCCATATTACTTTATTACCCCCATTTTTTGTATCGTTTCTTACTGCATTCCACTATTATTATACTGGGACTTTGGATGTTATAATTTTCAGTTTCCAATAATTGCTCTTTCCTTCTTGACTTCTTATGCTCCTAGGCTGCTTCTTGAAAAATGGCTACATTGGGTGGATTTAGTTTTATGTGTAAGAGGTTTAAATTCTCATGATACTTTGTTCTGAGCAAGCAACATCATCAGCCCTCCTGTAATACTTTTTGTTAAAATGGTTGTTCGATGACTTCGATCTCTACTCTTGAAAGTGAGAATATTGTTAACTCAAAACAATACTCATACAAGATTTGTGATGAACTAATGACCAAACCTTTTGTGACAAAATGTATGTAACATTGTAACACAAGTAGTTTAGGAAATAATCTCACTATTATATAAACTCAAGAGTTTTTCATTCAGTGATACTCTACTTTGTTAAGGAGAAAATTGAGATACAAACAATACTAAATGTTGCATTGCCGTGCTTACATGTCTGAAAGAGTCATTTGTATATTTTTCTTTCACAATACATTATTTGAAATTAACAAGCACTGCAGAGGCGCAGACTATGAAGTATTTACATGATCCTAAGTCATACGTTCTTGAAAGATTTTTTTACAATTCACTCTGTCAAACCAAGTCTTGCAGTCGTCCACATCAAATCTCACAGCAGCTTCCTGCAGACCGTCCATAGTCAGAGAGACTTGAGAATTGGTTGACTCCTCCACATCATGTTCATCCAATGAAGTGACGCTCTTAGCAGCTTCCACATGAGTACAATCTGAAGCACATTAACAAGTACATGGACATTATAGAATTATAAGAGGGTTCATAGGCAGTCAATCATCAGGCAAAGTACATACATGCGAAAATAAAAGATTGTACACCATCCACTCAAAAAGTAAAATCTTCAATTTTCTACAAATCAAGAATATAAATGATCAAAATACCTTTTAATAATGAATTATGATAATGAAAGTTTGATATCAACTTCATGCTTCAAGAAAATATTTATTTACGCCTTCACCTGCAATTAATTACCAGTACACTATATAAGTACGAGTAGTATATTCTACCCAAGCATACAAGCGTAGATGGTTGAATGGAAAACAACACGTAGTGCTTCAAAACTAAACAGAAAAGTGACTCAGAATTCTAACCTGAAGGTTGAGGACCCCGATGAACAAGCTATATACAAAATTGAAACTGTCAATCTTGCTAGATAATTGGCTAATGACTAATACTACCAATGTATTACTCTGTGGGGGATGTGTTGAATCTTAGGCCAGTCCTCCCCATCTGGTTCTTTGCATCTTTCTTCTAGTTCTTCTGGACATCCAACTATCTTAAGTTTCTGAAGGGAGGTGAGGTTCCGGATTGATTCAGGGAGTGACTTCATGGCCCTGCCTCCACTAATATACAGGGAACGGAGACAGTGTTGAAGGGATTTCCATGGCATGCCATCGTCATCGACCTCGTCTTCAGAGAAGCTAAGTTGCTCATTGTCTAGAAACTCTAATGACTCCAAGGCAGTGAGATGCTCCAACCCCCCTCTTCCAAGTCTCCTCAAATTTGAGCAATAAGAAATTCGAAGGCTTCTTAGGTAAGAAGTGTATTTGTATTTCCGGAATACATCCCCATATTCTGATAAACTCTCCACCTTATTCTGGCTTATGTGTAGTTCATTGACTGGAGAGTTTATAAAGTTTAGAAGACCCACGTCAACGTCATCCAAGTCCAAATATTCGAGACTTCCACAGGAAGGAAATGAAGTTAACTTAGGGCAATTATTGATTTCCAATTTGGAAAGACGAGAAAATGTGAAGCTACTCCTCAAGATACAGTCATCATCATCCTCATCCTCAACCAACTCCTCCTCCCTCCACCATCCTTTCAAACTACCGAGCTTGTAAATGTAGAGTGATTCAAGGGAGGGAAAGAATGCCGTAAAATCTTCTCCTTCATTGGCATTGTTGCTGCTTGTATTCTCCATATATTCCAGCTTGTGTAGAGATTCAAGTCTTAGTAATTTCAGATTACGCAGTTTACTCAACAATGGTATTTGCTCCAAATTGTTACAGCCATAAAGCCAGATATTGACAAGAAGTGGGAGGGAGAGTGCCCAGTTATCAAGTGCTCTACCCCACCTTGGAATTGTCGTACCCATGTATCCCCACAAGCAGAATGTCTTGAGATTTGAAGGTGGCTCTAGCTTTTCCATCACATCTTCCCACTCTAAACATCCATCATTTCCATAATCACAAAAATTGATTAAAATTTCAGTGAGATATTTCAAACCCTTCAAATACTCTTCTCCTCCATCATTCTTGTAAAATTCGCCGATTTTGATCTGTATGCCACCTTTCAAGTTGGTCAGGGGTTTAAGTTCTTTGAGCTCTCCCATACATTGCTCCTCTGTTGAAACTCTCTTTTCCATACCCACCACAAAATATGGAAGCACCCTAAGATTAGTCAACTTACCCATGCCTGATGGCATACTAGTTAACTTTGAACTATTAAAATTACTTAAATCAATGTACCTAAGATTAGTTAATTTATCCATGCTGGAAGGCAAACTACTCAGCTCTTGACAATTACTTATATCCAAGTACCTAAGACTTATCAATTTATCCATGCCCGAAGGCATACCACTCAAATTATCACAATCACTTAAATTCAAGTGCCTAAGTTTTACCAATTTGCTAAAATCTTTTGGCAACTCCCTCAAACCCTCGCACTTTTTTAAAACTAAAGTCTGCAGATTATGTAGTCTAGTAATAGAATCAGAGAGTTCCTGTAACTGACTATTCTCAGACAAGTCAAGATACCTTAAATGCAGTAGCTTACCAATTGAATCAAACCTTTTCATACCCATTGACGGCAAGCACAACACCCTTAGACCAATCCAACTATCAATCCGTGCATCAACCGGATCACCCAACACCAGGTGATTGGAAAAGAGGAACTTGTAATCACCCCTTGAAATCAACGAACGTATCTTACTCTTAAATGAGTAAGTTTGTGAAAAGGTACCACGAGCAAAATACATATGACGAACTTTATCTCCCAATTTGGTTGTATTAGAACTCACTACACCAATTTCCTCCCTCCCCACTTCTAGAGCAACATCATGCATCAAGTCATGCATTTTCACGTACTCAATGTCACCATATTCGTCCTTCTCTACATCCTGAAAGAAGCATCTGCGTACCAAAATCAGGAAATGCTCCTCTGCTGCATCTTCTATGCTTTGATCTCTGTCCAGCGAAGCAATGTAGCCTTGTGCTATCCAAAGGCTAATCAACACCTTCCTTTCAAGTCTAAAATCTTTGGGAAACAGTGCACAATAGCTAAAACAATTCTTCAAAGAAGGTATAAGATTGTGGTAACTAAGCTTTAGTATACTCATTATATCATTATCACCATTTCCAATTCCAGCAAATCCACTATGCTCAAATGTCTGCCACTTGTTCACAGGCTGCCCAAATAGAAGGCTTCCTACCACCTTTATAGCCAATGGGATATTGTAGCATTTTTCAACAATCCTCTTCCCAATTACAACTAATTCAAGATGACTTGCGTGCTCGTGTTCCCCTTTATCAAATGCTACAGACTCGAACAAGAGCCACGAATTCTCTTCGGATAAACCTTGCAGCTTGTGCGTATGTTTTTCTCCAATAATCATTGCAGTCATCTCCGAACGTGTAGTCACCACAATCCGACTACCCTCTTGACCCAGCGTTAAGAACCTGCACAGATTACGCCATTTCTCACAATCTTCATTCCATACATCATCAAGAACAAGCAAGTACTTCTTTCCTCTTAACTGCTCTTGAAATTGCTTTTGCACAAACTCCATTGAGGAGGTATCGTCAGGCCTTTTACCAGAAAGTAATTCTATAATTTTGCAAAGAATGACTTTGACATCAAACTGCTCCCCATCTTGATCGGACACACAAACCCACAACCTCAAATTGGAATCCGAAAACTCTGCTACAACCCTTTCATCGTTATACACAAGCTGGGCAAGAGCAGTTTTGCCCAAACCTCCCAGTCCCACAATAGTCACTAAGCGGAAACTTTCCTGAACATCATTGGGACTTAACAGCATATCAATGACAACCTTTTTATCGTCCTCCCTCCCAATGATATCCCCTGCATCCACGTAGGAACAAGTTTCCTCCCTCCTTCTACAAATAGGATTATAGTCCACACTAAGCCTAAATTTGTGATGGTTACTAACAATAGTATCCAACTGCTTCTTAATGTCCTTAACCTGACGAGACATCCTATGAGCTTGACTCACCTCCTTTTTCTTACCAGAAAAAAAGCGGCGTACCTTTCTAAGGAATTTATCATCCCTCTTGCCATCAAGCAGCTTGAGCTCAGCAAGAGTGAAGAACTCATCGAACAGATCATCAGCATCATAAACAACAGCCTTGAGTTCCTCGATGTAGCCTCGTGTTTCGTGGGAGAGTTGACGCTTGGAGTCAGCATCAAGGAGCACATTCTTGATGGTTGAGACAGTTTTGTTGAGGTCTTCAAGTTGAGATTTGCAACCCCACATGTCACAAATCTCTTTGATGACCACAGAAGCAGTAACTTCGAGGAGCTTTTCAGCAATGGTGATTCCGAGTTCGGCCATTGAAGATTTAGATTTAGAAGGAAGCTGTAATTTGAATAAGGAGTAATAATTGAGTAGTGTTGAATGAATAATTATGTAATTTGAATAAGGAATAATTATTGAGTAGTGTTGAATGAATAAGTATGTACTTCACCACTACCAAACATATATAATCAGCTCCAATTGTTTACTGCTGGGGCTCACTTCATTATTGGACGGTGTAAATTAACATGTGAACATTAAGTAAATGGAGTAGAAATCAGCAGCTTCCTAAAGTATTTTTTTATTTTTTTTGAAGGGAGCTTCCTAAAAGTACTTAAAATAACCAAAATATGATTAAAGAGAAGAAAAGGCTAGGACAATGGCGAGTGAAATGCGGAAAGAGGCATGAGAATAATATGGTCAAGTTGCACATGAATGTACTTGTTTAATTAAATGTTATATCATTAGGTTGGGTGGGTGATGGCTAATTAAGTAAATGGAGTAGAAATTAGCAGCTTCCTAAAAGTACTTTTTTTTTTTTTTGAAGGGAGCTTCCTAAAAGGACAATGGCGAATGAAATGCGGAAAGAGGCATGAGAACAGAGTACACAACCACTTGTGTAATCTCAATTATTGCTGTTTATTGTCCATTCTCCGTATAATATGGTCAAGTTGCACATGAATCTACTTGTTTAATTACATGTTATTATCTTTAGGTTAGGTGTGTGATGGCTAATTTGAAACTGGTCCTCTAGCAATTATATATTGGAATTTACTAACAACATGATTGATAAACTTTGATTGAGAATATTAGAATTTAGAAGCAACACAAATACACAAAACACGTAGAATTAGTCATTTAATAATGTAATTATTTAACACAATTTTTGAACTTTGAGTCATCTTTGCCAACAAAAAAAATTGGATATTAATATATTTAGTTATTTAAGCAAAATATATAGTAAGAAATTTGATATTTCAAAAAAAAAAAAAAAAAAAACCAAAAAAAGTAAGAAATTCGCTATTTAAGAAATAGATATTGACTTGAATGTAACAAAGGTATATTATTTTATTTTTTCGCTATCAACCAGTCTTTTAAAGATTGGGTTAATCATTTTTGTGTTATGGTGCGTTGTTGATTTGTGCAAATTTCTTACTATTTCCAAATTTATCAGGAAATGTGGTTTCGAGAAGTTGGTGTACAAGAATGCGAAAAAAATGAGGAGAGATCAGAAGTACTCTATACAACCAAAGAGTGTGTATGCAACAGGGATTCATGGTTCAGAGAACTTTGTAGGCAAATCAACACAACTGCCTAACAGTATAATGAAGTACTATCACTACCATGGCACGGTTGCTGAGCTGCGGGAGCCGTGCAGGCAACTCCTTAAAGATAGTTCTACGACTATAGAAAAAGCTCCATATGTTCGAGACAATAGCATTAGATTGATGGGCCCTTTAGTCAAGAAGTTTGAGCTCAACACTATTTCGTACAATACTTATTGTAGCTAGTTTTCTCTTAGCTTGGACTATTCCTGCCTTGCCTACATACCTACACAGTACACATTCAATTCGTTTCCTAATTAAATAATAATTATGGAAGAATTGAATTAATTTCCAACATAATAATGTTTCCTATAAAATTTGTGGAAGTAGTCAAGTAGGTGTGGGAATTAATTTCCAACAATAATGTTAGTTGTAAAAAAAAAGTATTAATGTTATGTATGTGGTTTTATCCCACATGGATAGTACAAGAAAGAAATGAAGTGTTTATATACTACCTCCGGTTCTTGTTACTCGCAATGAAGAGGTATTTTGCGGACTCCTAGACAAAAGATCTTAAGTGTAATTAGTGAAAAATAAGGGCATATATATAAGTATTAATCAAACCAAAAAAAAAAAAAAATCAACTATAATTAAACTAAATAACCTACCGCCATTAGCACCACCCAACACACCGAAACTACCTAGCACCACCATTCAATGAGAATGAGAAGATGGAACAATTAGAATTATGGTCGAATTATTACTATGTAAAGTCACTTTCGAATACAAATCAATACTTTCTATTCGAATTAATCTGCATATCATCTTTTTTTACTGAATATTTTACATTGTATGACTGTCATAATTTTAAATAGGTATAATCTAGTATTAGTTGGTAAAGTAGTCATAACCTTAAAAAAAATATAAGTTAGTAAAAATAGTCAAGTTACTAAATGATTCTCCAAACTAAGCTTAATTACGAAACTAATTACGAAAGTAAATGTGTGGTAAAATTATGTACCAAACTAAGCTTGTGGGGTAAAGCGTTGTCTCAAATAGTGTTTTACCCCTGATTTTTCTAAAAAGAAAAAATCAAACTGAATCGTCCTCATAGAAATTGTTAATGTTGATTTTTTTAAAAAAAATTGTTAATTTCTAATTTTTTTTTTCTTTTCTTAATTTCTGGAATATTCATAGAACACCCACCTCGTCCTCAATTAAAAAAGCGTCATTATTTGGAGCTTCAACAATGGCGTAACAAGCAACTAATAAGTAAAATCTCGATCCTTCACCAAAGTGTGTACTATGAATACCAAATCCACTTTTCTTCCTGATTTCCCCTCTTTCTCTCTCCTCCCTTCTTCTACATAAACCAATTTTTATTTTCTATTTTTTATTTTATTTTATTTTTCAAGGAAAATACCAAATCATGGAAAATTCAGATCGTAAACAAAGACAAAGAACATGAACAAGGGCATTTATGTAAATTAGAGAATCTCAACAACAAAGGAGAATCGTTTTATGGTGATGAAGAAGCGAGAATGATTGAAATTGACGGTGATGACGAGGGTTACAAGACGCCAACGAAGACTTAAAAATAAAAAATTACACAAAAATGCTGACTCAGTCAGCGTTTTTGCGTAATTTTTTTTTTTAATTTTAAAATCTAAAAATTACGAAATTAAAAAAAAAAACAGACAACATGTAAAACGCTGACTGAGGCATCGTTTTAGTCTGAAAACTTAGTTTGGTAAATAGTTTGGTCATGAATCTATTTTACAAATTATTTTTTTAATAAGGCTTACTTTGGTAAATCGTCCCAAGTTACTTTGTACTTTCATAATAGTTACATCACTTTTATTTTGCACCTTTGCTAAATGCTAATGAGCTTGATATACTTTAAATATCTTTAATTAAATTTCAATAAAAATACACAAGTATATTTTTATCATATACTACACATAGATTAACCCAAAATCAATTAGTTAACAATTTTTTATGTTACATATTAGTCAAGGTCAAAGTTAATACGAAAAATTAACGAAAAGTCTTACTTCCTCCGTTTCTTTTTTATATTCTCATTTTGACTATGCATGGTCCTTAAGATGATCCCTTTACCATAAATATTTTCAATTACATATTACCAAAAATTATTAAGTCTTGATATTATAAAACTACATATAGAAAAAAATCTAACAAAATAACACATGACTATATAATAAGACTATAAATAGAAACGAGAGAAGTGTTTAGGGTAAAAATACCCTATGTCGCGTGGACCAATCAGATGTGACACATGTCACCTTCAGAGTGGTCCACAAGGGCCAATCTCCTCTGGACACGTGGCACATACTTCAAAACCCTATAAATAGGGAGATGTTTCCCATTTGGAGGCACATTCAATACACTTGAGCAATATTAATTGCAAATAATTAATCCTGTTCTAGAGATTCGAGAGCACACTCCTTGATTGTCGAAGGCGCATTTATTACAGACTTCATACACGTTCTAACTTGATTGTCGAAGGCGAAACCCCACCCAACCGGAGTTTTCGTTGTTTTGCAGGTACAAACGACCAGATTCTAGTCTTGGTGTTGTAACTCTCCCGAAGGACACAGAAATACCGCGAAACATTTGGCGCTGTATGTGGGGAGAGCACTTCGTCTAATATGGCATCCAAAGAATTTGTACCGCTTGCTGAAGGCAAACGGATGATGGCCGAGGCTGAGGCCTATACTGACCAAGACAGCGGTGACGATTATCAGGTCGACACCTATGTGGCCCCAGACAGGTCACTCAGAACCAGACGCACCCGCTCCTTGGAAATAAGGGAATAGGGCAATGAGCAAGCTGGTCCAAGCAACCCAGCCAGTATACCGGCTGGACAACCCCAGGCGGCGAAGGGTACCACTCCCGTCACCAGGGTCGCGCGAGCTCATAAAATTCATGGCAAGTTTCAAAGGGGAGATCAAGAATCTCCTAAATAAGAAGGCTGGGGGCTCTAACAGGGGTCAATCGGCCAAAAAGCCTTCTCTCTCGAGGAAGAAGAAACCAGTTCAGGACCGTGTTCCTACTCCTCATCCCAAGCCAAAGGATGGGAACTGGGCCAGTGGTTGACCTAACCAAGTTTCGATTCCCTAAATCAGAGAAGATGAAGGTCATCCGACATGTACAGCCGGATGGTTCAAAGAAGACATTCTCCGATGCCCGGATGTTAATCCAGCAAAGGAGAAGTCAACAATTATCTGAGTCGGCATCAACGTCGACTTATCAAGACAGTTTCTTGAATACCTCAATGAGGTGTTCTAAAACAAACCGATAGAGTCAGTCACGCGGCCTGTCCGCGCGTACTGGCACTCATATTATCCAGCCGGCCTCATATGTGCCTCAACAGCCATACATGCCGTATGGATCACCATACATACATGCAGCCGACCTTCTTTGGAGGTCAGACAGCACAGAATGTCCAGCCTATAGACTGGCAGCTTCAGCTGCTGAACCTTGGGGAAAACCCTTCTGCGTTCTCCAAGGATATAACCGAGGCGGCTCAGCCGGCTAAGGTTAAGAACGTGTTGGTGGGAGCCTACAATGGTACCACCAACCCATAAGACCACCTGATGGCATACACGAACTTCATGTACCTACAGAGGTTGGATGATGCCACCTGTTGTAGATGCTTTCCGGCTACATTGAAGGGTATTGCCCAACGATGGTTCGACAACTTGCCAGCCGAATTCATAAATAGTTTCAAGACGCTCGCGTACTTGTTCATCTCTAACTTCTCTATATAAACATCCTTGCTAAGAAAACGAGCTTGGACTTGAGTGCCATATAACAGGGAGATAGAGAAGGGCTTAGGCCCTACGTTAGGCGGTTCAATCGGTTAAGAATTCATATTCAAGGGCTGTCTGACGAAGTAGCTTACCAGATTTCTTTAAGGGTCTAAAAGACGGATCAACTTTCAAGTTTGATCTTGTAAGGAAGAGGGTTGTTACCCTCCAAGAGGCTTTGATGGAAACAGATGCCTACATACAGGCTAATGAGCTATGCTCCATCAAGAAGCCGTCGGACTCCAAAAAATCCGACAAAATAGACTGTCACTCTGCTCATTCGGCAAAAATTGAAGAGAGCAAAAAGAGAAAGGAAGTTTGGGTGGCAGACGACTCTGGGCAGCCATGCCAGAAGAAGAAAAGAGAGTTGAAATTGTATGCCCCCAAGTACGAGTTCAACCACTACAAGAAAACAGCTGGATTCCGACGGAATTTTCCCGTCGGAAACATATGAAAATCCGTCGGAATCAAGCCTTCCGACGGAATTCCGTCGGAAATAGTCTGTCGCAACACCCCTTGTCGGAAATTCGACCTTTTCCGGCGGAAATTCCGTCGGAAGAGGTGATTCCGGCGGAATTTCCAACGGATCTTATTCTGTCGGCGTCGTTTTTAACTTTAATTGAAATTCCGACGCAATTTCCGATGGAAATTTCCTTTGGAGGTTGTTGGTTTCCGACGGAATTTTTCGTCGGAAAAGGAATATTACGATGGAAATTTCCGTCGGAAAAGTCAATTAAAAAAAAAAAAGCAGCCCCCCACCCAGCGGCGCCACCCCTTCCAACCCACCAGACCACCCCACCCCCTGCCTCTCCACCCTAACCACACACCCAGCGCCACCCCTTCCCACCCAGCCCACCCCCTGCCCCCCCCACCCCTAACCACACACCTAGCCCCCACCCACCAGACCACCCCACCCCCTACCCCCACCCTAACCACTAACCCACGCACACCCTAACCACCCCACCCTAACCAACGCCACCCCTAACCCAGACCCACACCCCCCCTAACCCATTTACCCAGACCCACCCTAACCCCATTACCTAGACCCACACCCACACTAACCCTTTACCCAAACCCACACCCACACCCACCTTAACCCCTTTACCCAGACCCACCCTAATCCCATTTACCTAGACCCACCCCACCCCACCCCTTTACCCAGACCCACCCCACCCCCCTTTACCCAGACCCACCCCACCCTTTACCCAGACCCACCCTAACCCACGCATCCCAACCCTAACCTTGTACCGACCTAACCCAGACCCACCCTAACCCACGAATTACCACATCCACCAACCACCACCACCGTTTTACCACATCCACCAATTACCACCACCCTAACCCACCAAACCCCCTAACCCGAACCCACCAAACCCCCTAACCCAAAATCCACCCACAATCACAACCACCACACGAAACGTGTGAAAAAAATAAATAAAAAAATAAAACATACCTTAACCGGTGAATTTTACTTCGAATGTCACACGAATTTGGTTCAATACGGCCAAATTCGATCATGAAACCTCTAGATCTAGAGGTTTCATGGTCGAATTTGGCCATATTACCATGGAACGCCGGCGAGAAGGAAGAAAGGAGATGGAGAAATACGGTGAAACGCCGGCAAGAAGAAAGAAAGGAGAAGAAAGATGCGGGTAGAGAATAGAGGAAAGAAGGAAAAGAAAATAGAGGAAGAAGGAGAGGAAAGAGGGCTGACCAGGAGGAGAGAGAAAAAGAAGAAAGGAAAGAAAGAGGAGAGGAAAATGGCGGACAAGGAGGAGAGAGAAAGAGAAGAGAGGAAAGAAAGAGAAGCTTGAGAGGGAAAGAAAGAAAAGGAGTGGCCTCAAAAAAAGGGTTAGGGTTTGGATTTCTGTTTTGTACCTCAAAAAAAGGGTTAGGGTTTGGATTTCTGTTTTGTAAAGGGTTTTTTTTTGTTTTGTTTTTTTTTTTTTTATTAAGATTCCGACGGAAATTATGTCTGAAATATTAATCCGTCGGAATATTTGGGATTTTCGAGGGAATATTCCGTCGGAAATTTTCGACGGATTTTATTTCCGCCGGAAAGTTAACCTTCCGACGGAATATTCCGTCGGAAGCCTATTGTTCCGAGGGAATTAATTTTCGTCGCAAAAATTCCGACGGATTTTCCGTCGAAATCAACCTTTTCCGACGGAATTTTCTGACAGACCCTAATTCCGTCGAAAAGTCCAAATTTTTCGACGGAATTTAGGTCCGTCAGAACGTTTCCGTCGGAAAACAGCCTATTTCTAGTAGTGAACAAGGATAGCTATTCCATGCTCATGGAAATCAAAACCGGGTGACTATTGAGAAACCGGCTGTAATATAAGGTTCCGTCAGAAATCAGAACAAGAACAAATATTGCTACTTCATGAGGACATAGGCCACGACACCAATGACTGTTACAACCTCAAACATATTGGATCGTGTGGCTGATAAAGGAGTGCTGAAGTCCCATATCTTGGAGTCCTAGGTGACCCTCAAAACAAACAAGGGACATCCACCCAAAAAGGCACCCCAGCCTGCTAATAGTTCGGACACTGATGATGAAACGATCTATACTATAGCAGGTGGCTTTACTGGAGGGGCCCAACCATCCGGGGCATCAAGGACTACATCCGGAGACTGGATGTTAGCGCAGTGGATGAGGGCCAGACGTCAAAGGACAAATTTCCAAACGTCCTCATCACTGAGAAAGACAGGGCAAGGTCAGGCGGCTTCACGACGACGCCGTAGTGATTGAATGCAAAATAGCCAATCAGAAGGTTGGCCGTATTCAATCGACACTTGGAGTTTGTCTGACCTGATCAGTCACAAGTGCTTGGCTAAGCTCAAGTACAAGCCAAGTAATATGATCCAGGTTTCCACCCCTTGGTTGGATTCTATACACATTGTATGCCAGATGATTCCATTACCTTGATTTCAACATATTGTGATGTTGCAGGTTATTTTGGCAGCCAATGAATTGCCTTCTATCAATGATGTAACATATACAGAATTGTTTGATATTTTATCACAGGTATTTTTGCATCTCACACTATGTCTTTCTTAAAATCTGTTCATTTGTAATGCCTCTCAATTTATGGGCTTGCTGGTATTCCTATTTTCTTTATCAGTTGAAGGATGAAAATGGACAGCTCATGGGTGTCGATACTTCTAAACTCTTGATCGCCAATTCTGGCAATGATTTGCCGGTCAGTGAAAAGTTTTAAATTTAGCTTTCAGAATTCAAATGCATTTGCTTCTGGAATCTGTTATCTGATGTCCTTCATATTAACTTTTTGACAGGTCATTGATCTTAGAAGCGTGTCACAAGAATTTGCTTATGTAGCAACTGATGCTGACCTAGTTATTCTGGAAGGAATGGTATGTTAATTTGCCGTGCTTCTAATGATTTTTGATATGTGTGTATGCCATAAAACATGCATCTACCCATCAATAAAATGTGCAGTATGGGTCAGATGGTCTCTTTTTAGCCAACGCAAGAATACTGCCTGACTGAATCACAGAACTCTGGTTCACACATTTCTGTAGGGGTTTGATGTTGTCTCCTTCAGTAGTCTAATCTAAGCTGGACTGATTGGTTCATCATGAATTCTCGAACTATTTGTCTTACTAGTTACCAGTGTAGATCTCCTTTATATATGGAAAGTACATGTTTTTTCATTTTTGGTAACACCAGGCTTTAGAATTTCTGAACTTAAGAGCAAACAGGCGCTAGTGAAGCTGTAGGACAAACGAAGCCCAGCACTCAGTCTTAAATCCAATTGATGGGTCAATAGACAAGGCCACAACATATGATCTGGCAATCTCAGCAGATTTCTGATTGCTGTCCGGGCCTTTCAGCATTGTTCTCTTTGCTTCTTTTGTAGTTGTTATAGGTGATTGGATTCTGCTAGAGTGCTATGCAGTCATGCAGAGAATTCAATTTTCAGAGTTTGTATAATTATGGTACAGTAGTATCATAGTGTGTTTATTTGCAAGGCCGTGTTTTTAAGTCATAACAACTAGGATTTGAATTTTCTAACAGAAGACCCTTTAACTGTGCTTTTAAACTTTACTTCTGAATCACAATTAAGATTTACTACCAGTATGTTCATGTACTATGATTCCACACCTCTTTTTTCATATTATCTTTTTCTTAAGAAGACTATAAACTACTCCGTAGTACTCTGTTACTCTGTATTATTCCCTTCTTCCCATATTTTTAGCAGCTCCTCCTTATTGGCCTATCCCTTATTTCTTTCATGGACTCCCTATTACAAATTATTATCTCCCCTCCCTTTGGACCCACATCTATTCCACATTCCTAATATAAAAAACATTAATAAAGTGAACCCATCCAGTAACTATAACCCCAAAAAACTACTATGTTCGTTCTTTTATGTTCTACTTGGTTAATGGAAACTAGTAATTTATGAAAATTTTGAAAACGGTTAGAGAATAATTTGGACTTCACAATTTGCCAAGACTAACATACCTCAATTAATCTACTTTCATTGTTCCCTCAGGATTTCTTATCATCAAAACTTCCTCTTGCAATTAGTTAATGCAGCAGTTTTGTTGTTTCTTGGAAGCTTAGGGCTTATTTTGTCATTGTGAGTTTTAGGTTTTGTTTTATTTAAGCCAGAAAACTAGAATAGTTATTTGTTTTCAGCTTTCGTTACTTTTAAAAATAATGTGACATGTGTGAATATGACTAATTTTAAGTTTTTGGTCTACACATATCATACCACAATGGATACTTAGAACAAAAGCTGAAATCTGGAGTTTGTAGAGTTGATGCCTTTTCTTTTCTTTATATAATTTTTTATTGTAGCAACTTATATTACCAGTTTTGCTGATACGTAGTAAATCCCCCTCACCTGTAGAAAATTGCTATAGAGCTTTGGTATTGAACTGTGTATCTAGCTTTCATATAATACTGATTTGGATTCCTCGTCACTTTTGCAGGGGCGTGGAATAGAGACAAATCTGTATGCTCAATTCAAGTGTGACTCCATCAAGATAGGAATGGTATATATATGGTTTATGCCTCTTTTATCTGTGTTTAGTTCAGGAAAGTTTCACATGCATAGAGAAACTTACTCATCCTTTGTGCTGGTCATAGACTCACAGGTAAAGCATCCAGAAGTTGCCCAGTTTCTAGGAGGAAGGCTTTACGATTGTGTCTTCAAATACAATGAGGTCTCTGATTGATGTAAATCTTTGATGCCCACAAAAAGGATCACCTTTTACTCTCTTTAAAGTATCACAGATGTACAATATCAGGACCTGGTGACGTGCTGGTTTTCCTGTACAGCATTTTATTGGTATTTCCTTGAGTATTCTGCATTAAACCTGAGCCTAATTCGCTCATGTAGAATGCCATTTTGACAGGCCATTCCGTAGTCTTATTTACACACGTATTGGTATGCTAATGCTCTAGCTGTGGAACGGAAATACTTTCCATTCTTTTATTGTACTCGAAAATAGTAATACTAATGTGAGAACCAACAAGATATCTGAATAAATGTTTTGAATTTCCTTATTTCTCACGAGAAATACATAGAATGATGTTTATCATATTCAATGATAAACTTGTATAAACATATACACTTTTTATTGTTTGTTGCTTGGATTGCTGCAAAGGCAGGAAGGAGGGTGATTGAGGAAAGAAACTTGTATCAAAATTTTCATTTGTTCTTGGTTGGATAAGAAGCCATTTTGTTAATACCACAAAGTCCCTCGCGGTGCTTAGTGTTTCTTTTCATTCTTATGTATCCTTGTTCTCCCCATTTTGGTCCCCATGAGTTCTTCACAATGATGTAATCTGATCCCTTTGTTGAACCGTACCCTACAGCTGTTACTCCATGGTCTAACATAGTTTCACAAGGCCCGTCAAAAACTCCCTGCATAAAAGAAACAAAAATGAAGCTAGTTAGTACACGGTAAACATCAACTGTCCATTTTCAAAGATGAATCAAGGAAGGGTGAAACCCCCCTTCCTATTGTCTGTTTTGCTCTGTCATTTTTGGTTATGAATAGTATTTGATGAATGATGTAGAAATTTGTGCAGGAGAGCTTACCCCGCTGTAAAATTGGAAGTCTCTCCCAGAAGCATCAATTCCGACACTAATAGGTTGGTGAGCGAGTGCCTTCAATAGACTTGCTTCATCATTCCTTGGAACATCTCTATGACCATTAATGGTCACTACTTCCATCTTTTCCTGTGAAAATGTCACATAAGATAGACAAAATCAATAGATGAGCATGTTTTCTAGCATAATCTCCTAGCAGATGTGGTTTGAGCTTCTGTGTAGTGCATACCTTTTTTGTTTCACAAGTTCCTTCCTCCATAAGATAAGGATAGTCTTCCTCCTTGTGAAGTCCACCATTAGAGACTATAAACTTAAACGCGTTATCCATTAGCCCGCCATTGCAGCCATTATTGCTTATATCACAGTCTATCAGTTGTTGCTCAGACAGTGAGGTTAGGTTTCCTGTGACAATCTGATTTATGCCCTCGACTGCAGCAACAGTTGAAAATGCCCAACAACTTCCTGCAGTATTGAAATAAAATCAAAGTTCATGATAAACTTCAAGCTAATACTGTAACGATTTTGAGTTAATGAGGAACATTTTCAGCTTACCACATGCGCCCTGGTTCTTGACTGGTGTAACAGCTCCTTTCGTTCTCCAATCTACAGACTTTGGTACATTCGTTACATCTCTGTAGGTGAAGTCTTCTGAAGAATCCACCTGTTTGTCTTGTGCAATTTTCAAGCCTAAGTACTTATTCTTGAACTCTTGATGGGTCAAATCTGCAAACTCATTCAAGCCAAGCCAATAGCTGCTAATACGCTTATTACTCTCATCAACATGTTTCAAGTTATCTTTGAATGCCTCAAACCTAAGCAGCTTCTCTTCGAGACTATCATAATTTTTTAGGTGCTTTGACATCCATGTTACAAATAGATTATGGAGTCTCTCTTCTGAACCCAAGTCATCAGGGGAGTAACCAACGATTGAGAAGTCATGAGCAAAAGCTGGATACGCAACTAGAAATACAATGAAGGTGAAATAAAAGATTGTTTTCAGTGGATATGACATTGTTGATATGGAAGTAGTAGTAGTAGTAGTAGTAAACTAGTAATGTGTGAGGTTGGATTGGTTTGATATGTGCAGAGCTTGATAGGATATTTATATGCTGTGGTTTCATGTAGTATATTGCTTAGAAGTAAAGACGAGATTAATATCTAAGATAACCAAAACTTTAAGGATGGATCTTTTCTGATACTTTAGTTGCAAGGTATTCCATTGTTTGTTGGCAGCATAGTTAATTAAATATGATCAATTAGTACCATTTGCTTATTCTAATACTCTTTGAGCATCCTATTCTTGACTTCTTGCAACAACTTTCTAACCCCATATGTAAATTAAGATTAACGGTAGAAAAAAATAAATGGTTCAAAAGAGCTGCAAAGACAATGATGTAGACGGAATTCAATCTCAGCTTTTGGATATCTCCACAATTTCCCAAACACTTTAAGTCTTTAACCAAACTAATTGGTATAGTACTATTTACTTGTGATTTTTTTTTATTTTAATTTTTTACTTAGAATTATTTTATACTCCATACTCCGTATATGTTTCCCTTTTACTCTCGTATGTCCTTTTATTTTGAACTGTATTGGTTTCTGTCTAGAAAGTAGAAACTTATCTGGGTAGAGCTCAGCCCAGTAACCCAGTCAACGCGAAAACAAATACTATCCGGATCCAATTTCTCGGCCATTTTCAATTTCACCCATCAACATAGCTCATTCACTATCTCTCTCTGTATCCTCTCAACTTCTCACATTCAAATCAACCCATCATCAAATTTCATTGAACATCAGTAACAATCCAAAATTTTCCACTTTAACCAAATTAATAACAAAAAAATCACACAAATTGAGCAATTTTCCAAATATATTTACAATCTTTACCCACATTTTATGAACTCTTCTTCACATCCTTTCTTCTTATATTCATCTTAATTATTACATATTCAAATTGATATACTGATTGAATTTCTTTACTCTTGTTCTAATTTCTCTATTATACTTGATGGGTCGTTTTCCATTTTGTTTAAAATTGGGAGGAACTAAAGTTATAGAATTTATGCCCTACTTATCATCCAATCTTTGCCCAAAAAGGGCAATTTCTTTTTCAATTAAACCCCACCAAAACCCAATTGTATCATATACAAGGAATTTGCCAAATTTAAGGGTTTATCATCAAAGAATTCTGGGGTTTTCTTCTGCTGCAGGTGAGAAAATTGGAAGTGTGTGTGATAATCATGGTGAAAATGGAGCTGGGTTTTTGAAATTATCAGATGAACAATTGATGGGTCAATGCGAAATGGAGACATTCAAGTCTTCTGGGCCAGGTGGGCAGCATCGAAACAAGAGAGAGAGTGCTGTTCGTCTTAAACATCTTTTAACTGGGGTTATTGCTCAGGTTTGTGAAGATGTTTTTCTGATTGTGTATTTTATGTGTTATTTTTGTGTTGTGTTATTGGTTTTTCGATTGATGATTGTTTTGTATTCAATGTTTCGGCAGCTGAGGATCGATCACAGCATATGAATCGTGCCTCGGCATTAGCCCGGCTTCGCGCTCTTTTAGCTCTTAAAGGTGAGGTGTTGATTTTATGTATCTGTTTTGACCTTAATTTGGTTGTTTTAGTTTGGTTGTTCTGAATTTTAAGTTTGGAACTTTGAGTTAGATTATGAGGGTTTTGCATTATATTAATGGCATTTGTAAGATGATATGGAGAAATTTGTGAATCAAGTTGATAAGATGCTTTTGCGAAAAGTTCCCAAAATCCTCATGTAGTGATTATCAAATGTGCAGTATTATATGTGTAAATGGTTTTGAGGCACAGCGATGTTCCAACTGCTGCCATATCCTCACAATCTCTTCCTTTGATTGTATGTTAGTTTGAAGCCCCTTTTAGTTTGTTGAATATTTAAGTATGATGTATAATCTAAAAAATTTCAAAAGAAGACTTATGAGTCAAGTAGACTTGTAATCCTAGTTGTTTCAGGCTTATTTCTTGTAACTACATGATTATAAACTTATATTTAGTCTTCGTGAGTAGAATGTTTTCTCTATGAATAATGTAAGCAAATGACCATTTATTGCACCTAAAATATAGAGCATTTAGTGAAAAATTAGTTGTGCTTGTGCCCCGACACTATGGTTTCTGAAAAATATTCATTGGAAATTTGTACATAGCATAGATCTCGAAGCCATGAAATGTAGGCTTCAGTACATATTCACGTAGTAATGCTTTGTATCAAAGGAGGCTTTTCAAAGGAGTAGTGTTGTACTGTAAAATATGGATCATTTGGGGAAGTCATTAGGCAATTTGATATGTCTTCTTTGTGATGCTTTTTATATTTAATATTGGCTGATCACCCCAAATAAACACTTGGGCATATTAGTTTTCATATTGGGCTTCCAAGAGGCAATTTTGGACCTAGCTACATGTACGGTGTAGGTGGCCAATTTAGTTCTCAATAGGATTATATGACTGCTTTGTTGGTGTCAACTAGTTTTATGTTTGGTATATTATGTGCCCAAGAGGGCTGGGGCTGATGGCAACTTGAAGAGCCTTTTCTCTAATTCTAAATGGATTTTTATGGCATGATTTTGTTATAACTTATGACCCCCTAATTAAGCTTAAGGAGCAATTTTCTGTCCGATGTCATTCAAAATTTAGGCTGCTGACATGGGCCTTTAGTGATATTGTGAAGTCGCTCTGGAGTTGGGGGTTTATCCAATTAGTTTTTATTTGAGATCTTTAGATATGACTTTGTGTCAATCCTGTGTTTGCATGGTGCAAATTTCAGGAGCCTTCCCTCAACATTTGTTAAGATTCTCCGTTGATTACAGAATGACATTTTAGGCATGAATTATAGCCTTCAAGGCTTCAAATTAGACTTTCTGAGGGAAAAAATTGGGTCCTTGGTTAACATAGCTAAAAGAGTTGCTGGAAACCTTCCTTCTAACTATGCATTGTAATGATCTTGGTTAACATAGCTAAAAGAGTTCGCAGGAACCCTTCCTTATAACTATGCATTGTAATGATGTATCAAAAAGGTCTCTCACCCATGACCTGAGGCCTTTTCTAGGGTGTAATAGTTTTATTTCTGGTGCCACCTATGCTTCATGAGGCTTTAGTTTATTGAGCTGCTTCTTAAGTTCTTGGTGAGCTCATCACCAGCTTGAACCGAAGTCTTATGCTTGATTTAATGGCCTTTGAATATGCTTTCCTTGGTGATGGAAATTTTATGTTTTTAAGATGACTAATACAAACCTTGGGAATTCCTGAAATGATGCTTCAGAATCTTTTATCTAAGATTTTCAACGAATATCCTCAACACACTGAAGGTCTTTTGATCATGATATAGGGTTCTTTACTGTATCAACTAGTATTGTGACACTAATTTGAAAAGACTTTGGCCTTTCTTAATCTTCTGTATGACAGTAAGAAGACCTGTGAATCTCAATGCTTATTCTCCTCCACCAGAGCTTCTTCAAATTCTTCCAACAAAATCTACTATCAGGGGATCAGAATGCGGTCCACAAATTAAATCCAATAATCCAAAATTTGTTGAGGTGATTCATGTTTTTATTAAACATCTAAATTCAACCCCACTATATTTAAAAACAATTTTACGAAGGTTTGTAAGACCAAATTTCTTTTTTATGTGTTTAGGGTATGCAAGCATTATTAGATTTAATCTATGCAGTTGAAGGTTCTGTATCAGATGCTTCCAAGTACTTGGGGTAACGTCATTATGTATTTCTGTAAATTCTGTCAACTTTTATTTATTCCTTGCTTTGTGTATAGGTACATGGTATTTGTTTTTGTGAGTTAGAGATGTTCATGCAGCAAAAGACACTGAAAGATATGTTTGATGTGTGAAGCTTCAATTATGACTCCCTAAAATCTCAATGTGTATTTGTAACTATGTAACTGCTATGTACTTGCAAAGCTATTGTGGAATCTCTTATTGCTATAAGATGAATCACTTTTTTTGCCTGTGTATCCTCTGATCTCCTGATTAGTTTTTAAGTCTTGAAGTCTTGACTTTAGGACCATATCTTATTGTTTAGCTTGTAGTCTTACATTAGGATTTATATGCATGAAGGAGCTCCTAGAAAAATGTTATATAGTTAGAATACTCATCTATCACAAAGGTAAGCTTGCATGTACACATACTGTTTATTTAAAGTTGATATTGCTATTTACTTGTTGAACTTGTAGGATGAGCACAGGGGCACTGTCACGGCTTATCCTCTCTGATGACAGCCTTCGAGGGGCAGTAAATGAGTTAAGAGCTTCGAAGGTAGCAACTCAAACTATTTAGCTTTTACATGTCTATGGGTCCATTGTCACACTTAGTTTTTTTAATGGGATGTGTCTAAGTTATAGGTCTATAACCATGTGCATATGTTGTATTCATAAGTTGAGTAATACTCAATGACATCTTTACTAGATTTTCAAATAATTCCAATTTCCCTTTATTAAACACCATTGTTAGGATTTTTGCATGTGATTTTATTAATTGGTTGCATATTTGGTGATAGTATATATGAAGCTGAATTTTAAATTTTGGTTTAACGTTTGCAGGGAATAAAGCCTCTTAGATAACATCGACTTCCTAGGTAGGTTATTTGCACCTCTTCTGTATCAATTTTTCGTTTTGAATTTATTTTGGAACTCACATGTGTAGTATAAAGCTTTCATGTTTGCTACCATTTGACTTTACTGCTTGACAGATCTCCAAAAGCCATAAGAAGACGAGAAGTAACTTTTTTTTTTTTTTTGGGTGAAAGTGATTGTACAACTTTTTATCTTCCATGAATTCCAAACGTGCTGGACTGCTGGTTATTTTCAGGACTGCATCGAGAGTTTGATGTTTTTTCCGGTTATGGAAAACTGGATCGCCTGACTGGTAAAAAATTTGGAATTGGTACTCCGCTTTAAAGACCATGAACTAGGTTCTATTGGCTCATGAGTGATCGGATATCGTTGAACCATTTAATTTAGCAATATCAACCAGAGTACTACCCCTGCGTACAGGTTGAGCGAGGATAAGCCTTGGGGTAAAGAAGCTTGGAGGAGAACAGCTACTATCAATTATCACTGCCCACTTCAATTTTTGGATTTTTGGCCTGTGTTAAATCCTGTTCATTTTTTATTTTATTTTTTTTTTTTTTAAGGAAACGAAGATGCTGCTACTTAGGATTGTTTTTATCATTTTGATACTCAAATATTTAAATATTTTAGGTGTATTTCTCGTATATAATTTTCATAAATTTTACAAATACGAAATTTAATGACGTACTAGTATGACAATAAAGAACGTAATTAAGAAAATTTGATCTTGCTAGTCTGGAATATTTTTATATGGTTTGGATTATAACAGGAATAAGTACCTTAATAAGAATAAGGAGAAGAGAACAAAGTCGGATTGATGGACTCACTTTAGCCTAGCTCATAGGCAATAGTCTATTAGTATTCTTGCGATGCACAATGTAGATATAAACAAAGTTATTTCATTTTGCAACAAATTACACAACAAAAAAAAAAAAAAAAAAAAAAAATGTCTAGTGCATTTTTGGTTAACTAATATTAACTCTTTTATTTATTTTAAAAATTTAATTTCCCAATGATTGAATTTAGAATGATAATTTGACAAAATATCAAAAGGAAAATAAAAAGATAATATCACTAAACGATTTTGGCAGAATTTTTTTTTTTTTTTTTTATAAGAAAATAACACTTGTGTAAATATAATATAAGTGATTTTTATTATTATAGTTAGAGATTATGATTATCCATAGAACATTTATATAAGGGCACCTCAGTATCTATTAGTTGCCATTTATCAGTCAAGCTTACTAAACTCCTTTTTTTCCCCAGTATACGAGGTCACAAATTCACAATTGATCCCCAAATCTGCCACAAGCCTTTACCAGAGTGATTTTTCAGATATCAACATAAACCGTGGGAGAAAAGAGAAGGCCAAACTCATTGGTCCTGATGTTAAAAATTCAAGTAATAATGAAAAAATCATTTCTAATTTTTCAAATTGTAAAAATAATCCCATTTCACACAACTATATTCTAGAGTGAGATGCTAATTAAGATACTACTCTTGGACAATAGACAAGGTACTCCCATTAGGCAACCTTGGCATATACATGAAGGGGACACGCATACAGTACAAAGCAGACCGCCCCTGTACCAGCAGCTTTTCCAAGTATGAACCCAACAAGATGTTACCACAAGTAGCTCAAATGTTACGTATATATTGACATTTACAATGATCCATACAAAATTAATGCAACATGACATGACAAGTTCTATATGCCTTTCACATAGTTTAGTAGAAGGATCATCACGCTGGCTCCAGAAAAACTATAGCCTTTCCTCCGGCTTAGAAATTGTTAGAACCGGAAGCACCAATCGTGACAGCACTAGCTTCAGGACATTGTCAATATGAATTCCACAATATCATCTGTCTCATTTTGTTAGCAAAAATTCTATAAGCACAATGGGACCAATCATAAAGAGAGGAATTGCTGCGTTCGGCTACCTTGGCGTTTTCCCAACCTTTTGTAGATACACAGAGACAGACACAACACTGCCAAAACATGCTATTCAGAAAACTTTGTCCAGTACAACAGTTGAATAAAAATATACTGTAAGATGAACAGTAACTTACGTAGCACCAAGAAAAAAGGCAAGGGAGAGATGAAATCCAAACAGAAAAACAGAAACAATTGCTGTCAGCAACATTGCTACCGAAGTTGAATATACCTGCAAAATGTTATCAATGTAAATTAACTCTGCGGAATTTTCACCATATACCACTGAGTTATAACTTAATTCACCATATACCACCAAAAACTTTCTAATTCACCATGTACCACTGAGTTCCTGTGCAATACCACAAAATATCTTTTTTGGTAACTGTCGTTAATCTACCGTTTGGGGTATTTTACTAATTCACCATATACCCATGTTTATAAAGTTATTTCACCATAAACCATTAGATTAAAAGATATTTCACCATATACCTAGAAATTGCAACGACTATTTTAGTTGCTGCATTTACTATCTTTTGCTACTTCACTACTCTTCTCTTGAGCTCCTTCAACTCTTGCTTCAACATGCTCTCATCTCCATGACATTATAACCCGAAAGGACATTTTTTTCGGTATTACCCTTGCACCATCTAAATTTCTCACATACATCACCCTTATAGTACAACTTTTGTGGAATTTTTGCCGAATCACAGCTCCTTGTTGCAAATTTCTTCCCACATGTACAAGCTTTCTGGGCATATTGTGAAATTATCTTTTAATTTAATGGTATATGGTGAAATAACTTTATAAACATGGGTATATGGTGAATTAGTAAAATATCCCAAACGGCAGACTAACGTCAGTTACCAAAAAAGGTATTTTGTGGTATTGCATAGGAACTCAGTGGTACATGGTGAATTAGAAAGTTTTTGGTGGTATATGGTGAATTAAGTTAAAACTCAGTGGTATATGGTGAAAAAGCCGTTAAATCTACATAGGATTAAACATGCAGGTAAACTAGTGAAGTTTAAAGGCATCAGGTAGAGACAAAGCATGCAAGTGTAATCCTGGAGGCATCAAGTTTGGCATTTCTGATGCCCAAGAGACAAGTGACACTGAAAGAATAGCCAGAAGCCATGCTTGTCAATGCATTATTACTTGACTAGTTCAAATTTAAGAAAGTCAGGATAAGAAAATGTTTCACTTGTTTCATATCGTAAAAAGGCTAATGAACCCAAGACAACCATCTAGTATTGTAAACTAGGAATAGACCAAATTAAAATAGGGTACACTCAATCAAGCAATGCAAAAATTTGAAAAGATGAGGGTTCGTCAACCGAGCAAGTGAGCAACAGCAGACGATGCACAGATCAAACAGATAGCACGAAAGAAAAGGATCAGAATACTATTTTAAATATTACTCCGTGCATTGCCTTCATCTCCCATTTAACTTCTACTTTGGGTTGTACACAAGTATATAGGAGATAAATTATAGGGGGGTTTTGTTGGATAAAGCTGAATAAATAAAAGGCAGTGAGTATAACTTATTGTTTTTTTAAGGGAGGTGAGAGAGAGGAAACCCAAGGTCAGAAGGTAAAAGACAATATAACAATCAAAGCATTATTTAATTATGTGGATATCAATTCAAAGTGGGAAATGGGAAATTTATCAGGGGACAAGTATTTTGAGAGAAATGAAAAGTTTACTGGGGGCAGAGACAGTTCACAATTAGGTAAATTCGTATCTCCCAGCTCAATAATGAAGCAAGATGTTAAGAGGTCTTACCTTCACGATATTGTCAGCATATTTCATTACCATCGAGACAGCAATGCCACTGCATGAAGAAGATTGAAAAGTAGCAAATTAATTATCCAATGTAATATAACTGAGAATACTGGGAACATAGGAGAGCAGGGTAGTAGCTAGATGACTTGCCATGATGTAAAGATTTGGGAAGAAAGGAAATGCTGTAAATTATTATTAATAGAGTATATAAACAGTTCACATGTACCCATATGAAATACAGGATATTAAAATACATCAACAAAATGTTAAAAAGGAACTAGGATTACAACTCCAGGGAGGCTGGACATGGTCAGCCAAGTAATACCTAGAAGGTCCAACTTGAACACCTATGAAAAGCTTTCTTGCACTACTACCAAGCAATACCTTAAGTTTCCCAAGTTCAATCTTTGATATTGGTCATATGGACCACAAATGACTCCAAAAGCAAGCATGACACTGTTATGAACAAGAAGACCTAAAGTATGAAACTCTAGAAAGAGTCTAGCACAGCTTAAAGGGGATGTAACAGGTGGACATAATGTTCATTCTGGTTCAGATTGTAATCTCTAATGAAAAATATAGCTTGCTATGCAGTGGTGATTAATGCAGCTTAAGTAGTCAAGTCTTGTACTGTAAGCACATAAATAGGTGAAGAGTAGATTTAATGGGTATCAGAGGCTAGGGCAAGTCCAAATAAAAACAATCCAAAGAATTGATTGTGTCATAAAAGCCCTAATGCCTGCAAACCAATCATCTTTCTGTAAAAATACGTGCTTCAAGTATACCTTCATACTTTGCCAAATCCCAAAGTTCGTCCTACAAAATGTATACCTATGAACAGCAGCAAGAAAAAAAAAAACCTTAAATAATCTTGGCAACCCATTTTCAAAGCTTATAATTAGGCCTGAGAAACCACTCCAAAAGCCTATTGAGAAATGTTAGCAAATAATGTTGGCAAGGCCCCTTGTTTTTCCTAATTACCAATGGTCCATCTATGAAACTATGTATACCCTGGTATAGCCGTACAAGACGTAATTTAAGAAACCATTTCAGGCATCTGAAGTAGTCTAAATCTAATTCCTACTTAACCACCTGGGGTCATCCAAGATATGCAGTTAATTCATCTATAGTATACATATCTCAACCAGTGTGCACTAGGCCATGGATGAACAATTTTTGAGATCTTGTTTAATCAACTAAAACTTATATTGTAAATTGGAGGATAACTCTCCATCAAGCATGATTCATCAAAATAGAAGAGAGCAATTATCACCTATTAAGCCATTTCAATCAGGAAAACTAGAGGTCGCGTAAAATATACCTGAGTGCATGATTTACAATCATGAGTACAGTAATGAACGAGTAGCCATGGAAAAAACCCCTACAAAAGAAAAAATGATATTAGCATCCAAATGCATGGAGAATCTTAGATAAAATCATTCAGGACCATCTATAATTAATGGACATTGCAACTGACAAAACTAATTACATGGAGAAATCAGTTAATCAGCACAAAGAACACAAGTCAGAGCATAGGGTCGTTACTGTCTTGGACAATGCCAATCATACTGCCATCTTCAAGGGATGATAATAAGCACACTCAGAAAAGAAGGATTCAAAAGGGCTACCAAAATAGCTAAGTAAAACAAACAGCACTTCCAGATTACAGCATTAAAACACGAGAAAAGATGAGAGCAAATCAAGCATATGCTGGCAAAGGACTTTGTAAATCTATCTAATAATCAGCAATAAATTGACCTTGGAATTCAGCAATAATAAGTCTATTGCTCCCTTGGAATTTCCTTTCATCCTGTCAATCCAAAATTCAGAAATGGCAGCTATGAGACTGCAGTTTCTGCTTGTGTTTTTGAGCTTTCTACAAAACTCCTTAAAACTCTCTTTAGCCCCCGAGTTCGATTCAGTATCCCAGGAAAACAAAGTACACCACACCAAGCCTGGTGACAAGCAGGGTGGTGAATAAAGTTATAAGGCTGGAGCGTGGAGCCTTTATCACATTTGAAACAAACCTTATCATTAGGTGCTAACAATGTAACTTTGACTTTTCATCACTTCAAGAACCCAAGTCAGATCCTTAACCCTTTGGCAAAGGTAGGACACTTCATGTTGGGCCAATCAAGGAAAGTTCTCACAAAATAGCCAAATCTAACACAGGACACATAAACACGTCAGAAACAAGTACCCGAGTCGAAGTAACATAGGGTGCTAACTCCTGCTCCCTGGAAGCTGACCAGTGCCTAGCCTATCTCTCCCAGACTCGCAGCCATCCACCAAATAAAAGGATGTCCGGTATCTATAAGCTTTAATGATATGACTCCAATCATCATACGTCACTGAACTTTTCCATCAAATCCCCTAAAGCTCTATAAGCTTTACAACAACTCTAGCTTCCTTAAGCAATGCAGAGAGCCATCTCGTCTCCAGCTTGATGAACTAAAACAGATATGTTCACAAAAAAAAATTCCAGCTTGGAGAAATACACCCTAAAAACACCATCAGATTTGAATCCAGGCAAACATCACAAAGTAACTCTGTAGCATATTCATGAAAGATTTGCGAAATTAAACTTCATGCTTATCAGCTCACAAACAGCAGTTTGATCAAGAAAACACGTCAGCATGGGGAAGATAATATCTTTGTTATATTATAAAACTGGATCTAGTGGAATTCACAAGGAATCGAGTATTTTACAGTTCAAAGTGTTCCATTTCCATCAATAGCATAATAGTCACAGATTATAGATTTTAAGGAAATTTTCCCAATTCTTTGATCCTACAAACAACGATCAGCCTAATAACATTCAATAGGATCACCAATTTGTTAATCCACTCATTGGAAATCTCCCCACCCACTCTCTTCACTAAATGAATAAAATTTTACAGGCTTTTCAGATCTTGTAAAGGTATGTAGAACTTTTCATAATAGATAAATAATTGAACAAGTACATACTTATTTGCAACTTCATCAAAATCTTGAATCACTATTGCAACGGCATTGAAAATCATTCCAAAGACGTATAAGTAGAAGTTCTGCACGTTTATGTTTCTTTGGGGACGTTTCTTGATAATTGCCTGGGAATACAGAACATATTTATCAACACAAAGACCAAGTCAGCTATTGCTTACTACTCTGCATCAATATAGCTATAGCTCACTTAACAGAGGTTAACACAGAATAAGTGCTAAATTGACAAATTATATCTACTGAAGTTACCTCCGTGTAGACCCCAGCAAACCCACTCAAAAGAGCCATGACCTACAAGAAATTCTAAAGCATTATTCCAAAATAAAATATCTAATGTTAGTCTGAAATTGACAGGAAAATTACTTTAAATAAACAAAAAACTTACAATGGCCATGACCCAACCATAAAGTGGAGTCTGAAGAACATGATCAGAACTGCATGGATGGAAGGAATGTTTTAAGCAGAGAACATATAAAACTAATATATTGTACAAGTATTATTCCACAGCTGTGATAAGATAGCACAAAAGATAGAAAAGATAGATTCACAGAAAAGCAATGGCTATACTGCAAGTTTGATAGATTAAATAGCATGATCAGGCACATTGGAGGCAGCATTCAGAAGCCCTTTTGAGGAGTGAAAATTTAGTTTTAAGGGGCTGTAAAGGAAAACAAGGTAGACCTGAGAAAAGTTGCAGGAGCTGATAAGACAAGATTTGGACTGCGTTAAGCTTGATGAGGATATGACCTTTAATTGGAACCTTTGAGACACTAAGGAAAACAAGGTAGACCTGAGAAAAGTTGCAGGAGCTGATAAGACAAGATTTGGCCTGCGTTAAGCTTGGTGAGGACACGACCTTTAATTGGAACCTTTGAGACACACTTTGTCATGATATCAATTATCAAAGTAGTCATTCATATAAGCTTTGAGAACATCAAAAGGTCTAGGTTTGAAAGTAGAGTGTTCCCATTATCATGATTTTAATAGAGGACATCACCTTTTAGGGACACCTTTTAGGGACACATTTTAGGGATATAGTAGATTTTGGGAACACATTGCCATGGATTATAAGATGCTTACTCACATCAAAATTTATGGAAGTAAAAGTTACTTTGGACATCCATACATCTACATGTAAATCTAAGCAAACTGATCCTCAGGAAAATAATTAATGAATTAGCCTACACCTGTCAATAATGTATTTGTTCGACCATTATAACAAATTTATGACTAATTGATGTATACTCCAGAGAATTATCCTACCCCTTTCATTTTCCTATATATTTCTTTTTTATGTTTATGTATATATTAGAAAATTGGTAAATTATCAACTGCCAAAGTACCAACTGAGGCTAAGGAGCTTATTCCTCTAGTTATTGAAACTGAAAATAACATTGACAACAGTGCTTATAACCAACCCACATAACAAAGTTTTATAAATCTAGTCAAAAGAATAATGAGTTTATGACCACTCTTACTTGGAGGTGAGCTGTGCAGTGGTGCACCCAGCACACAGTAGAATGAAAGCAGCCCACTCAATATCACTTAACCTGAAAATTCAGAAATATATTATTAGAATGGTCATTTACTCTGACATGAATCATTATCAGCAGCCATGTTAAACATTCAAAATCAAATTATTTGACAACAGAATATCATCAAACTGCAGGGCTGTTTCAACAGAAAAGATCCTAAAATAAATCATAATATCAAATTTTAATTTTCTCGATAATATCAAGGGTATGTCAGATTTCGAAATTTTCATAATACTGGCTATTTTGATTCCCAGAGAAGCTCCTAGAGTTTTTAAAGCATTCTGGAATAATTATAACTTTTCTAAAAAAATCATGAAGGTTAACAGAGTTCTCTAAACTTTTCCCAAGTAAGATTATGCAGAACAATTCATATGCTTTATTAGCGGACAGGAAATGATGTCAAATATCTTTAACATAAAGGGGCTTACCGCTTCTTAAGAATGATACGATAGAGAACACCAGTGCTGATTATATTCAGATTTTTCAATATTTGATATCCTGGAGCATCCACGTATGCAAAGATATAATACTGGTATTGTCAGGTGGAAAATGGTGAGAAACCAGAGAGGCGAATATTTCATTAAAAAAAAGAAAGAAAAAGAAGCAACCCAGACAACTGAAAACAACCTGAAGCAAATTCTTGACAAGATAAAGCAGTGCTGGTATAGGATATACAATTACTTCATCCACTGTAGTGCTTAACCTAGTATGATAACCATATGGAAACTCAAATCAGCATCATTTCCTTGGAATATTTAAAAAGAGCCAACTTCTCAATATGTATTCAACAATATATAACCTATTGTCTTCATTAACACCTTCAGTTCTCCAGATTTTTGCCAAGGCTAAAAGTGATAATGCACATTTCAAAGTTTCAACCTGGTAGCAAAGCAAAGGGTAGGATCTGAAATTAAGAACTGTGTAATTAAAACAGAAGAAAACTTTAAATCAATATCAAAGAAGTCCAGGTCTGCTCGAATAGTCACAGAAACAATGTTTTCAAGCTCAGCTACCAGCAATTAAAGGGGCAATGCGTCACTTTTCAAGGAATCATATCAACTGTCCAAGAATTAAGTAACAAAGTAAACAAAAAAGAGAATGTGATCACAGACAATAGTGCTAAAATCTCAGCCAAACGAAGATTTCACTCACCAAAAAATTTGCAGTTGTAACACTGTAATCATATTTCCCAGCTCTCTTTGACCAGACAATAAGTATAGCTTGTGAACTAGTAAGTATAGTCAGCGCAAGCGTAACCATCGACCTATTTTCATGACAAGAAAGGCAATAACCAATAGCAATCAATCCAACTACTAGATTTCTGTCTAAACCACATCTACTTCTTATACATAACAATCAATCAAAGCCTTGATCCTATAAGTGGGGTCGGCTACATAACAATGTAGAGTTAAAATCAGCTAAATTAAACACAAACATACTTGCGCTTCCATTGAGGTGCTACACCAGATAAAGCTCCCAAAGCAGCTACATTATTCATCATACCAGGAAAAATCAGCCGGAAACGAGATAACTAAAATTTACACTTAAAAATTCTAGTATTAAGTAACAAGAATTTCAAATCAATCAAATTAGGGGGTAATAAACCTGAATTAGGTTTCCCTCGTGAAAGTTCTAGGTCACCCGCGGATTCTTCATCTTTATCCTAAAACAAATCAAAATCATTTCTCAAATCTTCTGTTTTCACTTAGTTTACAGCAATCAAATGTAGGTTCTATAATGAATAGATACTTGGATCATTCAAATCAAATTAATTGTAAAATTCAAATTTTCTCCAATAATCGCGATAAGATTAAACGTGATGATTACGCAACTATGAAGGTTGAACTCGCATTCATAAATTAAAAGGTTCAATTGCAATAACTGAAAATGAGAAGAAATTATCTTCTGGAACTGGAGAAAATCGTACATTGATAAAAATACAGAATTTCTGCGAAGAATAAGAAACAATTGATAAAATAGTACGAAGGAGAGAGAAAAACCTGATCCTTGATCTTGCGATACTCCATTGAAGAAGGCAAAATCAAACTCTGCTGAGAAATTTGGTCTTCAGAAGAAATGGTTTACACACCGTCACTCACTGTGTTGTAGTGTAGTGGAGTGTGTTCGATTTCGTGCCTGAACAAAAGACTGAAGAGCGTCGAGCGAACTGTACGATATCGTGGTTTGTGAGATCAAGTTACTTTACTGTTAAAACTCAAAACCACTCGGTACTGAAATTTGCAAAAAGTAGACACGACACGAACTGATCACGATTGGGTTGTGGATAAGTTTAATTAAACGGATCAACATGACACGAAACGTTTAATTAAATAGTTCGGGTTAGTGTTGAGACTTCCAACATAAATTAACACGACTCAACTCGTCTAAGAAAAAAATCGGTAATAAATTAACGAAATTTTTGATAAATTTATTGAATGAGGCTAATATTTTTTTCGTATAACACAACAACACGACACGAAAAAAACAGGTTAGTGTTAAGGGACAATCGGACAAGGGATTCTGACACGTTTGATTAAACGGGTCAACATGACATGACATGTTTATTAAATGAGTCGGGTTGGTGTTGAGGCTTCCCAACCCGTTTAATTCGAACACGAACACAACATGACCCGATTGCCAGCTACAAAGTAAAACGGTACATTGTTTATTGAATGCAAGACCTAAAAAACAAGTCCTTAAACTTAGACCTTGTTTGGTTGTAATGAAAAAATACTTCCCATGATAATTTACTGCTTATGAAAGTTATTCCCTTATTAAATTCCTATGATATTGCTTAAGTGTATTTAGTAGATATTAAGGAAATCACAAAACATAAAAATTATGAATGACCTAAGGAGACTTAGGTAATTTAATTCCTACATTATGTAGGAACTCCATTCCTTAGAAATTTCAACTTCCACCATTTTGCACTTTTTGGGTTAACCAAAAATTAATCCAACCAAATAATACCTTACCAAAAGTGTTGCAACTAAAAATTGTTTTTGATTTGTAATTATAGATAATAAATATTCAATAGCATTACTTCAAAATAATTGATAATAATACATCTCTATTTTATTTAGTTTGGACAATTGATAGGTACAAACAATGAGGGACAAGATAGAGAAAAGGTGAGGTAACAAATAACAATGTTATTATGTAGCACTGTCAAAAACCGAACCGAATTGGTGAAACCGAACCGTTTCAACCGATCCGAATGAGAACCGAACCGATTAAAAACCGATTTTATGAAATTGAAAACCGACCCGAACCGCATGTTAGTAAAACCGAAACCGAACCGATCCGAGTAAACGTTAAACCGTTTAAGAACCGAACCAAATCTAAACCGAACTAAAAGGAAAATCGAACCGAAAATGAACCGAACCGTTTCTAACCCGAAACCGTTTAAACTGGCATAAAAACCGTTTACACCAAACCGTTAACAAACTGCAACCCGTTTGCACCAAACCGTTTATAAACCGAACTGATTATAAACTGAACCGCTTATAAACCGAACCGTTTATGAACTGAATCGCTTATAATTCGAACCGTTACAAACCACTTCCTATAAGGGGTTTTTTGAACGACTCGATAAAAAACCAATTTTTTGAAATAAAAAACAGACCCGAACCGTAATTTAGTAAACCTGAAATAAAACCGATCCAAATAATGTTAAATCGTAGAAGAACCGTACCCGTTAACGAACCGAACCAGTTATAAACCAAACTAAAATAAAACTGAACCAAAAAAGAACCAAAGTGTTGTAACCGGACAAAAACCGTTAACAAACCGCAACCTGTACCGTTTACTACCCGAACCGTTTACAACCCGGACCGAATTTAAACCGGGATAAAAACCGTTTACACCGAACTGTTAACAAACCGCAACCCGTTTGCACCGGACCGTTTACTACCCGAACCGTTTACAACCCGAACCGAATTTAAACCGTTCAAGAATAAACCGAAACCGAATCGAACCGATAATTATTTAAACCGAACTGAAACCGACCCGTAAGACATTTGAACCGATTTCAAACCGACCCGATTTTAAACCGAACCGATTTCAAACCGAACCGAAACCGAACTTTCAAACCATTTTGACAGTACTGTTATTATGTAAACAAGATTTATGTCTTGTTTCTCACTATTGGGAAATTTTCTTCCAATTATTAGGACGAAAATAGGAAAATGTACATATTAGCTGCTAGACTTTAGGAAATGGGCCTACTTGAGTGGCGGCCCAATAGTCCATAACCCATTGAAATTTATAAGTACGTACAAAAAGAAATATAAGCCAGATTTTTTGTTTAAAGAGAAAATAATAGTGTCGGCGGCGTATTGTCAACCGACAGCCTCACACGGTCCCACTTTCACACGCCACCGCTCTGTGACATTCCCGCGCATTCTTATAGTCCAGGGTTCCCGCCACGTGTTAATCTGTTATATTGCTCAACTCATCCTACTCAGCTTAATTAAGCTTTAGTTTGCTCTTAATAACGCTCGAATTAGCAACAAAAGTGGGCTTCAATTATATGTAATGAAATAAATGGATTTAATTGGATGAGAAAATTCTCTAGGGGTTAAACATTCTAAATTATTTTTTAAGTTAAATTATTAAAATTTGATGAAACTACACACTCCAATTAATTGTATTTTACTTAATTTGCAGTACTTTAAAACTACTCGTAAAAATTGGTTTTGATGTTGTGGTAAAACTTCAAATCCTTCTCTAATTTGAATGAGAACTATCAAAAAAGTTAAGAGAATATCAGCTCAACTATTCTTCATATAGAAAGTGTTGGTTATTGTGATCATTGGTATGTCGTCTTTAGGTATATAGGAGGTCGAACACGAGATTATGTTATTTAGTAAATTAAATTTGAGAAGATTAAGATATAAACAAGATTCAATTTGAAATTTTAAGTATGCTTCTTGTGACCTTAACCATTCAATGTAATTAATATTATGTATAAGGTGACAGTGTTAAATCAAATTGAATAAATTCAATTTTACATAAAGTGAATTAAAATTTCATGTTAGCTCTTATTTTATTGAGGATAACTAACTTGGCAAGTTATTGCATATAATATTATAATTTTATAGATTTCAATTGTGAAGAATTTTCTTTCGAAAATTCAACACTAAATTGCTGTCATTCTCAACTATCAAGATTCCAACCCACAACCTTCATTGAAAACAATAAAAACTATATTCCTATATAATCCAAACACTTGTTGATAACAAGCTAAATCTTTTAATGTACTAATCGTTACACTATCAATTTTAAGAAATTAAAAAAGTGGTCACCATTACAATACATACATACAAATAATAAGCTAAAACGACCCTACCATGATCACCCCACCCTCCAATCCCTTTTTTCCATGCCTTAAAACAAAGTAATTCAAGAAAAGAAGGAATCAACCAGCCTGTTTCCAAAAACCCTTATTAGCTATTAGCTGTTTCTCATTTTCCCTCAAACAAAGTCCCCTCTATATTCTCCCTCTCTCTAAACCGACACTTTCACTTTCTCTTTCAACGCTTTCATTTCAACAACAAAATAACCGACGCTTTGCAATGAGCTCAATAGTTCAAACCATTCAACAAAGAACAACAAAGAGTTCATCACTTCCAATTTCATCATCATCATCTTCTTCAGATGATCAACCAAGTTTACGAAGGCGGCTTTCGTCGCTTTCGTTAAATCTTCATCCTTCTTCAATCTCTGCTTCTCCGGCAACTTCATGGGCTATTCACCGGTCCAAGTCTTTATCTTCCATGGGAGAAAACGCGGGAAGCTCGATCAAGAAATGGTGGGATTTGGGCTGGGCTTGGGTTTTGTCTCGAAAGCCCACTTTTGTTCAAGATCTGGAAATGAATGAAGAAGAGAAACGTTTTCTTGGGTTTCAAAACAGGGGAAGTTTAATGCATCTGTTTTTTAAGGTTAAATCCGAGGTTAGGAAGCTTCTTAGATACGATGATATGTCTCTTCCTCAGACTTTTAAGTATCAAAATCATAATGGCTCAATGAGAAGAGGTTCTACTCTTGGTTGAAAATTATTATTAAGAAAAACAGAGTATTGCTTGATTGATTGATTAAATAATCTGATCAAGATTAATTCTTTATAATGAATAATTGATGTAATTTTTTTCATGTGATATTGTATGCGTGGAGATCTGTGCAAACAAGATGAAAAGGATGAGAGGAAGATTGAATTCAGAAAATGGTGGGTGTTTTGGAGGTAGGATTTTGAAGGGTACGGTATATAGAATATTATTAGTAGTGATTAATATGATTGATATTACACGTTATTATTTGGTTAATTTTATTATTTGTTGATTTTTTTTTTACAAGTACAAGTATTGTTTTTTGGGTAGAATTGTTTGGTAATTTGTAACAATGTATGTACAAGTAATTATATTTGAATGTTTTGTTGTTTCTTTAAGAATGGGTAATAGAAAGAAGCCAATATTATTTCTTCTCCATTATTTCCACACGTAAAAGAGGCTAATTTGGCCCCTACATCATATGATTCATATCTGTAGTAGTGCTGTATTATTGTACAAATAACATATATATAAAACAAGATTCTATTAGGGAGGAAAAGGGGAAATGACAGAGATTTTTACACTTCCATAGCAAGTTAAAGGTTGCTTTTAAATGGAGCATAGTAACCAAAGTTGGTGCTTGTTAAAGTTGCAATTGTATGCTCATTTTACATAGAAAGAAGAACAATACCTATGTGCTACTTTGCACTCGTATTTTGCAAACTACATCATGGACGTGGGAGCAAGTACATGTTGCCGACTTAATATGCGCTCTTTTACAAGTACATACTATCATATGCATTAAAATCGTTGAGGGATCTTGCATTATTATGCGTAGTAAGCACCATACAATGCATGCACATTAAAAGTTGCGAAATATACCACACATCTTTCTTTCGTATGAAGCATTATGAAATTATACTCGTAGCTATTCAAAAAACTTTAATTAAATATATGTTATTTTTTAATTCCTATAAATACGTCATCAACAAACTAGTTGGCGAATAATTTACTACATTACAAAAGTTAACTATCCTATGAAAATATTAAAAAGAGACCTTCCACAACTTTTGACAATTGGTCAAATACTAAGAAGATTCAATTTTAACACGAGTATTATATTATTGACAGAAGACAATTCAATTTTGAATCAAGGAAATACAAAGTGGTGTACATGTAAACCACTAATTATAACTTATAAGCAACTAAGACATGAGAAGTCAAAGTTAATAATCACGCAATTTAATCAAATACACGTGCTATTAGTTGTTCTGGCAGACCGAAACTCGGAAAGAAAGTTTCCTAAAACGCGTTACGTTGCAACTCTAACATACTACAGTAATTTCTATACTATGGAGTATGGAGACATGAAGTATCTAATTGCGATTCGTGATCCCTCTCATGTACTACGGTCTACGGAGTAATTTTTTATCGTATAATCTGGCTTATAAGTTATTGTGCGACCGTTTTATATAAGATTTTGTCTAGAAGATTTATGAAGAACTAGTTAAATTAGCTACAAGTATTAAACAAAAGACAATGATTAGTTTATTAATTAAAGCAATTATATGAGAGGTGTAGAATTAGTACAAATTTACGACTTAACTTTCATTAATCAATCAACACCAATATATATACAATGCTAATTCTAGAATTACCTTAACTTAGGTAACTAGGAATTAGGAAAATATGAAACATAACTATCAAAATATCCCACAAAATATATCCTCAATAGGAGGTCTGATATAAAAATCCAAGTTGTCAAAATGTCTGATTCTATATTCCTATGGAAGCTTATGTGTAGACTGTAGAGTACAAAAGCTGCAGACTAACCGTTATTTTCAAGTTTATACAAAGCTTAATTGTTCATTGACTGCAAGAATTAAGACATCTTATTCGCTTTGATGTGTCTTTCTTACCTCTTATGTTGCCCAATAATTGAGAAAAAGTTAACAATTAATGAGTGGGTAAATCATACTTACCTCAATTACATACAATGAAAATATATATCCAAAAAAAGTAATGATAAAAACACGCATTTATAAATAGTATTACTGATTTACTGTATAATCTACTAATAGTCTAATACTAATGTTTCTATTTTTACCTCCTTATTTTTAACAAACTCTTAAAGTTGTACATATTAAATTTCTTTTATTGGTCATCAAGTAATTATATTGGAATATTATGATGATTACATAACATCAATCTTTAGGTGATAATAATTAGTTGCAATTTGATCAATAATTAAGATCACATGGTTCCTACCATACACCACCGACAGAAACAGATGGAAAATATGCCGAAAACAATGCTGGGTTTGCTGGCTATTAAGACTTTAGCCAAACCATATGCATGCAACTTACAAATCAAACATTAATTAGCCTTCCATAATTACTTGAGTACAAAACAATGTGGTGGTTCCTTCTCCTTTTGTTTTACCATTACAATGATATTTTTTGAAATTGTTTATTGGCAAGTGTTTAGGTCATATTATCAATGATAGCTAAAATTATTAAGAACTCATACAGTCATACTCCAAACCTCTCGGAATTATTTATCAAGATGTTACATTTCTTAAATCGAATTAAACTTGATGGCTTGGCCTTACTAATAGTTTATGTGATTAAACTAGTTTTTTTAATAATTAATACTCGTATTAAAATTCAGCTCAAGACTAAAACAAATGACCCACCACTCGAATAATACTGTCACTGTAATTCGATAGTCTCATTATCACTTAGGTGGTGCTATGATTTTACAAAGAATCACCATAACCCAGGATCACATATGAGCATGGAGTGAACAAATCATGCAGACGTATACTATACAATTAGTTCAATGTATCTACTCTTTTCAAGCGTCCTATTTGTGAGACTTCTATTTTCAGTCCATCATTAAGACTTGGGCCTCCAGTGGTAGCTTAGCTGGGTCACTACTCACTCGGCCCAATAGCGTTTGTACCAGTAACCCTCTAAACCCTACATGGGTATACCTCCACTTCAATTTTTATAATCTATATTATGTATACGCCTTCATCATTCAATTATCGCCGTATTATTTAACCATTTACATAATTTGTCATTTACAACATTGATCCTCCTTTATTTTTTTGATTTAAATTATCAATATACGATCACATTTCAATTTTATATACAATTCCTTGCAAGAATTCCAACTTAACAAACAATTTTGCATAATCCTAAAAAAAGACATAAATATGAAGGAAGCACAAGTATTATTTTAAGATAAATAAAGAATTACACTAAAAAGATACCCACATTATTTCACAATGAGTTTTCTATTTTAATTGTACACATTTATCAATGCTTTACTTTAATATAGATATCTTTAATTGTATATTAGTAAAAAAAAAATACGTAGTATAACAATTCAATATTGATAAAGTACTCACATAACTACTTTGTTAGAAGATTATTTTATCTTATAAATACTAACAAGATTACAAATAAGAAGATTATTATGGAATGAAAAGAAAAGTATTTTTATTTTCTTCTTCAAAAAAGGCTAAGGAAAGGGAAGGTGCCAGAATATAGTGGCCAATATGCAAGAATAGTCCACTCCAAGGGGGAATTGACTTACTCACTTACAGTTGCAAGACTCACAGTTGCAAACTATCCTCACATCTCAACTCAACTCTACAGCCTTGTATTCTTTGCTCAAGATAATAAGTTCACTTCATAAAAAAGATAAGACCTTCCATTTAAAAATTTGTGTATTTTTGTTTCAAAATAATAAATAAATAAATTTGTGTTTAAAAAATGGCTTCTTCTTCTGCTTATCACTTTGTAATCTCACAGAAGAAGAGGACTCTCATACCATCCTATAGTAATTCCTCAATATTTCAGAATTACCCTCTTTTACCTTTTATCCCTAATTCACTTTCTCTTCCCTCAAAATTACCCCTGCCTTCTAATAGTAAACTTACTGTTTGTTCAGTTGCTAAGATTATTCCTTCACAAATTGAGGTTGATCAACAACAAAGTAGCAGTTTTAGTCCATCTTCTCCGAATTCCAGTATGTTATTTTATTTTACTGTTTTATTACTTGGTCTTTGATTTATTTAGGTGATTAAGTTGGGATATTAATTGTTTTTGGATTTTTTATTTTGTTGTTGATTTTGAATTTATGAATTATATACTTCATATGTTTGAATTTTACATTAGATTGTTGAATGAAGAGTTTACAAGTAAAATTAGCTATCTTTTTGAACCTCGATGTGATGTTGAGGGGAGAAACTACATTATAACTCCATATATACTTGCTCTGTATTTTTTAGTTGCATTACTATTGTAATTGCAGGCTCTTCGACAATTTTTGAAGTGGAGAGAAATAGAGAAAGAAAAATAAAAAGGTCACATATGATAGGAGAGGTATAGAGTGAATTTATTAAATAAAAGGGAAAATAATGCATCTAAATTGAAACTTCCATTATTAGAAAGTAATATATCTAAATAGAAATGGAGGAAGTATATCCCCTACCCTAGGCCTACTCCAAGATATCCCACTAATATAGTAATATGTCCCTTGATAATCCAAAATACCCCTGTGCTATAGGAGTATTATATGATGGATGCCAACTAGCTTAGTTGGTTAAAGTCTTTGTGCTGGAGATAGATTTAAAAAGACCTCACATTGGCGTTTATCCACTGTATTAGTTGTATACAAGCTCATTTCTTAGGGATTATCCGATTATAAGACTGATTTTTTTATTAACCTTTCTGAATTATATGTAGTATCCAAGATTCCTAATGTTATCACCTGAATTGATAAAACTGATGCAACAAGGTTGTTGTTAATTTGTTTGAAGGTTGGGCAGAATTCGCGGACAAAGTTTCAGGAGAGTGGGATGGATTTGGAGCAGATTTCACAACTGCTGGGGAACCCATTGAACTTCCTGAATCAGTAGTACCTGAAGCATACAGGGAATGGGAAGTTAAGGTCTTTGACTGGCAAACTCAATGCCCTACATTAGCCGATCCACAGAAATTCCTTCTTTCCTACAGGTCTGTGAAATTACTTCCCACAGTAGGCTGTGAGGCCGATGCAGCAACAGTATACAACAGCGATGACAGAATCATAGGAGGCGAAGAAAGCAACAGCATCTTAGCCTTTGCGTTTCAGAACACCGGCTGTTATGTGGCCCTTTGGTCAGTTTTGGAGAATGAAGTGTATAAAGTATTGGAGTTGGAGCATTGTTTGATTGACCCTCGAGATAAGGAGTCTAGAGTAAGGGTGATTCAGACACTTCGTTTGGAGGATTCAAAGTTGAAACTGCAGAAAATTAAAGTGTTCTGTGAGCTGTGGTATGGACCATTCAGAAATGGAGATCAGCTTGGCGGTTGTGCTATACGTGATTCTGCATTCGCTTCTACACCTGCGTTGAATGCTTCTGATGTTACAGGTGTTTGGCAG